CTATGATAATAAAACGATAAATGACACTATCCTTAAGGTATGCAATAAACTGTTTTTTTTTTTTGCATATTCTTCACAGGTTGCCATATCTTTCGAAACCAATTACTCCGATGTCCCAGTTCAGTTATGGGTATGTGTGCTGTATCCTAAAGTACATAATTTACTCTAACGTTCTGGAAAGTATTTAATGGTAAAATGGCAAAACAAATCAGCGTCACTTCATGCCAATTAATACCAATGTGTACCCAAATTTAACCTCTTATTGCATAAAAAAATATATTTTTCAAAAAAAACTTAAAAGACATTACAGTTAACGCATTTTCAACTATAATAATCATCTTTATATTTTCTAACATAACAACTTATATTTATTCCATGATAGACCACCAGCATTTCGCTGTGCCATCGGGCATCCCCAGAACTCGGCAGAGCATATGACAGCCTGTAATACTAATATGCTGTAAGTAAAACATTTCGTTTACTTAAACAGAAGATTCTGCCATCAGTGCGATTTCTGATACATGTCATAATTGTTGACCCCACATTTAAGAAAATTGTTCATTTACTAAAAAAAAATTATTTTAATTATCAAAACTTCTTTCTTTGCTCTTTCAAAAGGGAAACAATGTTTTTGTCGATTTTCTTCTTCTTCTTCCAAATTTTATCAGGGTCTTAAATTGAGTAACCTTTGACAAGAAGACTTCAAACTTGGAACATAAATAGATGGCCTTGAGTCGGAGTGCAGACTTTTCAGCTTGATTTGTTTATAAGCTCAAGGTCAAATTAACATCACAGTAGAGTCCAGGTCAAAGTTTTAGTACTCTTTGATATAACCGTTCATGGTAGTTCAGTCGGTAGAGCGCTCTCTTCGTGATCGGGAGGTCGTGAGTTTTTATATTGGCCGCGACCAACCCAAGTCGATAAAAAAACGTGTAGCAATTGTTCCTTCGCCATGCACTAAGCACTTGTAGTTAAAGTTGCGGGTCCTTCGCATGAGACCTTAAAAACCGAGGTCCCGTGTCACGGCAGTCGTTGGCACGATAAAGATCTCTCACTGCTCAATGGCCCTTAGTGCCGAGTAAAGGTCAAAAGAAGATGGGCGCATTTGGCGAGTGATCTGCAGGAATCATTTGTACGAAACATTTATGGTGTAAATGTCCATGATTTGGTTGGCTGAACATAGCTGGTCAGATTTTTCAAGCACGTCCATAGGTTTTTTTCATTTAGTTTGAAAGACCGTGTGAAATTGTAACATTTATGTCCGTTTTTTTCTGGGGGTACTGTAAAATATTAATGTTTCACAAAAAGTAAACACCTAAAATATTTAATGCATAGATGCATGATACGTGTACATTATAGAATAGAAGATTAGATTCTGAATTGATTTTGCTCAAGAACCAAACTGAACCAAAATTTATCTAATTCAGAATTTTAATACATAAGTACATAAAGTGAAACTGACAAAATAAATGGTTGTTTGCATGAAAAAAAAATTAACGCCCCATGCCAGGCTCGAACAAAAAACTTTCCTCTTCGATTGCAGTCGACAGGTAACCCAACTTACTGAGCTATCACCGCTACACGTAATCCGATCATTTTGAAAGGACAAGGAAGCACCACATTCACACGTTTGGATTTTTTGGGAAAAGTTAATTTTTCGTGCATGGTCTCTGGGTCTTCTCTACATTTTTTAAAAAAGTGTATTCGTTTCTTTGAATTTAAATACACACGAATAACGTTTCAAAATCATGGAGAGAAGACCAAGAGATAGAAAAATTTTAGAAAAACGTGTCTAAAAATGTACCTTTTTGTACCAAATGTCTGATCTGGCCAATTTTCAAGTTATTTTTTAGCTAATCAGAGCTCAACTTCAGGAAAATATTTTCCTTTCCTGTTGCACAGGAACCCGATAAATAAAAAAAGTGTTAAAATTTCATGTGACATGTTGATTAATTTTCACTTTTCAAGTACGCCCAGATTCCTGCCGAATGTCCATCAAAAGCGCCCACGTTCTTTGAAGCCCTTCACCGGCATACGGTGACGTCTCCATATGAGTGAAAATTCTCGAGAGGGACGTTAAACAACATACAATCAATCAGTTTTTGATAGAAGGGCTTCAACTATTTTTTATTTATTTTTTTTTTTTGCATATTCTTCACAGGTTGCCATATCTTTCGAAACCAATGACTCCGATGTCCCAGTTCAGTTATGGGTATGTTTGCTGTATCCTAAAGTACATAATTAACTCTAACGTTCTGGAAAGTATTTAATGATAAAATGGCAAAACAAATCAGCGTCAATTCATGCCAATAAATACAAGTGCGTACCCAAACTCAACTCTCTTATTGCATTGAAAAATATTTTCACAAGGCACTTAAATGACATTACAGTTAACGCATTTTCAACTATAATAATCATCTTTATATTTTCATAACAACTTATATTTATTCCATGATAGACCACCAGTATTTTGCTGTGCCATCGGGCATCCCCAGAACTCGGCAGAGCATATGACAGACTGTAATACTAATATGCTGTAAGTAAAACATTTCGTTTACTTAAACAGAAGATTCTGCCATCAGTGCGATTTCTGATACATGTCATAATTGTTGACCCCTCATTTAAGAAAATTGTTCATTTACTAAAAAAATTATTTTTGTTCCATAATAGACCACCAGTATTTCCTTGAGGCATCGGGCATCATTTTAATTTTCAAAACTTTCTTTTCTACCCTTCTAAAGGAAAAACCTAATGCTTTCGTCGATTTTCTTCTTCTACTTCTTCCAAATTTTATCAAGGTCTTAACCTTTAAAACTTGGAATATAGATAGATGACCTTGAGTCGGAGAGCTAACTTTTGACCTTGATTAATATATAAGCCCAAAGTCAAATTTTTACATCAAAATAGAGTCCAGGCCAAAGCTTTAGTATTCTTTGATATAAGGACTTCAAACTTGTAATTTAGAAAAAAAGACATAAATACAAGATGTACTACACCAGAATTTTGACCTTGATCCTTTTCTTTTTTAAAGGTCAAATGTAGAAAAAAACATAGTTGACCATAACTTGAGAATCTGTTGACATTTAGACTTCAAACGTGAAACATGCAAAGGACACAAAGAAGAGTGGTGCATGTCTCCACTTTTTATTTTACCTTGATCCAATTATTATCAGGACAAGGTCAATCTTTACATCAAAATGGAGTCCAGGGCATATCTTGATTTCTCTTTTTATAGGGACTTCAAAGTTTTAAAATAAAAGGAAGACATTAAACCAAGATGGAACACACTTGAAGTTTGACTTTGACTCCTTCCTTCAAGGTCGACCGTTCACGGTAGCCTAGTGGTAGAGCGTTCGCTTCGTGATCGGAAGGTCTGGGTTCGATTCTCGTTCCAAGCGCCGCGTCAAACCTAAGATTTAAAAATAGGTAGTGACTGTTCCTTCGCCAAGCGCTCGGCATCAGAAATAAAAGTCACGGGTCTTTCGGATATGACCTTAAAAACGTAGGTCCCGTGTAACAGTAGGCGTTAGCACGATAAAGAACCATCACTGCTCCATGGCCCTGATTGCCGAGGATAAATCTAAATTTGATTCCCTTCACCGGCACGGTGACGTCTCCATATGAGTGAAAAATTCTCGAGAGGAACGTTAAACAATATACAATCAATCAATCAATCCTTCAAGGTCGGATGCGACCTGATAAACCGAGGCCCTGTGTCACGAGAGGCGTTGGCGGGATAAAGATCCCTCACTTCTCAATGGCCCTGAGTGCCGAGTAAAGGTCAAAATTTGAAGTCCTTCACCGATATATGGTGACGTCTTTATATAAGCGAAAAAATCTCGAATGGGACGTATAACAACATTTAACCAATCGATCCTTCAAGGTCAAAAAGATTAAAAAAACTTGATGAGATCTTACCTTAAAAATCATTTGTTATAAAACCTTTAAACCTGGAACATGAAAAAGCTGGTATGAAGGTTGGATGCTTTTGGCCAAAACTTTTGACCTTGACCAAATTAATAAGGTCACAGTCAATCGTTTACATACAACAGCTTGAGTATCTTTTGGAATGTAAGCCAATGACGAAACTTGTTTTTATTTCAAAGTTTATTAAATAAATCCAAACTCACAGTGATCGTATAGTTTTGATCCAAATAAACCAATACACTCTTTAATTCAATGATAACAGGATTCGTCCAAAACAGATAGAGCTGATAACTGAACTCCATCCCCCCACACCCCACACCCCAAAAAAGTCCAAAAGAATGATCCTCAAAAATAGAATAAAATGCAGTTGTAATAATGAGAGAGAAAATTGAGAATCTGAGACGAGAAGAAAGAGCTGAAAGCTGCACCCCCCTCCCCCCAAAAATGTCCAAAAGAATGATTCTCAAAAATAAAATAAAATGAAATTGTAATAATGAGAGAGAAAATTGAGAATTCTGAGACGAGAATGAGAAAGATGACGTACGTTTTCTGGCAAAACATGGTATTTTGTGCTTAAAGGGTATTCACGGTCCCGGATATAAAATGCATTTAACCATGGTACCACCCTCAAATGCAGGTAACACTCATTACTTATATTTATGGGTGCAGTCCCCATCTCTAAATTACAAGAATTCTAGCACGAAGCTCTTTTACTTATTTATTTTAAAGTTTCCAATCATATTTCCCTTGGTCAAAAATATTAATAATACCGTTGTATTTCCATAGAAATTTTAATACTTACTATCGAAGGGTTGATTAGTCTATTCAGATCCATTTCATTACAAAATGGTTTACCAAATTAAAGTACATTGTAAAATCCTTTTTGTCTTAACTAGATAATAAAAGTACATAAAATATATGTCCTTTATCCAAGTCACCGAATTTGAAACACTAATACGATACATTCTGATTTAATCTGATTTATTAAACTTTTATTTCATTTTACTGTCACTACCAATAATTAAAAATAGTTATGATATTAACAATGTCTAAGTTTAAAATGTTCAAATAATTTGTTTGTGCTGAACCTTATATAGGTTTACAGGTTTTTTGATTTCAAACTTGTAACATAGTAAAAACACATGCAAAATGCACTGCATCAAAGTCTGACCTTGACCCTTTACTCATCAAGGTCAAATTAAGAAAAACATAAATAGATCACAACTTTTTTTTTTTAAATAAGTTTATTAATAATTATGAACACCCGATTACAATTTCTAACTAACCCGGGCCAGGATAGTTAGTATAACAAAAATAACAGAACAACATATCTTAATTAAAGCATTTCTACAAATGTCACCATCTTATTTTTATACATGTGAGTCTTTGTTAAATTCAGTAAAATGTCCATATTGTTTTTAACATTTGTTTTTACATTAGAAAATAACATATCTTTTGTTTCAGTTTTGTTCTTAACTCTACAAAACATTTTAACTTTATATATCTTATATGCTATGAAAGACACAAAGGTATTTAAAAATTGTATTTTGGTATTCCGTTCAGAATAAAAACCTAGGACGACATGCTTCCACTGTACATCAAAATTTAACACAGAACTCAGATTTTTCCATAGTATATGAACATGTTCACAATCAAAAATTAAATGTCTAATATCTTCAATTTCATCACACATATTACATAAAGCAGAAGCTCTATATTTGCATTTAAAAAGAAAACTGTTACAACACAATGTATTATTCAACAATTTGTAATTAAATTCACATATTCTTTTGTCATAGATATCCTTAACCTTGTTTCTATACATATCCTTCCAACTCTCTTGAGCAACAGAAAATAATTTTTTATACATTAATTGATGGCCTGGAGCTTTAAATTTCTTAAAGAGTAAATTATCGTAAAAAAATTACATTTTTTATCTTCAATACAATGTACACCATTTACAAAATTAAAATAACACTTCCCCATATTTTGTATGTATGCACAACAAGTCATATTGAATCTTAAAGATTTTTTATAGATTGCTGTTTTTACTATTTTGTATTCACACATCCAATTCGACTTTTGTTTTAAATCACCGGACAACTCTTGTAAAGTTTAAAATTTTCCATTTTTAAGATCATAGATCACAACTTGAAACCCTTTGACATTGGAACTTCAACCTTATGACATGGATAGGTAGTATGGATGATGAGTGAATGCCTCCATTCTTTTCACCTTGACATACTAATAAAGTCAAAGTCAACCTTTTACATGAAAATATAGTCTAAGTCATAACTTGAGACATTTTTGACATTAGGAGCAAGTAAAGTCTACATAAAGACTAAATGCACTACGTCAAAATGTTTGACCTTGCCATGTTTTTAGTCAAGGTCAATTCTAAAAATAAAGACTGTAATAGTATAAGCGGCATTCAACATACAAGAACATACAAGAACGTGATAATCAGACAGTATGGTGTCTAAGTGGGTTTCATTGGAGAAATTAAAAACAATATCATTTTTATAAAATTAATGCAATATCAGGTATGGAGATAACGAACAATAATCAAGATCAAAAGTCCATAAAAAAGGACAAATCATAAGTAGAGTGAAATATATTGAGAAAACGAACAATATTCAAGTTCAAAAAAAAGGCCAATAAACAATACAAAATTGAAGCAAAACAAACATAGATCCCCTAAACATCGGATCTGGTATCAGGCGCCATGGAGAAATGAACTTCCCCAAGAGACAGGTCACACCCGCTTCTTGTCAAAATTGGAAAATAACGAAACAATCGTCCACAATTCAGTGTGTATATAATGGCCTAAAAATTATCACGAAAAACGTCCGTCAGCATTTGACTTAATGATAGAATAAAGAATAGTCTTAATTAAAAAAGAAAATAACAAACAGGACGCAAACTCATAAGTTGATTTATAGAATACAAATCAGAAGAAGAGCAAATATGGACCTCCAAAATATCAGAGGTGGAATAAGTTACCATAGAGAAATAGCGATCCTCTGTAGACCGGTTACATCTGCTGTGTATCCGTTGTTATGATCGAGTGAACGTGAATTTCCATAGATTATTCATTGGGTAAACACTTGCTTAACAATTTGTATTAAAATTGTCAGTCAGCATGAAACCTAGTAATAGATTGTATTTGTGTCATTGTACAATCATAGAGCCTGTAAACTACTGCAAACCAACAATTATTCGCGTGCCAGAAATATCCGCGAGTTTTGCAACCTACTTTAACAAGAAAATATAAATCGACGCAAACCATTTTCCCTTTGTATTTGTAAAGAAAGTCTTCTTAGTCGCCACAATAAATCATCGCTGATTGATTTCAAAATTGATGGATTGCGAATAGAGATAGTTTACAGTAATTACTATTATAATCATTGTTTCATCAACTTGTTAGTAAATAATTTGCCTCGTTTAAAAATTGATCGTACATGCGGCACGTAGGTGATTATGGTGTATTGCTAAATAAGTAAAGAAAGTGAAATGTTGAAGTCATAACGTTTATCATAAAGTTTGTTTTTAGGCTACAATTAAAGTCTTTTTCTCAAGTAAAATATCCAAATATGAAACATATGTATCAGACACTGTGGTTTTTGTCGAATGTTCACTAAAATATGTTAATTAGTTTAATGGATAAATGTACATGCATTATGCCTTGCTTAGCACATGTTCATAACAAATTAAATATGAATCTGTCACACAGAGGATTGGATACACTTGACATGTTCTATGTACGATCTATTTCAAGAAGGACAAGTTATTGGAAAACAAGTTGATGAAACAACAATACCAACAGCATCATTAAAATCATCATTTTGCAGGTTCCGTTGTCTATACAATGACATTATATATCAGTAAATACAATGTGTCATTGAGCCATATGCTGACTGACATTTTCAAACTTATTGTTAGGCAATTCTTGAGACAATGAATTATCTATAGATTTTTCCCTTTTCCCGATCATAACGAGGAGCATTCGGAGGGGTGAAATGTTCAGCAGGAGATGCTTACTCTTGCATTGCACCTGATCACACCCCCGATGCTTTTAGAGGTCCGTGTTTATTCTGCTAGTGATTTGTATTATTTGCTATTGACAAACAAGTTGATGAAACAAAATATCAGCAGTCACGTTCAAAGTCATCAAGCTCTATGGTCGATACAATGTCCTTGTCATCAATACAATTTATAATTAAGTCAAATGTGGAGTGACGCTCTTCATACTTATTATTAGTCCATTATTTATACACTGAACTAACGACGGTTTTCCCGTTATTTCCCTATCATGACAAGGAACAAACACTTGGTGTGACCGGTCTTCAGGGGATGCTTACTCTTCAATGGCACCTGATCCAACTTCTAATGATTTGGAGGTCCGTGTTTGCTATGCTCCAATTATATATTGTTTTATAGACTGTTCGTTATCTCCATATACTTCATTCAATGAATATTTGAGCTTAATTACGGTTTGTTATATCCAGAATTTATTTCATACTGATGCACTTTTTTTCACTTAAAATTTGTTTGTTTTTGAAAAAAATTTGGAAATGATTTTTTTGTAATTTTGCAGCAATACATGGAATGCAGATTGCTTGAAATATTGCCAGACTCATTTTAAGTTCGAAGAAAGTCGAAAGTAAGTGCGTGTGTCTTTTAAAATATTTATATTTACATATTTGTAATCAATAAACTCTAATTCGATTTATACAATGATAAGTTTAAATTCATTGCAATAACAAATTTGACCTAATTTCAACGATCAGTCAAAAACAGGAATGATCATTCAACTACAATTTCATTTTTTTTCTGATCTACTAGTTCTATTTCGTATACTAGACATTTTTAAAAATCTTATTCAGAAATTCGAAATATTGTTCACGGATACTTTACGGCTGAATTTGATATTAAATGTGCATGGACACAAATTTAAAGTTAATATTTTCTGTATAATATCAAGACTTATATATTTTTCATCTTTGATTCTTAATTATTCGTCATCCTTGTAAATTTGAAGAGGTAGCGGAGAAGATTCAAACCATGTGCTTTTAACCTGTATGTCTTGAACTGATGTTTTCTCTGCTATTCAACTCATCTGGCATTATTCTATAACTACAATATTTATTAAATTTCTTTTTAATTGCACTGCAGAATGTTTTAGCTGGTTGTCAGATATAATCTAATAAACAAAGGCCTTATGTCGCAAAAGATGATTCAAGAAAAATGACCTTCACTGCTTCATTGCGGCCTTAAGTCATAAAGTACAGGTCTAAGATTTGCAGCCTTTCACCAGCAATTGATAGCTCTCCATCACTAAGTCAAATGCTGACTGAATTTTTTCGTACTGATTGTTAGGCCATTATTCATACGGAGTTGTACACGGTTTTTTTTCCCAAACATGTTACTAGGTATATGTGACAGGTTTGCAGGGGATGTTCACTCCTCCATGACACTTGATCCCACCTCTGATATTTTGGAGGTCCGTATTTTCTCTGCTTCTATTTTGTATTGTTTTATGGACATTTGAGTTCAAATAGTGTTCGTCATCTCTGGATATTTTATACTTGAAAGGACTAAAAAACAAAAAAAAAATCAGTGGTTTCCAATCATTATCTGGAATTTGCAGTAATTCTTGACCAGGTCCGTGGTTTCTCTTGATTTTGTTGGTAAAACTTGAGTTAGTTGTCTCCTTAATTTTGCACCTTACTTGGAAGTAAATTTAGTATTTTATGGTAAACATCCTTTCAGAATATAAACAAAGCAGTACATTTGTTATTCTCTATAAAATTCAATAAAGCTATTTACTGCAGTTTGCTATCGCTTTCACATTTGAGAGGTTTAGGTGAAGACAGTTCATCCCCAATCTTGTTTTAAAATAAATTTAACCTTGAAGAGATATCTTAATGATTAATAGATACCGTAAAATTTACCATTACGGAGATACTGAATTTTCTCATAAAACTTTTTTCCAGATAAGAATGATACATGCTTACGAGAAGCGCCAAAATGAACTGATATATTTCCATAATTTGTTATATTTGATGAGACTGCTGTAAATCAAAACATTTTATCCAGACGTACTGGTCTTACTTAAAAACATTAACATTGAATGAAGTGTTTATCCTCAGTTTTAATTTATTTAAAATTCCAGAAATCCGGATGGCACAGAGAACAGTACGAACATGGAATACGATGGACCTGCCTTCGGAATGCCGCCTATCATACCAAGGTGGAAAAAAGTTTTTTCTTGAGCAAATCGCTTTAAGAAGTGAAACATTACATTATATTTTAAAAGTAAACATAGCAGTATCGATAAAACACTGAATCATTAAATCAAATATCAATACTGGCTTTTCCAGAAACGATTACAAAAGAGTGATCAAATAATATCGTATTTACGTACTTTTGAATATTTTATATGAAAAGCTGTCGATGAAAATATAAACAATATTTGTTTGTTGTATGACATGGGATCTGACAATAAGTTGCAATCATTGCAAGAAAATTTATTGCATTGCGTTCTGGTGAGGTTGTTTAGAAAGATATAGTTCTATTGTTTAAGTACTTTAAAGAATTATTTTAGGTAACAGGCTTTTTAAAAAGAAAATTACTTATATATTTAATAAACATTGGAATGATACAGGCGCTGCTACCTAGATTTTTAAAAACAGTTTTAGTGCATTTATTCAATTTTATATTTTCAATTTTACAGATATTGACAAAGAGAATACGTTTTTGTGGATTTGTGCAAATACAAAAAAAGAGACCTGCAGCCATGGATTTCACCTACCCTAACCAAACATTTTCATAAACTATAGTTTTTTTAAGTACCAGTATCATAGTGTGTACTACAGCAACTACAACTATGAAACATTTTAGTAAAAGCAAAAAAAATTGTTTCTCTACTGTTTTTCTACTGTGAAAATATAAACGGAAGGTCTCTTTGTTTTGTTTTTACTTATAGCATTGGCAGGGGATAGTCATTTCTCCATGGCACCTGATCCCACCACTGATGTTTCGGAGGTCCGTGTTTGTTCTGCTTCTATTTTGTATTGTGTTATGGATATTTGATATTAAATACTGTTCGCTACCTCCATATCCTTCATTGGTATACGAAATTTTTGACCCAAAATTGAAAAGATGAAGGATCTCAACCTTCTCAAAAATCACAAATTGTGTGAACAGAACACAAAGAATCCCTGGTTATTCCAGAGATTGAGCTTAGTAAGCATTCCGTGTCGCTCTGTTACACCCGCCATGAACTCAGTGTATTGATCAGGTTGTAGGAGTAATTTTGGTATTAAATAATGGGTATGAAAAAATGCTTTACAAGATTATAAAAAACAGATCTGCTAATCAAGGAGTTTTGTCCCAAAGAATTCTAGCAAACTGTCTGAAGACTTGGTCTCAAAAGACTACTGACATCTTGTGAAAGAGGAAATCTAGAATATTTATAACACCATCCTCAGAGAACTGCTTTGTAGAAACAGACTGGGGTTAACGTGTTTTATGCCCCCATTAACAAAGCTTCGGGGGTATATAGTTTTTGTCGTATCCGTCCACCTGTCTTTCTGGCTGTCTCTCTGTCTCTTTGTTTGTCTAAATAACCGCAAAAACTTTAATCTTGCCCATAATTTTTGATTTAGTGATGCTATGATTTCCATATCTCACATGTGTATTTCTTATGACAAATTAGACCTTTTAACTTTGACCTTAGAGTTTGACCGGCTTTTTCACGAGAATTCCAAACGTTTACTTTGGCCGTTTCTTTTGAACAGTAGATACTTAAGGACTTTTATGCTTCATATATGTATTTTTTGTGGAAAGACCTTCATTGAATACCAACAATCTTGACTTTTTGACATTAAACTTGGAGATTCCCGTACTTATGAAAAAACTTGAACTTTGGCTTACTTTCATATTTCACAAAATTGTATTTCCATTGAGAATACGCTACGTTGGGAACTAATATATTAAGTGTGCATTTAGGAAAAGTATAATCTTCGCTGTGTTGTTATATCGGGGCATAAGTGTTTCACAAACACTACTTGTTTGTATAGTTAGTCACGAGACAGGAAAATTTACAATCTTTTTTATCGTTTGAATGGCTATATTTCTAAAAAGCATACTTTATGGTGTTTCTGAATTCAATAGAATATTTTAAATGTCTTTAAAATGTTAAAGTTCATTGGAGAAATTAAAATCCATAAATCATATTTATTACAGAATTTCATGAATATGCTGTTGAGCTTTGTGGGAGAGGTAAAAATAAAGGATTGTTAGAATATGTTGAAGTCTGCATGTATCTTTTCTTGTAAGTACTTTAACATTAGAAAGGATAAATCAAATTCTCTGGAATGGTTGGACCATTTCAAAGACTGAAGCATGGTTATCCGGAATTCCCTCCTTAGTAAAGAGTAAACCTTATAGCATAAGTTGGATTTCCGATAAAAAAAGAAGAAGAATGAAATCCAAATTCTTTTAGCAGATCGTTAATTAGATGTTTTAATGTATGGGATAATTAAAATAATGCATGGATAAGAATTCTGCTGTTTTACAGACCTATATCGAAATAATTCTAAACAATCCAGCACAAACATATTTGCCACTTATGATCAATATATATAAAATATTTCTTATAAAAACTCGTATATCATACCATGGATTTTGTCCAAATGAAATCAAATTAAAAGCTAGATTTATTCAAATTTCAACTCGTATACAATTTATACAATTTACACGTAAACATGAACATCCCAAGATAAAGTATTATCAATATAAACACCAAGTAATTTGGCCTGCTTCACAAATTCAATTTGAACATCATTAAAATTTATGATAAGATTTCTACATTTTTGTAACCTTTTGGATGTGCCAATAAGCATGCACTGCGTTTTTTGGAGATTTATACTGAGCTTATTTTTTATCATCCATTGAATTCCTAACTCTAAATCTTCTTGAAGTTTTTTCTCAATAACGTCTATGCATTTATCGCTTACATCCTGCGAGGTGTCGTCTGCGTACATTGTGACTGACGAGTGTTTAAGACATTTTGAGTAGTCATTGATATATAAAATAAAAAAAATAACGGTCCTAAAATTGACCCTTGAGGGACACCTAAAGATATTTCTTTTTCTCGAGACAGAGCACCTCGCCAACTTACACATTGCTTACGATTTAAAAGATAAGATTGAAAAAATTTAAAACTATTTTCACAGATTCCAAATGACCTCAGCTTGTGTAAAAGAACTTTATGATTGACTGTATCAAAGGCCTTACGCAGGTCAATAAACAGAACTCCAGTAAGTTTACCGTCCTCCATGTTTTTAAACCATTTATCTGTGAGATTGTCTAGTGCTGTTTCACATGAGTGACCTGGCCTAAAACCTGATTGACTTTCAGTTATTAGTTTGTTCTTTGATAGATATTCATAAAAAGAATTAAAAACATGACGCTCAATAATTTTGCTAACGACTGGCAAAATAGATATGGGTCTGTAATTGTTTACTAGATTTTCATCACCCGCTTTGTACAATGGAACTACTCTTGCTCTTTTCCATGCATCAACAAATGTACACGATGATATAGATTCATTAAAAATAAAATATTTGATTTATTTGAATGGACTACATAAATAGAAAAGAGTTCTGATATTTTACTTGAATAAAAATACATATATTTGACATTATGTGTGAGAGTTTTTATTTTCTCATAAGAATCAACCAGAAACAAATGACCATCTCTGAATGTTGATTTGCATTATGCTTTTGGTTCACCGTGATTTTTCAAAAAACCTATAGCATCCATTCCTCTCTTTATTTTTCTGACATTCTGAAAAGTATTGAAAATAAATGAAAGATAAAGAGGACTATACTAGTGATTTGATTAAATTATTTTTCTTATTCCTACTAATTAAATTACATAATGGACATTGTGGTGTTTTTTTTTTAAATCAAAGACCCCTCTCATCCCTAAAGGAGGATCAGTAAGACGTCCACCGTGGACTGGTCAGGCCCGCCTTGGGGCATTGGTATTAAGGATAAATAAAACAAAGCAAACTTTTTTCTAGTAATATGTTATTTCTCATAGCAGGTAGTCTGAAAAATGATTGCCAAATAAGGCCAAAAAAATTGTGTGTTTCCGGTATCATGTCCCTCAAAATTAGGGTAAGTAGGTAGGCAATTACATTTTTTTTACTTTTACTTTTTATTTTAACTCGACATTATATTTGACTGTTTTCAGGTAAACTGCTTATTATATTTAAATATTGACAAGTAATATTTTAATTTCTAGAGGTAGATATCAGAACCAATTGCAAGAGATTGATTTACAGAAAGGCATTTGAAATTTAATCACAATTTAATAATGAAATTTTGTCGCATTTAACCAAAAAGTAAAATGAGGAATTCAAGATTATTTGTCAGGCCTACTTCTACCTCGACCTCATTATCAATACAAGTTTGTAAAGACAATAAAGTTATATATAACATTTTTGAATTAGTTTTCCTATTATATCACAAATGTAATAAGTTTTGCTATAAACCCTGAAAAATGTCGAGTCACACCGGCAACAGTTATGTCAACCTTCGAGGAAACAGTTATGTCACTATTTCGATCAGGTTCACGTGTTTTTACGTTACGCATTTTAGCTCGGGTTCGAGATGTTATGACATCGGTTGCTAGGCAAATGTAAACAACGGAGCGTTATTCCATAGAACTAAATTCAATTTAGGTCTATGGTTATTCTTTACGTCAAGAAGGCATTTTTGGATTATTTGTGTACATTTTAACAATTTTGAATGATTTTAAATTCTCCTTTAATTTTAAAAATGTCATATAACATATACCACATGGCTTCTCGGGTGACTATACCAGTATATTTGCCTCTCGGTGACAGGAAAGCCCTGGAGTGTTATGTCACCCTCTGCCTTCGGCATCGGGTGACATAACACTCCAGGGCTTTCCTGTCACTGAGGGGCAAATATTTTCTGGTATGTCACCCTCGAAGCCATGTGATATATGTATATTCTCATTTCTTTTACAGACGATAATGAGTTAAACCGCCGATGTTGATCGTAATGCCACTCGACATTATATCCTTAAAACTATGAACTTCGATCCTTTGTTAGCTTCAAAATTATGAATATCTCCAAATAAATTTCCCACACTCCAGTGCCAAGGAAAGTTATTTATAATTTTATTGCAGTAATTCCGGATGCATGTGGACATTTCTTGAGCCAATGACAACATGTCAACATGTGGTGGACTTGAGGTTGAGTGATGCACATACTCAGTATAAAATAAGTGATGCAATACATCTGGGGCCACAATTTGACACACTAGCCATATCCCTGGAGTGTTTGCCTGGCTGCCCCTTAGAGCGTTTAAATGAATTGAAGTGCATTTTTAGAACTCCTAATAACGGGGCGCTATCGGGACCGATGGGAATTTTAATAGATTTTTGGAGAACATGGTCTCCAAACATGCCAAAACCACATAAATATTGTCAATCATAAACTCTAGCTTCTTTCTAATATCAACTTAAGAGTGCTTGTATGTACAATCAGAATGCTTTTTCAACAAAATAATTTTGCAAATGACCAATGACAAGTTTAGTAAATTTACGAGTTCCATCATTTTGATTAAAAAATCAGCTGTCAATGATATAAAAAAACCCAGGATTTATCGTGCTGAATGTTTATATATAAAATTGAAAAGAACTTTCCAGGGAATTTTTAAGTATTTCTATTTGATTTACACCACAATTTGAATTATTGGTTGCACGGTACCCTTGAAGTTTCTCCACTACTGTTGATATTTTTTTTCTTTTCTGAAGTACTGAATACAGAAGAATAGTTGGTTTTCATTTTGCCCCCCCCCCCCAATCGTTTGATGCGAGATTTTAATACACATAAAATACATTAAGTCCTTTCTGACAACATTGCAAAGTCTTCTTTTTCATGTTTGACGTAATCTTCAATAGAATCTATTATTATTGATGAAATTATGACACCAGTTGGAAGCCCGGGGTTCCCTGTATTAAATCCTGTAAAACTAAATAATTTGATGTTCTCGTTATTTGTGTCACTAGTAAAACATGTCCAGCAGGACTAAAGTTCTAGGGTGAAAAAGAACATGAACAGGAAGGAGGATTGTGTTTGAGATATTGTTCTAAATATAAGTGTTAATCCTGCACATTTCCACTACTGAAACGCTCTTCTTAAACTAGTTATGGAAACGACCCATTTCTATTTCACAAACAAAAACGGACTTGACTGAGCAATTATGCAATTGCATTTCATGAAGAACTGGAACCAATCGTAGACACCCTTCCTGTTGCTTAAACACTATGTTAGCGTATTCCTTTAGATTCTTCAGTTTCTGGACGAGAACAGGACCCTTCCAGGTATCTATTTCTAACAAGCCTCTGTTGCCCAGGTAGATTCCGTCAGTCCATGAATATAAAACTGCGTATCCCACCCTGGATAGAACTGAAATTAAATATCAGTGTTATACTTGTACTTAACGGGAACTTAATAACAAGAGTAATACTCAGCAAGATCATTACAATGAAGTAGATATATCACGGTATAATATCACAAGAGAATATCAGGTTGTCTTTACATGTTTATCTCAGAAATATCTATAGAATGTTATATAAATAATATCGAGAGAATATAAAATAATTCTAGTATTTAAATATAAGACTTGGGGATGGCCGTGTTATGATGAAGACAATATCCCTTACATATTATGCAAGCATTATTTCTTATACCGTATAAGTTTAAATTTTAGCGAGACGCAAATTTAGCGATTGTTTTTTAAAATATGGTATTTTGTTTTTAGCGAGAAGAAATTTTAAAATGCTATCTAATGAAGCTTTTACAAATTAAACACAGTTTATTTTTTGCGATATTCAATTTTAGCGACATCAAAACCCTCGCTAATAATGCCAAAATTAAATCCTCGCTAAAAATTCCGCTTATACGGTACTGAATCTGTCATTATATTCTAATTACATCAAAAGAGTTCCTTGTAATATCTGATATTATGATAAACTTGATGACTTTAACTTTACAATAGTCAACTTCCCTAACATATGCAGCAATATAATACGCTTATCACCCGCATTCGGAGTTTATATCTCTTAGTTGATTCGATACACAAGAGCATTTTCCTTGTTCATAAGGAATTTTATAACGATGTGAGTTATTGACAAACAAGTCAATAACAAGAATGTCAACAGTTTCATTTAAAGTTATCATCTAGTACGTTCACTTCGGGTCGATACAGTGACCTTGTCAGCAAATACAATCTATGATTGAGTCAAATGTTGACTTACATTTTTCATATATACTAATTGTTAGGCCATTATGTTTTTCGTTATTTCTCGATCATGAGACGAAGCAGATACAGGGCCTGACCTGATCGGCAGGGGACGCTCTCTACTCCATTGCACCTGATCCCACCTCTGATGTCTGTGTTTTCTCAGCACCTGATTGATATTGTTTTATGGACTTTTGATCTTGAATACTGCTCATATTCTCCGCATATTTTATTGACCTTATACTAAATGCCGTTTTATGCTAGGCAAGTTAATTATTCACAAAACAGATAATGAATATTACTCTGAAATCACAATTTAAACTTTCCAAGAGGTTTCTAAACGTTGTTTTAAAAGTTCGAAGAGACCCATGAAAGCATGTCCACCACGAAGAGTAAAATATTACATATATATCTACTCAACAATTCTTCATCCAAGAAATTTAATTCCCACGAACCAGTAGTTTTTTTCCGCAATTGTCTACTCGACAAATATGTGATTTTAGAGAATAAAAAATATATTTTACAAGATATTTCAAAAATTAAAACACTTTACATACACTTGCTTGCTCGTTATCTCCATATCCTTCATACAATAATGTACAGTTTCTTCCATTGTCGAAATAATGGATACTTTTTGTTTAAAACATCTTTATTGCAGACCTCTTAAAGAATTTTAACGCATAAAATCAGCTTTTTTGTATGTGAATTAAACACAAAAATATATGAATTCTGTTATTTCTCCCGAAGAAAAAAAAACCTACATATGACATCATGTATTTAAGAGCGTCAATTTTCTCGGAGGAATCAGCCAGAAACAGGTGCCCGTGTCTGAATGATGATCTGCAGTATTCTTCTGCTTGGCTGTGGTTTTTACTTTCATTGAAAAACCTGTAGCAGCCATTTGTTTCTTTGATGTACAAAAAATCTTCATTTTTCTGACATTCTGAAAATTAAATCAAATAAGGATAGGCAGAAAAATCATCCGTAAAGGTTAGCGAACAATTATCCATCAATTATAATCATGTAAATATGTAAATGTGTAATTATTTCTGAGAAACATTAAAAATTCTGTCAATAAATGGAAGATATAGATAACTAGAACTAAAGCAATTCAAATTCATAATCCCTGTTAATAAAACGTAATGGACACTGTGAAATTGTTGAAATCAAAGACTCCACGCAACACCAAATGAAGGATCAGTAAGACCAACCTGTGGACTGGTCACATTCGCCTTGGGGTATCGGTCATTTTTTTTCTCATAGCTTTATATTGACACAGGTAGTCTGAATAATGTTCTCCGAATAAAGTCGAAGAATTTTGTAAGATTTTGTTACAATGTTAAAAACCAGTTCTAAAATTTATATACCATATAAAACGAACCAAAGTCGCATATTCAAGCATCAAATAGTAGTAACTTACGATTTCTGAATAATTTAGGGATTTACTATTTGTGTCATTTTCATCCAAAATAAGTCAAAAAATTTATATCGATCCAGGCATCAAATTCTTGTTACATGTATGCCTCTTAAATCAGGCAACAGTCATACCGTAAATCTGGAAATTTTTACGTCGATTTATTTTTGCGAATTTGGGTCAAAAAGCCGTTGATTAATTTTTACGCTTCAAATTTTTGCGAATTGTCACTGGTGCTAAAAATAAAAATCACTGAAGATTTTCAGATCAGGTTATGTTTCAAATAATATGCCCAGTTAGAATACTAACAATATATTCACAACGTGGCAAGATATTGCAAAATCGCTCCGAAACAATTTTGATAAAAATACAAAAGGATTTGCACTGAAAATAATTTTTAAATCAATTATAACAAACATTTTAGAGGTTGTGTATGCCTTTTGACCTAAAGTATAATCCAAATGAAGAAAAAATATAACTTATTTTCTCAACGTTTCTTTTTTTCTCACCTAAAATTTACACGCGGCGTTTACATTTGGAACTTTCTAGTAAATGCTCTGAGTTATCGCCCGTGTTGATACGCGGTTAGATAAAATGACAGTTCTCTCTTTATTGGCAAATTAATTGATGAAAATAATTAAAAAGGGGCATACCGCCTCAGTGCTTGTCAAATCATCTGACGATATTGCATATAATAAGGGCAATTTACATGCAAGGGTAATTAACTTGTAGTTATATAGTAGACTAGTGTAAACAGGTTTCTTTTAAAAATGACCAGTGCTTACAGACGCCTATTCACTGAGTTAAAAAAAAAAAGACAAGAGTCCTCAGAAAAAAATTCTTCACATGTTGATTTATTTTTAAGAAAAATATTTTTGCGAATGCAATGCACGCGCAAATTTGCTAAAAATTTATCTACAGTAAAAATTTCCAGATTTACGGTAATACAATTTAAAGATAACTTGTTTTTTAGTATTAATTCACCTTTTTACTTACCTCTTTTATTACATTCATTAATATTTTGTGGCAATATATCTGTTATTCCCCACGAACCATCCTGTTTACAAGTATAAGTGGCTACGTTTAGAAATGTCCCATGTCTGCAACTGTACTCTCTGACATCTCCCACAGCCCTGGTGGTACTGGCGTATGTTCTCCAAGAACGAAAAATGCCTTCAGGAGGTTTCGTGCATTCTACAGAAGTGATTGAATTACATATCTATAAAGATATATTCATACATTATACAGTTCTAGTAAGGTATTGTTCAATCATATTCTATTACGAATAAAGTGTCACATTCTACAACAAAACCCTGTATCACATATAATTTAATGATAAACTGGATCATTCATATAAGATTTGCTAAATTTTATTGACAATTTTTGTAATGTTTGCTTTTTATTAAGTTAAAATAATGAATTTAATAACTACTCAATATATACAATATTATATGGGTTGTTGCAGTTAATGCGTTTTAAACCTTGAAGAGTTTGGGCTAAGATATGATCGGGAAATGAAAAAAAAAGTACTGGTCAATTCCAGCGAAAATAAATGCCTAACATATTGTATACAATTTGCAGTCAGGAATAGATATAAAGATCGGTTTTGCAGGGGGAAATCATTGTACATAAGTATGAATTGCCATAAAGGACCATTTTCATATGCAAGAAATAAGACAAACGTACTTAGAACATGCTCGTTTATACAAGTAACGAAGGATCTTGAAGACATAAACTTTATACAGTAACCCTATACAATAGAATGTAAAGATAAGGAAGATTTATGATGCTCGACATTGCATTGAAACAATCCCCATCAGAAGCAGAGCAAACACGGACCACTGAAAAGGTTAGATTGTATTTGCCTACAAGGTCGCTGTATCCACCAAATTTGCGAAAATGTTGATTTTAAATGATACTGTTAATGTCTTTGCTTTGTTAACGTTAATAGACAGTAGCTTGACACATGTAGAAATTGTTCGTTCTTGGGCATGTTCTTTAGCTTGGAGAAATTAATTTAGTGAAGGGGTAAAATGGCATATTACTTCATAAGTCAAAAGAGAATAAAGATGAATTCATCACATTTTCAGATAAAATCCAGTTGTCAGTACCTGTTCTATTGTTTTCACAATATCAGTAGGACTAGAATTATCAGCTACTCTTAAATGGCAATAAATCATCCAAGTTTTGTTTGAAGAGAGTACAATGTCAGTAAGTGTCAAAGTCAATCAATGCACAACTTAAATGGTTTGGAAGGTTTCTTTTCTTATTGCTTTATCTTTACATAAAAAAGTGATTTCATCTTTATACTGCCAAAAAAATTGAAATGTAAAACGTCGCAAATTTCCTCATTTAAAGTTATATTGTCAGAAGACAATTTTTTCAAGTAAAAATTTACTTTTTTTCTCCACAGAATGTAACATTGTATCCTTACCAGAAATACTGTAGAAAACAGATTGTATTGTTGTATTCTTACCAGTTATATTGTAGAAAATTAAACAGATCGTTTCATTGATTGATCTTTGATTGTATTCTTACCAATTTTACTGTAGAAAACAGATTGTATCAATGCACCCTTACCAGTTATACTGTAGTAAACAAATTGTATCATTAATTGTGTCCTTGTGAGTTATACAGTAAAATGCAGATGCATTACGTATTCTTACCAGTTATACTGCAGAAAACAGATTTGTCATTTAACACTTCGCATCTTTCATTTTCTCCACAAACTGCATCATTGCATGGGTATGTATTGACCTTCACAGAGAATAGACTACACCGTGTTAACCATTCAGTTTAGGTACATTCATAAAATTCATCAATAAGAGTTACTTTACAAATAGGCAGAATACTAAATATACATTCTTGAATGAAACATATGGAGATAACGAACAGTGTTCAAGATCAAAAAATCATAAAACAATACAAAATAGGAGAAGAGCGAACATTGACCTCCAAAACATCATAGGTGGGATCAGGTACCATTGAGGAGTGAGCATCCCTACCGGCTGATCACATTCTTTTAGAAAATAACGGATAAATTTGTCGTCAATTCAATGTATAGATAATGGACTAACAATTAGTATAAAAAAACGTCAGTCAGCATTTAAATGAATGATAAATTATACTTGCGGATAAGGTCATTGTATCGACCATAGAAATTCAAAACAATGACATTAAACGAGACTACCGATATTCTAGTTTCATCAACGCAACTTTTTTGTCGATGATTTATAACTCGTTTCAGAATTTTTTTTATACGTAGAGCATGCTCTTGCTTATCGAATCCACTGATATTAATAAACTCTGCATGCAAGTACTAGTGATGAAGGTATATATTGCTGCATAACTAAAGGAAGGTGACAATGGAAAAGTTAAAGTCATTCCGTTTATCATTGAACTTCCTTATTAGATTACCATAAATGTCTTTTTCAAGTAAGATACCCAAATATGAAACAGATGTGTCACATTCCGTGGCATCTTTTATCTCAAACTCACAAGGATATATCGTACCGACATTAAAATAGAAATTACAATTGTTATTTGACAACACGTCGTCGAAATATCTAAATGTCGAGTTGAAGGCTACAGTGAGTGTTTTCGTCTTTTCACGCTAGAGATTAATAGATACCTGAATAGTTATATAGTTGTGCTAATAGCGAAATCATTTAAAATGCTCCTCAGATAAGGAAGCATGGTTGATTGTATGTTGTTAAACGTCACTCTTGAGAATTTTTCACTCACATGAAGACGGTAAAACATTATACTCTAATAAAGATTGAATGGTATCAGTGACATAAAAAAAAGCATATCATTTTGTGTATTTCATACTACAGTAAGTATTATTGTAGTTTGATAGAATTATATTTTTTAACTTAGAGCTTACCATTGCATACATGTCTGGCTTCTCTGTGTACTGCCATGCATTGTCGGATCCATACAATGGATTACTAAGGCTAGCCCTGGCATACTGTAGGAGACATGACCCCTCTGTATTGTAACTGATGGAGACACAACTTCTCCGTAAGAGGCACTCTCTGATGCAAGTCAGGGGACCGGTATTCCCTAATTTGCGCATCGCACCCCAAATCATCCGCCCCTGACGGAAATGAGATCGAGGGATACACTGCTGTGTTGTGTAAAAATGAGGGGCTCGCACTGGAACCACCACGGACAGCAGAAAAGCTGTACAAAATAAATCTCAGTATTTTAATGAATTGAATGCATGAGTAATGCTTAGGTAATGCCTAAAATAATGGTAAAAGTTTACTTGAGTTGTTTGCAGATGTAACCAACAAGAAGATAACATCACATTTACTTACTTACCTATTGCTAATTACTTACCTGTTATGCGTATAGTTATAGAATTAAGTCTAGCTTTTTTTATTGCATAATGAATTTAACACCTTGTAACCTCAAAAATAATACTCGGAAATACTTTAATATATATAATCCTCCATGGCACCTGATCCCACCTCTAATGTTTCGGAGGTCCGTGTTTGCTCTGCTCTTATTTCGTATAGTTTTATGGACTCTGAGATTGAATACTGTTCGTTATCTCCATATCCTTCTTATATTTTAATGATGATTTATAAAAGTTGTTTATTTTTAAACTCTTTTATTATATTTTTATTTAAACATGAAAATAAATCAACGAATCTCTCTCTCTCTCTCTCTCTCTCTCTCTCTCTCTCTCTGAGTTGTCATTTGGTTTATATGCTAAAACATTCCTTAGCAATTTTACCGAATTAAAATATCATTAAGTGTAATATGCATTAACAGTAAAAGTGTTTACTTTATTTGAAAATTGAGGTTCTTATTTTAACGTGTATCAAATATATGTTTTTTGATATTTGGAATGCTGAACCAATTTTAGAACGTTTACAGAATGGGGATTTAGAGCATTATAGTAATAATTCTAGATCTGATGAATTGTATCTATTTGTTTCGTTTCCAGAATCAAATGTCACTCAAGATAAGACAATGATCTAGACAAATTATATACATCTTAAATTTTAAATCCCTTAATTCGAAGTACATATATTTTAATCTAATTCTAATTTTTACAAAAAAAACTTAGTTCTGCTTTCGTTGTTTTGTCGTTTTGCATGAACAGAATAAATATTATTAATTATATTATTGAAATCTAAGTACTATTTCTACATACCATAGACCAATCTTTTATATATTGGCAGAAAAATCCACATGACTGGAGAAAACAATCTCACTGTCGCAGGTTAAACCTCATCGTATATATGACAAAATTTTTAGACAGATGTTTTGTACGAGTTAATGAATTTACTTTTGCATTAATTCGATAAAGGGGGATGTTTAAACAATTCTTAATTTGCTGATGTACCCGGATATAAAAATGAATGATGCATTTAATCAACTTATATCACCTGTTACTTATCAAGGAGTTCAAATAACTACTCAGAAACTGTACTTTTTTGTATTTAATGAACAGTCTTATCCCTGCTGGATTTTGGTTTTGTTTATGTGTAGCTTTACACTTTCGAGCAAATTAGCTATTTTTTATTCATTTAAAATGCACTAAGGATTTTTTTTCTTTTACAATTCACCATGTTGCATTTTGCTGAACTCTTCAAGCATAAAATTTGTACTTTTTATGACATTTCTGTTAGACATAATGTTAAAAACACTAAATTTAGAAATAAATCATATATGAAGTTTTTACCAAATCACATTTATATTTTTATTAAGTGTTTTTGTGGTTTCTCTATTGGCTAATGTTAAACGAATCTAATATACACACTAAAATTAGAATCATTTTCTTCAACTTAAACATTTATTAATTTTAAATCTAATTAAAGTTTTGCTTTAGGGAAAATGTAAAAGAAAATGTAACAATCTTGTGGAGGGAAAGGTTAGCAAATATACAATTAATGAAGTCTCCCACATATATATATATATATAGCTAGTTTTTTTTCAAAATTGTGATTTTGTATAAAATGTTTTAATTTATCGAGAGGAGGTGTTGTATGAAGTCTGAAAAACATGCGTTTTGATTAATTTTTTTTTAATTTCAAATGTTCTTTGAAAGAATCTTTAACATTGTTTTGTATTATTTGAAAAAGTGTTGGAAGTTTTATTGTATTGGCATTGCCAATAGAATTTAAATAAACTATATCCACCTGGTCTATATCATTTAAAACAGAAACATGACTTTTTTTTCATAATCATGCACTGAGTAATTTTAACAACATCATAACTGTTTTATTCAAAATGTTCTTTTTCAGAAAAAAATAATTCACTACAGAAAGCAACATTGCAAATGGTAGACAATTCAAATAGATAATTCCAAAGAACTTTTGGACAATTTGATATAATAGAATTTTTCAAAATCAACAGCTTAAAAACAAACGACTTTTAAACTTTATACACAAACACTCCCCAAGATAAAATAAAGTCCAGACTCTTTGACATCATAAACAGCTGCTTTTTAAATAAAAATGTAACTCGTAAATTTACTTACCTGGTCCTTAGTCTTTTGCAAATTTTTTTGTTAAAACACATTTTGGTTGCACACAAAGACCTCTGAAGTTGACATCAGAAAGATGTTTGAGTTTCTGTGTGGTTTTTGGAATCCTGGCCCCAAGACCATAAAATGAGAACAGACTTAAGTCAAAATTTAAATTTTGAATATTTCAATTATTATTAAACGAACACGCATAGCAACTTTGTAGGAACATAGCAAGTTTGTTAGATATTTGAATACAAATATACCTTGAAAATTTTGTTTCATTTTGAATTTTTTTTTAAAGTTACACTGGTTTGAAATTTTGACTTAAGTCTATTCTCAGTTTATGGTCTCGGGGCCATGTCTTCCAACAATCTATTGGAATTCCCATAGGTACCAATTGTGCCCCGTTATTAGAAGACCTTTTTGGAATTTATATAAAGCAGAGTTTGTGCTAAATCTTATGCGTGAAAAGAAGAAAACTGTTAATGTGGCCTTCAATTCGACATTAAGATATATCGACGACGCACCGTCAATTAACAATGGTAATTGCTATTCCTATGTCAATACGATATAAATTGGGAAGCTTGAGCTAAAAGATACCACAGAGTTCGACACACCCAAACTTGGATATTTTACTTGAAAAAGACATTAATGGTAATCTAACAACCAATTTCCGTAATAAAATGAACAGTATTCAATCAAAAATCCATATAAAAAAACAGGAACTGAGCAAAGACGGACCTCCAAAACATCGGAAGTTGGATCAGGCGCCATGGAAGAGTGAGCACTCCCAGTCGACCGGCCACACCCGCCATGTGCTCCTTGTCGTCATGATCGGGAAAGAACAAAAAAAAAAAAACGTCGTCAATCCAGTGTATAAATAATGGACAAATATTACTAACTATCTAATCAACTATTAACAAAATAAAACACTGAAATGTCCACGTTTTAGCTTGTTGTTGGTTTTCCGGTCAAGACAAGGAGAATAAGACGGATGTAATCATTTGGCAGAGAATGTTCACTGTGTGTGGTTAAACATTAGGGTACGTTGAGAAAAAAGTTGGGTGGGGATGTCATCCCCCCTACCCAACCCAAACCTGATGCTACATGCCTGATTGACATGGTTTTACTTTATAATTATGTGAGCTGTCATAGTGACTCTCTTTCATAAACAAGAATTATTGTGAGCAAGCTAATAAAATGATACCAACCCTCCTGCTATTGCATTAAATGTTTTTTATTACAAAAAAAGGTCTAAATACTAATTTGAAACCTTTTAAAATTTTGCTAGTGCAGATATACATACCAAAAATGACTATGACAAATACTTAAGTCATAGGTAGTAAAACCGTTGTGTTGAGCACAAACTTCCAGTTAAATATGTAAATGTGCCAAACTCATATAGTACACTTTTACTGCAGTGACCTTGAAAAAACCATGTCCTTGAGTCAAGGGCAAACATGTTCAAATGAATTTTGGTCAAGGTCATGACAAACCTACAGCTTAAAAATAATTCCTAAGATGAAACCAAGTCTTTTCATTAGAATGTTACAGAAAGGGCAAAGGTTGCACTTTTCTTCTACCAATGACCTTGAACTTGTTCAAATGACCTTGAGTCAAGTTTTTGACACATCTCTCGATCGCAAGCAATCTTAATATCAAGTATGAACTTTCAGTGGCACTTCATTGAAATGTTATGGACAAGTCAAAATTTTACATACATATGGATCGGTGAACAAGGTGATTCCTACCCCACCCCCCTTTTCCAAGCTTCATTTGTGAGGAATATAAAATTCCTTTTGAAATTGAATGTGCATTTATTTATTAACAATAGTAAAGTTATGAGTATGCTTTGATCAGAACCAATATGGCCAATATAATGGACACTGAACATGTATTCAAATTACCTCCACCCCTTCAAAAAAGCTTATAAATGCCAGATTTTCACACATTTTAACCATTTGTAACTTTTTTCTGCTAAAGTTGCCTGCAAATTTTATTGTATACGAGGGTTGTCCCAAAAAGTCGTAGACAATGGCAATAACTTTTTTAACACGCAACCAATACTAACCAAATTTTGCATAGACATAATACATTCAATGTTCTTTAAGATTGTGAATTCTTAAATATATATCTTTCATATTAATTATATTGAGACGATTTATATGAAGACCGATATGGTCTTTCGGCGCACGACCAAAATTCAGAATATTTTACACGTATAACTATTACATTTGTTTTTATTTCTTGGGTACTATGTAAAAGATTGAACTAAAATTTAAATCACTGAAACCAGAATCAAAATCTTGATAATATGTCAAAATTTCATATAAATAGCATTAGAAACAGACGACTGGTGGCATGATTTTCAACGTGCTGTTCGAATTGAGATTGATGAAAATGACGTCGTCAAACGCGTACCCGGCGCACGGAAATGTAAAAAATTGTGTTTGGTATATTTTATATTCATCAGAGACTGAGGAAATGAGTACAGAAAGGACATTACACACCATATTTTAATAGAAAAGTTGTTTTTTAATAGTATGAGATTCAAAGATAGTTTTTCCTCTAGATAAAAAAAAAGTTATTGCATGTAAAGTGGAGTACTGATTGTTTAACGCAGACATTTGCCGGGAACAATCTGGGCCATGAACGTCCTCAAACAAGGTTTATTCTCTGCTGTCTAAAAAGTAAGGCGATCTTTCAACTAATTTAATTTTGACTAAAATTTTACTTTCTACTTAAGAAAGCGGACAGTAGTGAATTTAAATTATTCCTTTAGTCAAGAGTGGTTTTTCACTAAAAAAATATTCATTTGGATGTTAATAGCCTTATGTAGAGCAGAAAAAGGGCCCATGACGTTATGAGAGACGTAAATTACGTTTGCTTTCGTGCGCCGATGTACACTTATATGGTTTCTTTATTTTTTCATAATTTTCTTATTTAATGTGGTATCGTCATGAAACTTAAAATATATGATCATAGAATGTTACTCTTTGCTATGAAAAGAAAAGAAATTTGATTTAGCAAAGAGAAAATAAACTATGTTCCCTGTCTACGACTTTTTGGGACAACCCTCGTAGATATGACATATAGATAACCCCTAACAAGATCATACCATTCGTTTTTCCAGCAGTGGTTGTAGATTTTGTGAATAAAGTGATAAACATATGTAACTTTTTTTCAAAATTAATAAGCATTGACGCCATGTTCTTTTCCCGTTGTCATGGCAACAATATCACTACAGAAATTTTGTTTTTCCTATTTTTGGAGAATAAAGTAATTCCATCTTTTAACAAATAAAGTAACCAAAATACCTTATCTTATCACGTTCAGAAAAAAATATTCGTAGAAAAATGTCTAAAAATCATTGATTTTCATAAGGATTTATGAACCCGTTGCTAAGGAAATGAATTTCCTTGGATACCAGTCCCTTCATACGTTCGAAAAAAAAAATTTAATTGTGTTTTAGCATTAGGTAAGACAAAATCTTTCATATGCCAAAAGCTTTTGAAAAAATAAAATTTTGACTTTCCATTCAATGCTCGATGCTTGCTGATTTTGACTCTTAAATACTGTTCGTTGTCTCCATATCCTTTTTATATTTTAATGATGCTTTATAAAAGTTGTTCATTTTTAAATTATTTTACTATATTTTTATTTAAAAATGTAAATAAATCAACGAATCTCTCTCTCTCTCTCTCTCTCTCTCTCTCTCTCTCTCTCTCTCTCTCTCTCTCTCTCTCTCTCTCTCTCTCTCTCTCTCTCTCTCTCTCTCTGTGACATGTCATTTGGTTTACATGCTAAAACATTCCTTAGCAATTTTAAAGAATTAAAATATAATAAAGTGTGATAAGCATTAACAGTAAAAGTGTTTACTTATTTGGAAATTGAGGTTCTTATTTTAAGTAAACGTTTATTAAATATATGGTTTTTTTTTATATTTGGAATGCTGAACCAATTTCTGAACGTTTACAAAAAGGGGATTTAGAGCATTATAGTAATAATTCTAGATCTTATGAAAATTGTATCTATCTGTTTCGTTTCCAGAATGAAATGTCACTCAAGATAAGATAATGATCTAGACAAATTATATACATCTTAAATTTTAAATCCCTTAATTCGAAGCACATATACTTTAATCTAATTCTTTTTTTTTTTTACCAAAAAAAACCCCAACTTAGTTCTGCTTTCGTTGTTTTGTCGTTTTGCATGAACAAAATTGATATTATTCATTACATTATTGAAATCTAAGTACTATTTCTACATACCATAGACCATGTAGACCAATCTTTTATATATTGGCAGAAAATTCCTCATGACTGGAGAAAACAATCTCACTGTCGCAGGTTAAGCCTCATCGTATATATGACAAAATTTTTAGACAGATGTTTTGTACGAGTTAATGAATTTACCTTTGCATTAATTCGTTAATTTTGCTCATGTACCCGGATTTGAAAAATGAATAATGCATTTAATCAACCTATATGACCTGTTATTATCAAGGAGTTCAAACAACTACTCAGAAACTGTAATTTTTTTGTATTTAATGAACAATCTTTTTCCTGCTGGATTTTTGTTTTGTTATGTGTAGATTTACACTTTCGAGCAAATTAGCTTTTTTTTCATTTAAAATGCACTAAGGATTTTTTTCTTTTACAATTCACCATGTTGCATTTTACTAAACTCTTTAAGCATAAAATTTGTACTTTTTATGACATTTCTGTTAGACGTAATGTTAAAAACACTAAATTTAGAAATAAATCATATATCAAGTTTTTACCAAATCACATTTATATTTTTATTAAGTGTTTTTGTGGTTTCTGTACATGTATTGGCTAATGTTAAGCGAATCTAATATACACACTAAAATTATAATCATTTTCTTCAACTGAAATATTTATCAATTTTAAATCTAATTAAAATTTTTGCCTTAGGGTAAATGTAAAAGAAAATGTAACCATCTTGTGGAGGGAAAGGTTAGCAAATAAACAATTAATGGTCTCCCACATATATATATATATATAAATATATAAAAAGCACTAAAAAACCAACAACACTGTATATCCTAAATGTAATGAATACAAGGTCACGGATGGAAATTTATATAAAGCACTAAAAATGACCAACAAAACATAAAAATTGTCATTTTCGGGAGCTAGTTTAAAAAGTCATAAGAATATATATATATATAGCTAGTTTTTTTTAATCAAAATTGTGATTTTGTATAAAATGTTTTAATTTATCGAGAGGAGGTGTTGTATGAAGTCTGAAAAACATGCGTTTTGATTAATTTTTTTTTAATTTCAAATGTTCTAATTTTAACATTTTTTTGTATTATTTGAAAAGTGTATTGGAAGTTTTATTGTATTGGCATTGCAAATAGAATTTAAATAAAATATATCTACCTGGTCTATATCATTTAAAACACAAAATTGACTTTTTTTCATAATCATGCACTGAGTAATTTTAACAACATCATAACTGTTTAATACAAAATGTTCTTTTTCAGAAAAAAATAATTTACTACGTAAAGCAACATTGCAAATAGTAGACAAATTAATTAGATAATTCCAAAGAACTTTTCGACAATTTGATATAATAGAATTTTTAAAATCAACAGCTTAAAAACAAACGACTTTTCATCTTTATACACAAACACTCCCCAAGATAAAATAAAGCCCAGACTCTTTGATATCATTAACAGCTGCTTTTTAAATAAAAAACGGAACTCGTAAATTTTCTTACCTGGTCATTAGTCATTTGCAAAATTATTTTGTTAAAACACATTCTGGTTGCACACAAAGGCCTCTGAAGTTGACATCAAAAAGATGTTTGAGTTTTTGTGTGGTTTTTGGAGACCAGGTCAAAATTTAAATTCTGAATATTTCAATTATTATTAAACGGGAATTTGTAGGAACATAGCAAGTTTGTTAGATATTTGAATACAAATATACCAAAATTTTGTTTCATTTTGAATTTTTTTTTAAAGTTACACTGGTTTGAAATTTTGAGAAGACATTTTTATGGAATTCATATAAAGTGCATTAGAAGTTTGGAATTTATATAAAGCAAAATCTTATGCGTGAAAAGAAGGAAACTGTTAATGTGGCATTCAATTTGGCATTAAGATATATCGACGACGTACCGTCAATTAATGGTAATTGCTATTCCTGTGTCAATATGATATATAATGGGGAGCTTAAGCTCAAAGATACGACAGAGTCTGACACACCCAAACTTAGATATTTTTCTTGAAAAAGACATTAATTGTAATCTAACAACCAAGCTCCGAAATTCAATGAACAGTATTGAAGAAAAAAAAAATCCAATAAAAATACAGGAACAGAGCAAAGACGGACCTCCAAAACATCAGAGGTGGGATCAGGTGCCATGGAAGAGTTAGCATCCCCAGTCGACCGGGCACACCCGCCATGTGATCCTTGTCGTCATGATCGGGAAAGAACAAAAAAGAACCGTCGTCAATCCAGTGTATAAATAATGGACAAACATTACTAACTATCTAATTATCTATTAACAAATTAAAACACTGAAAAGTCCATGTTTTATCTTGTTGTTGGTTTTCCGATCATGACAAGGAAAATAGGACTGATGTGATCAGTTGGCAGAGAATGTTCACTCCTTTCTGGCACCTGATCACATTTTTTTTATGTTCTGGATTTCAGTGTGTGTGCTCTGCTCCTGACTTGTATTGTTTGAATACTGTTTTTATCTCTATATATTTTATTACTTAACTTGCAACGAAATGAAAAGATAGAGAACACTTCCGAATGTGAAATATGAAGAAAGTGTTTCAAGAGAATATGTTTTTCAATCAAGTCAACCCAATAGAGTAGAAAAGAATTGGAATAACACATATTACATTTTTACATATTTATTTAACAGTTTTAATGTACATAAAAACAGCAGGATTTCTAAATGCATTCCACATTTAAAATTCAATCCTTTGCCCTGACTCGTGGAATAACGCCATATTTGTTATAAATAAAACTATAATTTGTTCAAGTGGATCCTCCACTTGTCTGCCGTAGCGACGCCATGAAATGTAGAGACAGGTGCAATGTGCTGATTGATAGTCTTTAATAAGTCCACAGTGTGTCCACCCCACCTGTCCTCACCGTACCCCACCTGTGAAAACAGTTTCTCCACTGGAGGTGCCGCCATGGCACTACCCCGACTGTCTTCTATTTTCACCGAGGACCACTTAAGATGATGAAGAGAAATCTAGAATAAATTGGAATGAATTATTTATAACATGTAGAATAAAAATTTAATTTATTTAGACTGGGTTAAGGTTAGGGTTGGGATAATGGCGAAATTTAAACATTCTGACATTAGGCGTGGAGGTTCAGTTCATATTGTTTTCATTTTTGATTATTGAATTTGCTGTACTATAACTGACCCTTGAAGATTAACGATTCCCCAACAAAGTATGAAAAAAGTTAAGCATACCTAATATATAGATAATTATGCTATATTGCATCTTATAAAAAAGTATTTTTTCTCCTGTAAAACCTTTGTTTTACACAGGCCCTTCCCGCTTTCAGTCTTACATCAGTCCCGTAGCTTCATGAATTTTAAGAAATTAATTTACTATGCAGATGTGCTTCCATATTTTGCTCTATGCATATGCTTCCATATTTTGCTCTATGCAGATGCTTCCATATTTTGCTTTATTGTGACCCTCTCATTCATATGAGATTTTAAGATACATCTTTAAAAAATTGTGAGAATGTCACTAATATATATGAAGGCGCAACAGAAAGCTATCTAGTCTTTATGGTGAAAAGACTGATTGCAGCATTGTTATTCTTGTCAGAAAGGAAATTCAAAACACCCTTTATATCTTTCACCAAGTGTTTTGAATCTAATCTTCATGCCTGGACCCTTTGCTATATTAGATTTAACAAACTTAAACCTCTGCTATATCTGCTTCGGCACACCTAACCTAAATGCTATATTAGATTTAAAACACTTAATTAAACCTACGATACATTGGCCTCAATTTTCTTTTAAAGACTGTCTCTCGTATTATTTCTCTTTTTTTATTTTTTTAATAAGAATTTTGTCAATATCAACTATAACACTTTTTTTTTTACTTTTAATTGATTTCCTTCCTTTATTATATAGGATGCTATTAATCTAAATAACCTTAAAATCGACTCACTAATTACCTGTAACACGATTTGCCAAGTGGTTTTGTTGTTGTTTTTTAAGAAAATTGTAAAGAAATATCAACGGAGGGACAAATATTGAGTCAGCTAACGTAATTAATGAACTGTCACTTTAGCTTTATCAGCTCAGTTTATCTAGACATTCTGTATGAGCCTTGAGTTTTCAAAGAATTGTCATACTTTTCTTAACCTCACTTTAAAAGACATTCTTTGTCAAGTGCAAACAAGGTAACCATTATCACACGGCAAAGAGAGCAAACTATTACCCGAATTAGCATATTACCAAACAACACAATTATGTCAATATCATATGATGGAAGTAAGTGATCCGTGTAGCAAGACTAATGTTCGATCTGATTAGCTGATAATTACTTTTCAATGACAATTCTATATGCCTAAGCATCACTCAGTTAAAAGCATACTTTTGATATATGGGAATTTTTCATCATTTAGTTTTATATATGTATGTTATTTTCAATTTCACTGTTTAATCACATTTAATATTGCGTAATGCAGTGTAAATTGACGTACCAGATAGAATTTCTTGACGACCACCCCTTTCAGAATCACTCTCCATTTCACCTTCTGATAATTTGATAGCACAATTGAAACCGGGGTCGGGTCCGAGGAATTTCCGAAGAGTTCCAGGACGGTCTCTTCACTCTGACTGTTACTAAATATACTAATCACGTGTAAATTGTCTTTAGTGTCTAAACTTATCGGTGAGTGACAGGAATACATTGTGGACTTTTTTCCTTTGATCAGTGCATCAACAAATCTCCTCTTTCCCTCCTGTATATAGCAGTCCCCATATTTTGCTGTAAAGGAAAATTGCCAATCTCAAAGAGTGACAATTACTAAGCAATAAACATTGGAATATTAATTACAATGAATCTTATATTTCTATGTATTCAATGACCTTAACCTTTCTAATTAATTACCCTCATCTGATATAATTTAATGATTTGTTAAATGAAATATATGGAGATAACAATCAGTATTCAAGCTCAAAAATCTATAAAACAATACAAAATAGGAGCAGAGCAAACATGGACCTCTGAAACATCAGAGGTGGGATCGGGTTCAATGGATGGAGCAATGGAGTGAGCATCCTCTGCTGACCGGTCACGCCCGCCGTGTGATCCTTGTCATGATCGGGAAATAACGTATAATCAGTGTAAAATAATGAACTAACTATTAGTGTGTTCAAATTATATGTACAAATTAGGAATGATAAGTAAATATTACGAATTATTATGCTTCCTGTCAGTTTGTCTCTATATAACCCATACCCTACTATTCTCGCATAGTGGTCTAAGGATGTATATAGCGTAAGCATACTATGCCGAAAGAACGAGTCTAAAGGCAGCTCCCTGCACACCATGTGACCGTAATTATGACGTCACGTCACACTCAAAGCGAAAGTAAGAATAAATGCTTGTACGCATATAATTCGTGCAATCGTCTGTTTACGTGAATGTTCAATGCTATTATATTTTATGCATTATTCAATGAAGAAAGCTAGATTAACAAAGATATAAACGTGCTTGAAATACCAACCTTTTGTATAATTGGTTAAAATACCTAATCTGATTAAAGGGGGGGTATATCGCTTGTGAAGTTGTGCTTATCATTAAACACAAAGGATGTACACATCCAACGACAACAACCCTTCATACACCACTCCCACCCCAACCCCAACCATTTTGCTTGACACTGCAGAGTAAACAGGTAAACCAAAAAGTCTTCAGAACTTTATCTACACAATGTCAATTATATGTTCCGCGATGTTTCTCCGTGTAGAGATATCGATGGTATTCCAAAACCTTGACATTATGAAGATTTCACACTTTGAAATGATAATTAAAGAACTTAAAGCCAAAACAGATTGTAAACTTGTTGTTGTCTATTGTATTGCAATATAGACCCCCCCCCATTCTTAGCTGTTGAAAATCCCAACTGGTATGACATTTTACAGAGACATATGCATTTTAATTACTTGTGTTCAAATTTAATCGTATCGTCTTTTTCATTGATTTCTTAATTATTCTTTATCATATATATTTATGATATATATTCTTCGTTTGAACATTTTTTTCTTCTGATTTCATTCAAAGCATTCTAACATGTCTAATGCAACTTATTAAGTCAAACAAATGTATACTTTCTTTAATTTAATAAAAAAAATAAATAAAAAGACAGTACATGTAGCATACGGTACATGAAAACAATACTGCTTTGTTGAAATCTAGCTACTTTAATTATGTATTACTATTGTAATTCAAGCAAAAAACTAGTAATAAAACTTAAAGATCATCATCAAAAATTCATAGGTGACATATCACATTCACGAACCAGAGGCGAATCCACCTTTTTTTTGAAAGAGTCTTCCAGGTATGTGCCCCCCCCCTCTCCGCACCGTAGCAACGACTTTAAAGGCCCTGAATGAAGCTGACAACCCCCCCCCCCCCCAAAAAAAAAATTTAAACTGAGCACCCATAATTTCCAAGTTCGTTGTAAAGGGGGGGGGTCTTTTACTTTTCAGTACATTTTTTTCTTTCAAATGCTGGAATTTGCATATTTTGACGCTGACCACCAACTAAAAGCTGTCGTAGGGGAGCAGCGTCTGAACTAAATTTGCGTATTAAAAGTACATTCAGCAAAAGATTACTCTCAGAAAAAGTGAGGCTCCCCCTCCACGTATTATGGGGGCGTTTTTATACCTTTTGTCTTCATTGACTAAATTACTTTCATACTAAAGGGAGAAAATATTTATCTTTAGCATACTCCTTATCATAACCTTTTTTTGACATATTCCTGTAAGGAAGTTACTTTAGAAGGTTGTCCAAAAATGTTATCGCGAAAGTTTTGCCAGAATCTTCTGATATTGAAACCTTGCATGTTACTAGTATGGTAATTAAGATCATTTTTCTTTCAAGAACTTATTATAAATGAATAATCCTTCATGACATCCTTATAAGTGTCAAGTGACATTGTGTGGGCCCGGTTGGGGCCCGGGACCAAGGTAGTGAAGGCATAACGGGTATCTATTAGCAATAGGCAATACTCTTTCTAGTGAGCAGAAAAGCAGAAAACTACTTTTAAAAGAACCAAAGTCTTTGTTATATGAAACACAAGCCTTTTTTACTGACTGGAACATTCCTTTAATGGTTTAACAAGATAACACTGTTGTTTTTAATTTGGTGGTAAGCAGGATACTGATTGTTTTTACTGTCCAAATTAGCAGCGGTCTCTGTCTGTATTTTCTACACCATAGAGAAGACTCATTCACATCCAGCATTGGAGTTTGGCACAATATTTAAAGCAATATGAGCTGCATTTTTGAGAATTTTATTCTGCTGGTAAAATGTGTTATTATGATCAATCTGTACATGTATGTAATCTAAACCTTTATGATCAATAAGACCAAATTAAACTTCAAAAAATGTTTCAGAAGTAATATATCTGAACAACCGAATATAAAGTATTATACAGTATTATATAAGAAATCATTATTGTACAGGACGAAAATAATAATATTTTGCTTCAGTCAAAGCTTATAGAAAGTTCTTCCATAGCAAATATGAACAACAGAAGTTTACATATATTCTATTTTTCTGTCATTGAAATGGTAAATTACAAATTTGCAACATTTCTTTTCCGATGTCAAACATGTAGCTCATATTGCTTTAAGCACGGCTTTGACTATTTCAACATCACTGCAATCTGCTGTACAGTCACGAAGTATGGAGTTGATCCTTATGTCACAGGTTCAAATCCCACTGTGGGATGTGGAGACCGGTCCTTCGGATGAGACCGTATAAACCCAGGTCCCGTGTCGCAGTACCTGATGGCACAAAAAAGATCCCTCCCTGCTCAATGGCCCTGAGAGCTGAGTATAGGACAAAATTTGCAGCTCTCCACCGGCAAGTGATGGCGTCTCCATATGAGTGAAACATTCTTGAGAGGGATGTTAAACAACATAAGATCAATCAATCATCACTGGAAACCTTGGTGTCTTGGTGATGTTATTTCTTTTGTCCAGAATCCTATCCCATGCAGTAAACATCTGTTCTTGTGTCTTCTACAAAACCTGGGAGGTCCACAGCAGGATTTGTTTGGTAGTCCATGAATTTGTCTTTCCTTTGTTCCCATTGATCCTAGGGCACTATGGAAGTGAATCTCTGTGCTAGCACAGTTAGGGCAGTTGGTGGTAGATCTCCTCCATTTGCTGGATTTAGGAAACCAAGGTTGGATACCACCATATCCTTGAACAGAAATTTGACCAGCATCTTTGATGTCACTGCATAATAGAATTTTCTGACCTAAAAGATATTTTTAGAAGTCATTTATAAACAGAAAATAAATAAAAATGTCAAACAAATAATTAATTGGCCCAAAATGATATTTTTTTATTAGTCTCAAGTTAACAAGGAATCTGCAATACAAACCTCTGTAGTCATGATGTTTGATTTTCATCCTCATGGTCCACCATGTAAGCTCTTGTCATTACATCAGTGGCAATGATGTTGTCATTCAGCTGGGAGTTGCTGTCTATGATAGACACAGTTGTGAGGTCCTTGATCAACTTTATGATCATTGCCTTAACAAACTTCTCCAGGGACTTCCTCAACCAATTCAACATCTCTTTCATATACCCAATCTTAACTTCACCAGCCTGATAAAAGACAAAAATGTTTAAATATTAATATCTCCAATATATGAAAGCCAGATAGGCTCATTTCTGAGAAGATAAAAAAACTTAATGCGTTATAACAAGTTAGAATCATGTAAGATCCTATACATATCACACTTATTTCTTTAAAGTGAGGTCAAGGTCAAATGCCATGGTCAACTCAAACAATGTTGATGCAGTTGAAAAGCTCTCATCAATATGTATCAGCTTATGAAGTTGAAAAAAATATTATAAATGGTTTCTTTAAAACTGACTTAATTCAGAGAATTTGTGTCCCCCACTTAGGGAAAAAGTAAACTATGCACAGTTCAGGGGAGGAGGGGGGAGGGGGGGGGGGGGGTCGGATCCCCTTGACTGAATTTGTAGATTTATTAAATTGATACATGTATACTGAAGCAAATAAAATATGCAGCCCTATAAAGGTTTGATTGCTTATTCTTTATTATGTGTATAGAAGATTCTATTTATATGGAATATTTATCACACTGTAATGATGATTTTATGAGTTCGTACAAGCCAGACCTCATAAATTTTCATTTCTCATGCTGAATACTATCATTTAGTAAAAACAAAGTTTTTCGAGAAAAAATATGGATCATTCGGGATGTGAACCCGGGCCCTCTTACATGTGAAGCGAGAGACATACCACTAGACCATGGGGCTGCTTTAACCTTGTGAAAATTATAGCAAAGATGAAGTCACATACATGTTCATGTATATTTAAAGATTATAAAGTCAACCGAGAACCTGTTTTATACGTAATAACTCTCCTCATGCCCCTGTGCTAAAAATAGCAACATTTAATACAATAAATACTAATAAGACAAATGGGGCGGGACACTTTGAGAGGGCTGAGAGAGGTCCTAGGGAGTTTTGATATAAAATAACATTGCAAAAGCTCAAAAACTTCTTGAAATATCGCCCAGAAATGATAGTGTTTCAAACAGACAGAATGTATAAATTTATGACCTTGAACTTTGACCTTTTGACCTAAAAATCAATAGGGTTCTTCTTTAGTTCATAGGGAGTTGATATGCACAATTTCATTGCAAAAGCTCAAACGGTTCTCGAGATATCATGTGGAAACGAAAGCGTTACAGACAGACAGAAAGACGGACGGATGGACAGACGGACGGACGGACAGACCCAAATTAATATCCTCCACTTTTCAAGCGGGGGACAAAAAGTGGGGTTAAATGAAAGGTCAAGGTAAAAAATGTTGATGCAGTGGAATTGCTTACATCAGTATGTATGAGCTTATCTAAGCATTAATTAAGAAAAGTGCAGTCAAGGTCAAAGGAAAGGTCAAGGTCAAAAATAGTGATGCAGTTGAATAGCTCTTATCAATATCTATGAGCATGTGAAGTTTGATGAAAATGTCTTGGATAGTTTCTTTGAAACTGAGTTTTGAACAGAGCTAAACACAAAGTGTGACGGAAGAACAGGAGGACAGAAAGACTGAAGACGGACATGACAAACACACTACATGCCCTGCCATATTCATGGCGGGGCATAACAAAAATATAAGTATGATATAGCCTTTAATCAGTACAGCATTATCATTCCTATTTAATACTAAAATAAAATACATGTACCTTATTATGATATTATAACAGTGAAAATAAACCTCAACAAGAAGGTCTTCAACTGGCAGAGCAATTACCTTGACTCCAGCTTGATAGATATATTACAGGGAGACAACTTGTTACACATTGATGGCTAGATGACAAACAGGAGAACTTGGAGGAATTTTGCTGTCAGGAAACATCGATTACAAAGCAATATGTCACAAAGATAGGGAACAAAACCTCAGCCCGCATCACCATGATCACATCTGCAACAAAGAAATTACTTTTTAAATACAGGAGGGGATCCAGGAATTTGTTCCAGGGTGTGTCCACCCAAGTCAAAAGCAAAAAAATAAAACTTTTTTTCCAGATGTGAAAAACCTATTTTGTGGGTGGGGTGGGGATCTTCTTTGTTGAATGTTGACTTTTAAAGCTTCATACCTATGACTTTTCATACCATTTTTACATAAATCCCAGTTTTCTAGGAGGGATCCTGATTGTCTAAGGGGGTCACTTTTACTTGGTTTAGTATATACAGTTAATAGCTCTGCCTGCAAATTTGTGTGTGTGTGGGTTGTGTGTCTCTGGCCCCCCTTCCCTAGATCCGTGCATGAACATATGATATTAAGTTATTAACAAAATCAATGCATGCAGCTCATACTGTAGTGCTTAGTTATTGATACAAATTAAGTTTGTAATTCTAAACATTTAAAAAATCATATGTTGCTATTTTCTTACATTAATGTTAGACATGAGTTGCGTATAACAGAGAAAATCTCCATATTTCATTTCAAATGTTCCATTCATAAACTTGACTACAGAATGAGAGAATGAAGAAGAACTGGCCAGGGATTTCAGATGGATATTGTCCTTCAAACCATGCCATGTATTCTACCACTGGAGGTAGCCTGCATGGCACATTGGTTTAGAGCATCTGCTTTAGACTAACAGAGTAAGGAATTTATGGGTTCAAATCCCACTGTGGGACATGGAAACCTGACCTTCAGATGAAACCATATACATGTACATGTAAACCAAGGTCTGTGTCGCAGTAGATGATGGCACGAAAAAGATCCCTGACTGCTCAATGGCAGTCCCTGACTGCTCAATGGTGATGTATCAATATGAGTGAAAAATTCTTGAAGTGTCTTTAAACAAACTACTTCCATATCAATATGACTATTAGTGCAGGGTTGTCACACCTCTCAAAGTGTCTAGCATCCTTTGTGACCAGCATTAGAGCATAAAGTTTATAAATATAGCAAGAAGTATAGAATATTGATATTGCTCATATCTCTTTAATGATTCAAATATTACTCTTAATTTATCATGTTCATAACCTGATAACCAACCAAGAAAACTTGATAAACTAGTTGTACTGTGAGCAATGAGTATAAAGTAAAATAGGAGGTGCACAATGGCAATATGTAATAAAGATTCTCTGAAAGTCTTGTCAAATTTCATTCAGTGGTAAAAGAGGAGTTGCGGATAAGAGATGGGTACCCCGGCCAAAGCGTTACAGACAGACAGACGGATGGACAGACATTACAGCTAGACAAACCCATGAACACTATTTACCCTCCCACTTTTCAAGCCAGGGAAATTACAAGTCAGTCAAATCTTGTACAACATGTGAAGACATAGATATAATCAATTTTACTAAAGTATGGTACATGTGACTTATGATTATGTGCAGATACCGATGGCACTAGTCATATTAAATGACAACTTAGGAGGTACTATTAGTTAATACATAGTTTTTGAGTGACAGGGTATGGGATGATACCTGGTTAGTAAATTTCATACTGGCGAGGCGGAGCTGAGTCAGGTATGAAATTTATTAACCAGGTACCATCCCATACCCTGTCACTCAAAAACTATGTAACAGATTTACCCCACCAATGAAACATTTACATATTATCTGTAGTTTATAAATGTTTTCCTCTGCTACATGCTTCATCACCCTTAAACTGTGCCTGTTATGATGTCACGTTGTGTTTGTTACATAATACATTGACTGTGTATTGATTTACAATTGACTGGGTATAAGTAACCCACCTCCTTCATGTGACAGACTTCAACCAATCGTAAGATTGAAAAATATTCGAAAAATCTACGGAAATGGGGTTAAAATATTATATGGGGTAACAATTACAAGAACTTTCTGGGAGAATATATCCTTTTTAAAAACAGTAACATTTTTTAAAACCTTCAGGTTGTAGTCATAATAAAAAAATAGCTGAAGAACTGTAGCTGTCTGAAACAAATACACTGGGTGACAGGTCTGAGAGCTACTGTAACAGTGCTACCAGTTGAAAAAAATTTATATTTATTGTGCACAAAAATTGATTTATTTCACCATGTTTTCAAACTTCCATCTCAAAATGTTACTATACACTGCCATTTTGAGAGGCAAAGTATTTGGTCCAACAAACCAACATGCTGCAGCTATGTGCAGACATTAAATATGGGAGAAGTTGACAGAAATAAAATCTAGCTTTTGTACAATTGACATGATTGAGAAAAGAATTTAGAGAATTTAATCCACAATCAAGCATAAGTTTTTGTGCTCTAGCTCTGTCATCTATACCAATTGTTTAAGACCAGTGTGCTACAGATGAGATCTGCAGCTAACTTAAAATTTAATTGAGAGATTTTCTCTCTCTTATCAGCATGACTTCTGTGGTGCACCATTTTAATCACTGCACATAACCATTAATATCATATGGGGAAACCTTTACAGTAACATATGTTACACGAACACTTCTGCATAAGTAATATTGTGTTTCTTTTTATTTTTTATGGATATACTGGCAATATTTAGTAATTAGTCTGTATTTATACATGTTAAAAACAGCTGATCATAAGCTTTGTACTGTTGTACATGTGTAAGTACAATGAGCTTAATGTACTGATTGTACTGAACCTGATAAATTGAGTAAAATAGCTATTTCCATAGTAATCAAACTATTTTTTCCTTCAAATTACTGTTTAACACATCTTTCAACTAACATCTTTTGCATATGTTTGCGCAAGAAAGGATTAAATGGAATGTATTTTCTGAATTTCAATAAGAAAACAAGAAAGGCTATATTTATGACCTACATGAGACATAAAATTAAAATTAAATGAAAAAGGAACTTACCACAGGGAAAATATTCAACACAATCCTGCGTGCGAAGTGTTTTTCTTTTTCACAATCCAAAGTGAAAGCGAAAGTCTCAATGCGCATGCGCGAATGTGTAGCAGGGATCTGCCGAAAGTTGAATCTATGCCGAAATAGTGCACGGCCTTATTTTCTGAATAAAATTCTTCATTGCACTCACCGGGAATCGAACTCACGACCATGAGATTGCAAGTCCGATGCCTTATCGATTACGCCACAGAGACGATCCCTCATTGGGAGAATTTTATTAAATATATAAACTTAATTAAAACAATTGACACAAGAAGGAGAAAATAGACAAATATTATTTGAAAACAGTTATATTTATTCTAAGGAATCTTAGATAAATGTGTACAACAAAGTTTCAAACTAATTACATACAGATCGTTAGATGAATTGATATCATGGGGTCATTAAAACGCTTTTTTATATAGCGCTTGATTGAAGGATATAAAAGAAAATTATAAATGAGAATCCACGTCTGTAAACAAATCAGTCTTACTAACAAAACAGAAAATAAAGATGAGTATCTTTGGGACAAAAAATTCTGACTTATTTAGAGAAAATACTAGTAACCAAAATAATTATGCAACTAATTTTAGCATGAAGATTTTGTATGAGTTTTTGCAAGTGTGCTGTGTTACCACCATTATTTTCAGGAAAAAATCGAATGGATTGCCGCATAAATAATAACAACAGTCAGCATAATAATAACAATAGTGTTGCATTATGCATGTACTATGCCTAAATAGTAGGCAGGGTTTGACACATAGTGCACTCGCCTCCGGCTCGTGCACCATGTGTCAAACCCTGCCTACTATTTAGGCATAGTACATGCATAATGCAACACTATTACATAAATATTGAACAATAGAATAATGTCAAGAAAATATCTTTAAAACAATACCATATAAAGACACATAGATTGTGTTCTGTATGGTCAACTAATATTCTAAGACTTACGCAGACAGTTTTGCTTTTGGTATCCCTCACCACTACACTGGCAGTAACCATGGAAACAAGAAGACTTAAATCGGAAAGCTGAATACATCTTGCATACGTTGGCTGAGCAGGATTTTCTGTTGTTGTATATCAGGGGAGCTAGAAAGAAAACAGTCAAGTAGAAATCTTTGTTTCTAAACTTTTGAATCGAATGGCATACTTTTCGGGAGGTTTGTGAGTCTCCCTCGAATAATAAAAACTAATCTGCAAAATAAGAAATATTTTATGTTTAATTGTGATGTTCCATAATAATTGGTCAGATGTAACATTATGCCTTGAAGAAGAATATGTTCATGCAAATATAAAATGTATAAAAATTCATGAATCATTAACATTACAAAATATAATAAATAGAATGAAACCTTTTCAATTAAGTTAATTCCCAAATCTACTTTTTTTAGTTAAAAGCAAACAGTTTACATTTAAAAGATTAATTTTTTCTTATTCGATCGATATGCTTTGCTGTAAAGTCATTATATCTACGAAAGAACTATAATTCTATAAGAATAAGAGACAAGTTAAAGCAAGAAAACATGCATAGGAGAAATCTCACCTTTCCTGTGGTTTGTGATGCCATTCTTGAGGACTGCTTGACTTATTTCTTTCTGTGAGATCATCGTTATATTTGATGTGGTCTGGCAAAAAATATAGAAATAAGATGATATATGATGGCATATATTATAATAAAACTGTTTGAGACAAGTCAAGTATTGGAAGCTTTCTGAACAGTTTCTCAAAGCTATATATAATAGCAGTCCAATCTTGACAATAATAACAACACTATAATACAGATTTGTGTAGAACTACCTTATTTAATTCTGGACTTAATGTTGTCATTACTGTTTCATCCCCCTCTTTGGTCCTCCATATGTGTATGGATAGAAAGAAGCATAATAAAGACACAAAAAAGAGGGCAGTAACGACAGCCGTCAGAAGGATACGGCGTGTAGGGGAGGACGTATGTCTGTCTGCCTGTAGGGCAGTGTGACCTGACAGTCGAAGGCTCCTCATGTGGGTCGGAAGATGACCTTGATGTACATAAAACACGGGGTCTCCATTGCAACCGGTAGACTCAATAGGCTGAAAGAGACACACGTATTTAGAAAATTCTTAATAGTTCAATCTTTTTAACATATTGGATTTTTTGCTACTGTGACTGGGAATGAATCCATACTGATGGTCAAATGCTCTTATCATGGCAACGTTAAAAAGGTCCACTAAGTAAAGGGCATAGATTTTTATAAATTTTTCCCGTTATCAAAATTACAGTCTTGAAAAATGTTTGGAATATTTTAAAGCTTTCACATGACTTGGCTAATGGAAAACTGAAAAACTTATTAGCTTATCATATGAGATTTTCTTTTATTAATAATTCTGAATCCTGAATATTAATTCTAATCATTTAATGTTAACAGCTTTCAGAATATATGCTTACGTGCCCAATTTCAGCTTTTATTAGGAAAATGTTTTAAAATTGTCAAAAATATCTGACATCGCAAAATTTCTTTGATTTGGTTTCGTTCGTATTTAAAGATTTTAAATTTCAAAACCTGCAAGTGTCGTTTCTTTTGTTGTTCAGTAAATTTTGATGGAAATATAAATAAATGTGATGGCAAAATATTGATCAAAGTAAGGTTTTACAAAATTTACTTCACTAATTTCATAGATAATTTTTGGTAAGAAATTATTTAATTTCCTTTTGTAGATTCATTAATAATTACTAATCACAGAATATTTTATCTTACCTTCAATGGTTCATAAATACTTGATGAGCCAAGAGTAAACCTGGATAAATTGTAATTTCGGAAACAGCCGTTTTTCCTGAAATCGTGGATCCTCATGTTATTCTGAATTATTGATGATTTACAAGCAGTTATTCACCTCAGCAACTGGCAGAGATTTAACCAACAAAAAGCATGGAGGTTCATTTTAGGTTTTCAGACAACAAAGCTTTCCCGGAATGGGGGACCCTATTGCGGTCACCAACAGCATCTGGTTAGCTGTCAGCTCCCAGAGATCTCCGCTCACCACATGTTCTCATACCGCACCAATTATAACATATAACAGATCCCTGCATTTTATTTTTATTTCACCTGTTGATTTTCCTCAGCACTGAACAGACGATGAGCGAGGGCCGGTGTAAGGTATTGTTCAGGACGAATTCTCCAGGTAAACAGAGCCCAGGTAATTGTATTATCCGCTGGAGCGAGTCGGAGGTAAATTGACGTTCCGGGCAAAGGTCACGTTCCTTTTTGAGGGATTTTCGCTATCGTTCTCCATATCCAGCTCATTATAAACGCGTAAAAGGAAGTTTAAAGGAAAATAAATGATCTCATTGATATATCAATTTACGTGTTTAATTTATTTTTCGTAGTGTTTGGATTTTATTTAGGAATAACGAATGATATGAGATTAAAATCCGAAATTGCATTCTTTTATGTTATTGTTTGTCACAGAAAAATTGTCCTCTACAGGAAAATTAACATAACTAATTTTCACGCAGTATTTATGTCTTGTTAAATTACAGCAATATGAGTTGCGACTTTGATGTCAAAGTTTGCTGCTGCAAAATTATCATAAATTATATCAAGGACCGAGAAAAGGAACATAAGCTTCTGTTGTTTCATATTTGTAATAGAAGAATTATTAACGAGTTCTTATTAATGATGCAAAATGTCTTTCCGTACAATATTGTTTTCTGAAATGATTGTAAAGAGGTCCTTCTTTTGAAACAATCTAATACCTAATTTTAGTTTAATTGTTTAATAAGGTTTAATACACATTTATCATATTAACACATTTTAATAGCAAAGTGAAATTCTCAAAAATGCAGCACATATTGCTTTAAACAATTGTATCGATTAGATTAGGGATTTTCATCAATATAATCTATGCTCGCAGTACATACATGTATATATTTTATTACCTGTTTTCTTTTTAAAACACCATCAGTGTGATTTTTGAATCTTGATGAGCTTGAGAAAAAAGATACCACAAAGTCTGAAACATCTGTTCTGGGTATTTAGCAATGAATAGTGATAATATGTTAGTAGTAGATGTTTTTATATTAAACTCTCCATTATTGCCAGGAAGACCTGCTGCAATAATAGTCGACAAGGGCGTAACAACAGTATGTAGGGTTTATTATAATTTATACATGAGAAGTAGAAAAACACTTTTCGATGCCTGCAACTCGACATAAGGTAAAATCTACAACGTATAATTAGTCAATTAATAATAATAACTTCTGTAATAATTCAACTGTCCACTCTATGAAAAGGTAAAGGTTGTAATAAAAAATACGACTGCAAGGGTCTGACACAATTGTTTCACATCTGTATGATGCTAATTAGAACGTAGACATACATTTACCTACTGAGTAAAGATATAAATATACCCTAACAAAAAAAATACTATAGTTAACTATAGTTAACTATAGTTATAACTTTGACACTTTGAAAACTTTGATTTACTATAGTGATAACTTTGACACTTTGAAAAACTTTGACGAAAACTTTGACACTTTGAAAAACTTTGACAAAAACTTTGACACTTTGGAAAACTTTGGCGAAAACTTTGACGAAAACTTTCACACTTTGAAAAACTTTGACGAAAACTTTGACACTTTGAAAATTTTGACAAAAAAAACTTTGACACTTTGAAAAACTTTGACGAAAACTTTGACACTTTGAAAAACTTTGACGAAAACTTTGACACTTTGAGAAATGTTGGCGAAAACTTCGACACTTTGAAAAACGTTAGCGAAAACTTCGACACTTTGAAAAATTTTGACGAAAACTTTGATACTTTAAAAACTTAGGTGAAAACTTTGACACTTTGAAAAACTTTGATGAAAACTTTGACACTTTGAAAAATTTATCGAAAAATTTGATACTTCGAAAAACTTTATCGAAACTTTGACACTTCGAAAAACTTTATTGAAAACTTGGATACTTTAACACTTCGAAAAACTTTATCGAAAACTTTCACACTTTGAAAAAGTTTATAGAAAACTTTGACACTTTAAAATACATTATCGAAAACTTTGACACTTTGAAAAACTTTATTGATAACTTTGACACTTTGGAAAGCTTTATCGAAAACATTGACACTTAAAAAACTTTGGTGAAAACTTTGACACTTTGAAAAACTTTATCAAAAACTTTGACACTTTGGAAAAACTTTATCGAAAACTTTGACACTTTTGAAAAACTTTGGCGAAAACTTTGACACTTAAAAAAAAAACTTTAACGAAAACTTTGACACTTTTAAAAACTTTGGCGAATACTTTGACACTTTTCTAAAATTTAAAATTTGAAAATTTGACTTTGGAAAACTTTGACGAAAACTTTGACACTTTGATTTACCATAGTTAACTATAGTAAACTATTTTTTTGTTAGGGTATATTAACCCCGTATGATGGTGATTAGGGTTCATGTACTGGACATTGCTACAAAAGGACCGCCAACAATTCAGTGTGTATATAAAGGCAAAATAATAAGTATGAAAAACGTCAGTCAGTATATGAATTAATGATGAACTGTATTTGCTGACAAGGTCATTGCATCGAGCAAAGAAGTTACAAAATGATGACTTTAAACGAGACTTCGGATATTTTTGTTTCATCAACTTGATTGTCATTGATTTAAATCGTTTTAGAAATTTGTACATATACGTAAAGATGCTCTCGCGTTTTGAATCAACTGAGAGATATTATATAATCCCACATGCAAGTAAAGGTGTATTGCTGCATAAGTAAGGGGATTTGGCAATTGTAAAGTTTAAGTCATCAGGTTTCTCATAGAGCTTGGTTGTTAGATTACATTAAATTGCATCAAATATGAAACAGATGTGCCAGACTCTGTGGTATCTTTTATTTCAAAGTCACCGGGATATATCGTATCAACATAAGAATTGAAAATACGTCTTCAATATATCTAATACCGAGTTGAAGTCCACAGCGTAAAAGATTCTGGACAAATTCTGCTCCATATGAATGCAAAATTAGGTTTGCTAATAATGGAGTGTAACTGGTAAGCATGGGAATTCCAATAGATATTGTTGGAACACTGTTTCCAAAACCCACATAGATATTGTCAATCAGAAACTCAAGCATCATTTTAATATTAACTTCAGAGAACTTGTGTGTACAATCAGTAAAAATCAATGTTCTATGCCGTACAATCAAATGCGTGTTGGTACCTGCTTTGTCAGCATGGACCATTTTAAAATACTAATGTTGACTGACGCTTTCAATACTTTGCCTTATTGTAGGCCAATTATTAACACTTTGAAGTTACACAGCTACATCTTGCCCTTTTTGATAATGATTATGAACACATGGGGGGTGTGACCAATCGGCAGGGGACATACACCCTTCCATTGCAAGTGCTCCAACCTTTGATATTTTGGAGTTCAGTGTTTGCTCTGCTTTTGTTTTTTTATTGTTTGAATGTTTTTTAGCTTGGTTACTGTTCAAACCTCAACAAATCAAACGTATTGCTCATTGAGACAAATGCTGACTGGCGTTTTTCATACTTAGTGTTAGTCCATTATTTATACACTGAATTGACGACGGATTTTCCCGTTATTTCCCGATCATGACAAGGAGCACACGGCGGGTGTGACCGGTCAGGAGGAGATGCTCACTCCTCGATGGCACCTGATCCCACCTCTGATGTTTCAGTGTGTTTGCTAAAGCTCCTATTTTGTATTGTTTTATGGACTTTGATATTGACTACTATTCGTTATCTCCATATCCTTCCTCAAATAAGTTATATATCTTTACCATTCAGATGATCAGTGGACCACGTTTAAACAAATCGATTCTGTAACGTTTGCTTCACCATACTTTTTTAATATATAAAGATTATACAGCTAAATGTCAAAAAATACTTATGTTAAAATTGTTTCTTTAAATTCTATGGCTTACATATCCATAAAATTATTTAGTTAAGTAAGTTCTGGAACCTAATTCGAATTCTCTTTCATGTTTTTCAATTCAAAATTTAAAGAGTAAAAGTACGTGAAATGCCCAACTCAAAAGCAACCCGTTTCCCCTCTAATTTGTATTTACCTTAAAATCGATCCTTGCCACTTTCTTAAAATAAAAAAAAACAATACTCATGATTTCAGATTCTTCAGGCAATGACCTTTAAAGTATCCGAGGTTTGGGAAAGGTTGCCATGGAGGAGTAAGCATCCACTACTGGCTGGTCAAATCCTTCTCGGCAATTAAATACAACCTATTATTAAGTCGAATGGTGATTTAAGTTTTCATTCTGATTGTTGGGTCATTGTTTAAACGCCGAGTTGTCTGGAGTTTTCGATTTTCCCTGTCGTGACGGGAAACGCACGGCGAGTTGGGTCGGTCGGCAGGGAATACTCACTCTTAAACGTGGCGGCTGATCCTATCTCCATTGTTCTTGGAAGCCCTTTTTGATCTGCTTCCGATTTGTTTTGCTGCTTGATTCCATATCCCATCGAGAACATTGAGTTCGTTGAAACAGTATGAATAGGGAGATCGAAGACTATCTGCAGATCTGTAGCTCACTGGTCTACAAAAGCAATTGTGAAGGACGACTGAGCTGGTTGTCCATTCCGTTTTTTTTTTCAGTCCAGCGTGCTACAGATTTGAAGCTATGAGAAGACCAAACAATGACCCGGGCCTCTAAAATCATCAGATTTGGAAACTATGGAAGAGTAAGCAAATCTGTTGACCGGTCCCCTCAGCCGTTTTCTCCTTGTTATATGACCTGACCAGAAGAAACATGTAGAAAATTCAGTTTGAATAGAAATTTATTAACAATGCGTATGGAAAAAGTACGTCACCATTCGACATAATGATTAATATGGAGATAACGAACAGTACACCGGTACATGCAAATACAAAATAGGACCAGAGCAAACACGTACCTCCAAAACATCAGAGATGGAGGAGTAAATATCCCCTGCCGACCGGTCAATCCTCAGTGTGCTCCTTGTCATGATCGGGAAATAACGGAAAAAATGCGTCGTCAATTCTATGTATAAATAATGGTCTACCAGTTAGCTATAGTATGAAAAACGTCAGTCAGCATTTGACTTAATGATAAATTGTACTTGCTGACAAGGTCATTGTATCGACCATAGAAATTACGAAATGATGACTTTAAACAAGACTTCTGGAATTCTTGTTTCATCAACTTGTTTGTCAATAATTCACCTCGTTGTAGAAATTGTTCATACGTATAGCATGCTCTTGCATATATAATCAACTGAGATATGTACGATAGAAATGATAAAGACATTGGTTGATAGATTACCATTAACGTTTTTTTTCAGTAAAATATCTAAATATGAAACAGGTGTGTCAGAATCTGTGGTATCTTTTATCTCAAGCTCACTGGGATATATCGTATCGATATAAGAATGGAAATTACCATTGTTAATTAACAGTATGTCGTCGATATATCTGAATGTCGAGTTGAAGGACACAGCAAGTGTTTTCTTCTTTTCTCACATACGATTTTTCACAAATTCTCCTTCATATTAATACAAAATAGGTCTGCTAATAAGGGAGCGCAATTGGAACCTATGGGAATTGCAATAGATTGTTGGAAGACCTGGTCTCCAAAAACAATAATAGATAATGTGCTTGTGTGTATAATCAGAATGCTTTTTAACAAAATAATTTTACAAATGACAAGGTAAGTTAATTTTCGAGTTCCATTTTTATTGAAAAAGCAGCTGTCAATGATATCGATAAGCCTGGACTTTAGTTTATTGTGGGGAATGATTGTGTATAAAGTTGAAAAAATCGTAAGTTTTAAGCTGTTGATTTTGGCAATACACCAATACGATATAACCGATATAATTGAAACACATTGTTGTAAAAAAAATACTGTCAGTAAGAAATAACTTATTCAAAACGATGTCAATATTAAAGAGAAATAAGAAAAATCGCAACACTGTGTCGGGTTCTATAAATTTAGAATTGCGTGGCTGATGGGTCTTGTCCATATGCATTTTCTTGTGATTTCAAATTGTCCAAAAGTTCCTTAGAATATCTAAGTATCCACATCTGATTCACAGCACTTCTTGAATATATTGTTGCACAGTACTCTTGAAGTTTCTCCTTCATTACTGTTAATATCGTTGTGAGGAGTAAAGAAAGAGTTTACTGGAACCCACTATGTTTCTTTGTTTGTAAGGATTCTTATAAAGTTTCGGATTCCAATATAGATATGGTACTGTAGTTCAATTTCATTTTGATTCTTTGGGATCTTAAAAATATTCAAAACTGAACTATGATTGTTAGGAATTTCTTCCTTAGAAAGGTAACTATGAGTATAAGTTGGATTACCATTTGTAGAAATAAATTCTAGTGTTTCTAAAATACAATTTATATAATGAGCCTTACAAATGAAGACAATGTTATTACCTGATTGATTGTTTTTGCGAACAAGGTACTTCTACCGACCATGCAAAAATCAGCAAAATGTTGACTTTTAAAGAAACTGTTGTTCTTCTTATATCATCAACATATTTAAAGAAAGTGTGCCTAAAAAATCCGTGTGTAGAACATGCTCTTGCGTATTGAAATTTTTTGATTGAAAAAAAAAAACTTGGATATACCAATTATTGATAGAAAATGCAGGGTATTAACAAATTGTATGTAAATACTTTGATATTGAATACTGTTCATTATCTCCATATCCTTCATGGTGGAATGCAAGAATAAATCAATTTTTTTCAGCAAGAATGTTAAGTACATGTATATAGTAAGGAAAGTTTAATGCAAATCAAACTGAATGTCATGTTTATCTAATGTAAGATAGATATGGATGACTGTGTTGCCTTAATGAATTGTATGTAGGTTTTACAGAATTGTGTGACAATATGAATAATCTTGTCTAACTGACCATGGAGAAAGGAAACTTTAAATTAAGTTTTGTTCCATTTGATTAAACACATTCACAAATTTCCACTTTATTACATGTAAGTTGCTGTAACTAATATAGTTGACAACATTAAATGCTTTAAGTTCTGCATTTTTTATTAGTAGACAAAAACTGTGACCAGCACATAATTCCAGTCGGATATTGTAAATATAACAATCAGAAAATGCACCAATAGATATCAGCCTTTGAAAGCAATTAATTTGTTATTTTTCAATTACTTCAAAAAATGGTCAATTTCATTTCTTAGCACTAGTCAGCACATATACAACCCCAAAAATAGATGATTACAGTTTTTTAAAGACATAATGTCAATAATGTTTCATATTTAAACCAAATAACTGGCCTGCTTCCAATACTTGCCCTATCATTTTTTAAAAATATTCTGTAAATAGTATTAACTCCTGGTTTGTATAGCTGTAATTGTAAACTACAACATCAATAGAAGGTCAATGTTTTGTAAAATTTTACAAGTATTAATGAATTTTTCACTTATATTGCCTTATATATATATATACATGACTAAATATACATATATTTGAGAAATGTTAATGGACTTTGAATATGTGAAGAAAGCAAGCAGATTTGTGCGAAGTATATGAAAGTTTAAATTTCACAGCTTATAAAAGACAAGTGTTTTTTTAACAGAAAGAGTACATTCTGATTTTAAATTTTAGTTACAAAGACACAACATTTGCTGTTAATAAAAAGTAGGACTTCCTTCAGACCTAACCAGAGATAGGGACTATTCATACAAACAACGTTTACTAAAAAAAAAAAATTCCAAAGGACGTATAATAACAATAAAGTTTACAAAGACAACATCATTTTGTTTTAAAAAGTAAACTGCTAACACTTGTATACGAAGAAATAGCTTCTTTTTTATCAAACTTAATATATACATGATATAAAGTACATGTACAACCAGCTCCAACAGCCTGGGAGGAATAGATTCCCTGCCTGAGTGAACTAGAATATAACTATTTATATAGACATGTCTACATTCAGCTAAAGTTCTCAGGCTAATCTTACAAGACACAGGGAGCTGGGTACCAGTCAGTGTTCTAAGGGAGACAAATATTGATATTAATTATACAATATCATTTGAAATACTTAAGTATGTCAAAGCTTGAGGAAAGGGAAAAAGTTTATAAAAAGTGAAAAATATATCAACAAAGAAAAAAGTATTTTCAAGGTCCAAGTACATACTGATAAATCAATGGAAAATCTAAATTTTCTTCCATTATCGCTGTGTATTATTATTTTTGAGGGGGGAGGGGAGTGTGAAAAAATGTCATTAATAAATTTTTTTTATTTTAAAGCAATATTTTCTTAAAACAAATGATTTTTCTGAGAATGTTATATTTTAGTGATTGCCATTTCAGAAAATAAAATGCCTTTGCCTCTGTTACGGTTTCAACAATTCCCTAACTATGGGGCATGATGTATGTTTATGAATATCATATCAATACCATCCACTGTATGCATTTCTATCAACTAATTTTAATTACACTTGGATTCCACAACTGTCTTTGTTAGAACCTGCTATGGATAATCTATATCTATTTTTTATACACTTAAGGAGAACAACTACCCATACCATTATCTCTGATGACAGAGTCCTTCCTACAATAATTCCAGTTAACAGATCTGTGACAATAAAGATGTAATGCAAGGGGAATTAAATTACTTTGATGAAGAAGACAAATAATGATGATTAACACCTTCAATGCTCATATACAGTACTTTTAAATGTATTATTTTTTAATAAGTATTTTTAAAATCAATATGATATAAATATAATCTGGTCTACTTATTCAACCATTGTCCTAATACCACATGATTGACTGATGAAAACACATATCAAAATAATTACAAATTATATATCCTGAATGATTAAATAGATGTAGTGTATAAAAAAATGAATGTGGAAATTTGTTGAACATTTTCATTTTGCTGTTTGGTATTATTAAGAAGTCATCAATGTTGAAAATATACATGAAATAATTTAAATGTAAATAACAATGACAGATGTTCAACTGAAATGATTTAAAAGCTTTTTACCCCTGAAAACAAAATACATGTAACTTCCTTCTTCAGGACCAATAACCCTACAATAAGAAAGATAACTCAAACTTCGAATAAAGAAGTTAAAAGGCAATTTTCTAATTTGAAAATGATGTGAATTTGTTCAAGAAAATCATTATCTGACATTTTTGAGAACTAGATAAGCTATTGTTCCACTTTCTAAACATGAAAATATGCTTTTCTTTTTTTTAATTTCGTAGAATACTTTCTTAGTGGAATAGAGAGATATCAAAACCATTCGGTCGTTTTTGAAAAATTGTTGCAAAATATTGCAGAATAAATCCTATACTGAGGTATTGCCATTATGTACAAAAAGATATGTTGTGACTTAAGTGGTTTTACAGGGAAATATTCTGAATATCTTGCTTACATCTTGATAAACTTTTCTTAACTAAATTATAAATTGTACAAATTCCTATGTAATTCTTAAAATATGCCTGAATATCAATTTTTAAATTAAAAAAATCATGAAAAAATCTTATTCAAAAATACATGACATACATGTAAGTAAATGCAATCAAATAATCCATCATATTCAATGACATTTTTTTTCATACAAGTATTAAAAATTGGAAGATTACATCTCAACAACATTGACTCGTAAGCAATAACAGTAATTATGCGATGAATGAAAGGGAAAAAAGAACATTAAATGCCGTAGACATCAGATCCAGAAATCCTGTAGATATCAGTTAAATATCAACAGATATCAATTAAAATCAATTGATATTGGATTCAGTAACCCTGCAGACAGGTCTATCATCAGGCAATGGAGAAACTTGTGCCGTTTGTATGGAATGTTTAAATCCATTTTAGCTCGTGACACAAAGTAGCGAAAAGTAAAATTCTAGTCCGTCGTGCCACAGAAATGGAATAAGCTCAAGATATGCAATATTTACTTCTATCTGAAATAAAAATATACATATTGTGTGTAAAAGCAAGTCAATCGTTAATAATTTTGCTATTTATTCAATTCAACTATTATTTTTCAAGACAATTTGATTAATAATTTATCAACATAGGTAACCAAAGATTACGAAGCTCACCTTGACTAATGTTATCAGTATAAGTAATGCAAATCTCACATCATATTTTCTTAATAGTTAGAATTTATCTTGACAATAATATTCAAGCTAGTTCTGTTTAAATAGGTCTTAAAGTTCACTGGGGATTGACCTGTTCCAAAAACTAGGTCATATCCAGCATTTGAAGCAAGTCTGGTAGTGTCCATCCCTAGATTACATGTAGTTACATGGTAATGGACCTGCTCCAAAAACTTTTAACCTGGTCACTCATCTGGAAAATGTAGGTCACATCCAGCATCCGAAGCAAGTCTTGTAGTGTCCATCCCTAAATGCATCATCCATGCAAGTTTGGTCCAGGTAGGGCTTATAGTTACTTGGCAATGGACCTGCTCCTAAAACTTTAGCCTGGTCACTCATCTGAAAAATGTAGGTCACATCCAGGATCCGAACAAGTCTTGTAGTGTTCATCCCTAGATGCATCATCCATGCAAGTTTGGTCCAGGTAGGGTTAATAGTTACTTGAGAATGGATGTGCTCTAAAACTTTAACCGAGATGCTGACGCCGGGGGTATAGCATAAGCTTATCTCGACTTTGTCGAGGTGAGCTAAAAATTATTCTAGGTTTCACAGTTTATTAGTTAAGAGCTGGACATAAAAAAGCTTAAGAGCTGGACATGAAAAAGCTAACAGACATTAGACAGACAGAAAGAGACACATGAACACCATATTATGAAATGTACATCTTAAAAACCTACCAATATTGGTAAAAATGTATAAAACTACACAAAAGAAAAAAAAAGGTAGGCATACAGAACAAGTAAATACAGACTTGTTCATTGTATACAATTTCGTCAGTTAAAGAAAACATTTTAATATCTAACGTCCTATGAAATATTTCCATACCTTATTGTAAATCTACAATTCCCATTTTTTTCTTAAGGTCAACCGTTTCTTGGAAAATTAATTCTTTCAATCGTTCCTTCGGTAAATCATCTAACTCCATCTCAAACGTAAATGGCTCCTCTGCCACAGGCTACAAAAACAAATACATCAAACTTAATCTCAACCGCCACAGGCTATAAAAACAAATACATCAAACTTTATTTCAAATTTCATGTTTTTTAAAAAGTTTTTAAACTTTTGGTCCTTGGCATTAGATAATCATTTTTAAAATCTTGATTTCTAAATTTAAAGCATTTTCATGCAAGATCTATTTCATGACGGGGCTTGAAGCCTGAGCAGGTCATATATTTTTTCTATTCGATCATACTATATGTTTCATGACTTTGTTTCCTTTTCATCGATGTGCCCACATTCACCTTTTCTGCAGGATCATAAAAACATTCAAGTAGACATGTACTATGTACTTACCTCATCTGCCGGGTCATAATATTGTTCTAAGTAGGGGTGTGCCAGTAACTCCTCCACAGTCTGTCTCTTATGGGGATTAAAGGTCAACATTTTGTCCAGAAGATCTAAGGCTACAATAGACAAAATAACATGAATCTTTATTATTTATTAAAGACATGATCCTAAACTTCACTTAAAATTGTGCATTTTTTTTTTTTCATCCTCTTCGCAAAGCAGAAAATATCACCTCCAAAACACAAATAGTCCAGTGGAGAGCTTGATGACAATTTTTACTTATAAGTAGTGGCTCTACCAAGTAATACATATGCTGATTTGCAAACAGTACAATTTATTACTACTGACTACATTTCCTTGTGTGTGTTTATGTCTGTGTGTGCTGCCTGTTTATATCCATACCTTTAGGATCAGCCCTGGGGAAAAGTCTGTTCCAAGCCACCTTAGGCTTATAGGGAAGAGACTGGATGTAACCTCTGGCCTGTGGGTGAGATAAAATAAAAGTACTGATAGCTCTAAGACACTTAAAAAATACTTTAAAAGTTTTGGTACTGGATAGTTCATTGTTTGACACATGTCATTTGCTGTATGAACCATGACTGTGATAACACTTCATAACTGATCTTTTTCTTCTACTTATTGAAAATGATGATAAAGTGAATAAATACAGAATACTTTTCTAAGATATACCAATGTACCTTCTCATTAAGTATACAATCCAGGTCTTCTTGACTAGGAGATCCTAAGACACCCAGTATGTGATTCAGCTGATCCAGATCTGTCTATGCTAAGGAGAATTACAGCGGACAATCGGGGACAATATCATTATCAATGCTTAACTCGTTCTTCAAATTCATTTGTAATATTTTGCATTATTGTATGTCAGTAAGGCTTGATCCATTTGCAGTTTCACAAGAGGCATTCAAGTTTTTAAAGCTTTAAAATGAAAGTCAAATTAAACAAGAGATGTTTGTAAAGCACTTCAGCCCCCCTCCCCCCCAAATTGGAATTTTTCTAAGTCCAAGGGGCATAACTCTGTCAAAAATGGTGCAATTGTACACAAAACAACAGTTGACCTAGATATTCATCTGATATATCTGTATACCAAATTTCATTTCAGTATGTGCAACGGTTGTGAAGAAAGTGAACAGAAACTAAGTGGACAGACAGAACGACCGCCTGACAGACAGCACCAAAGCAATATGCCCATCCTTGTTCTAAGGGGAGCATGAAAAAAATTGAGAATTATTCTTCATCTACATAAACAGAAGATTTTTACCATAAAAAAAAATAATTTCTTGTAAAGCAATGATTGCAAAGAACATCCTTTTTATTCCTCAAGTGAAACAAGGGAAACAACTCCAAAACATTACTTGAATCACCATCACTAAATGAAACAGAATTTTTTTCTTTCTAGTGAAAGCAAATGAAGGATACAGTGTTTTCCTGGAAAGAGAGGCCGGTTCATTAACATTTCAGCCAGAATACAGCCCACGGACCAAACATCAACTGAAAGACAGAATTAGAGATAATAAATACACATGTACAGCCCAAAGGCCAACCACTAACTGAAAGACATGAATACAGATAATAAATATATATATACTGAAACGCAAAAGAAATGCAACATCCTACTTTAGGGGAAATAATTATGTAAAGAATTTTGTATCTTAAAATTTTGGATATCTTCAATTTGGTAAATATTGATAATTAAACGGTTGAACGATTTTCATACCATAACTGGAAGTCAAGTTTGAGTCTGCTTAACAAAAATCAAACATAGGTAATCAGAGATTACAGAGCTCACCTCAACGAATGTTGTCTTTAAGTAAGGCAAAGTCACACAATAACCCAACAAAAAGTGTACATTCAAAATTTATGCAATTTTGATCTGATACTTTGGAATAGACTTATATAAAAACTTCAAACTAGTTCTTCATCACGAAAATGTGATCAAAATCCAGCATCTGAAGCAAGTTTAAGAGTTTTCATCCCTTGATGCATCATTTGGGCAAGTTTGGTTTATTTAAGCCTTATTCTTTCTTGGTAATAGAACTGCACCCATAACTTTTACCTGGTACATTATCTGAAAGATGTATGTTGAATTCAGCATCTAGAGCAAATCCATTAGTGTGCATCCTAAGATGTATCATCCATGCAAGTTTGAACAACATAGGGCTAATAGTTACTAAGAAATGAAACTTGCATGAAAATTTAACCTCTTCACTCATCCAAAAAAATGTAAGTCAGATTCAGCATCCAAAGCAAGCCTGGTAGAATGCAACCTTAGATGTATCGTCCATGCAAGTTTGGTCATTATAGGGTTCATAGTATCTTGGAAATGAAACCTGCACCAAAAACTTTAACCTAATCACTCAACTGGAAAATGTAGGTCACATTCAGCATCCAAAGCAGGCCTGGTAATGTTCACTCAACCGGAAAATGTAGGTCAGATTCAGCATCCGAAGCAAGTCTGGTAGTGTATATCCTTAGATGTACCATCTGTGCAAGTTTGGTCAACATAGGGCTTATAGTTACTCGAAAATGAGACCTACACCCAAAACTGCACCAAAAATGTTAACCTGCTCCAAAAACATTAACCTGGTCATTCCTTTGCTGATATTGCAGCATCTGAAACTTTGACTGGTACAATGAAACACATTAGAAACATCTTCCATGCAAGTCTAATCAATATAGGACATAGAAGTACTTAAAAAGAAAACTGCTCCAAACTACAACTGTCCAAACGGGACAAAATACCCCCCGCTGGGTTTTTCAGAGGTACGTTTTTCCATAATAAAGATATGTATCAAACACAAATTATGAAATTTTTCTTCCAGTGACCTTGAACTTCCCCAAATGACCTTGGGTCAAGGTCATGACACACCCTTGGGTCATGGGCAATCTTAGTGTGGAGTAGTAGATTCTAATGTCCCTCTGTAAGAAAGATATGGACCGGACACGATTGCACAGACAGACGGACAGACAGACAGACAGACAGACAGACAGACGGACAAGGTGATTCTTATACACCCCCCAAACTTCGTTTGCGGGGGGTATAAAAACTTAACCTTAACCCGGGACGCCAACGCCGACACCGACGCCGAGGGTATTACATAAGCTCCCCCAACTTCGTTGAGGTGAGCTAAAAATTGCATGTTTAACAAAACATTTGGCAATATTATGGAGTTTTAAGGGTTTTAACTGTTCATCGTAAGTAATGCAGCAATATTTCAAAACATAGGTAATCAGAGATTACAGAGCTCACCTCAACGAATGTTGTCTTTAAGTAAGGCAAAGTCACACAATTACCCAACAAAAAGTGTACATCCAAAAATGCAAAATTTATGCAATTTTGATCTGATACTTTGGAATAGACTTATATAAAAACTTCAAACTAGTTCTTCATCACGAAAATGTGATCAAAATCCAGCATCTGAAGCAAGTTTAAGAGTTTTCATCCCTTGATGCATCATTTGGGCAAGTTTGGTTTATTTAAGCCTTATTCTTTCTTGGTGATAGACCTGCACCCATAACTTTCACCTGGTCCATTATCTGGAAAATGTATGTCGAATTCAGCATCCGTAGCAAGTCTATTAGTATGCATCCTAAGATGTATCATCCATGCGAGTTTGCACAACATAGGGCTAATAGTTACTTAGAAATGAAACCTGCATAAAAATTTAACCTCTTCACTCATCCAGAAAAAAATGTAGGTCAGATTCAGCATCTGAAGCCAGTCTGGTAGTATGCATCCTAAGATGTATCATCCATGCAAGTTTAGTCATTATAGGCTCATTGTTACTTGGAAATGAAACCTGCCCCAAAAACTTTAACCTGTTCACTCATCAAGAAAATGTAGGTCAGATTCAGCATCTGAAGCAAGTCTAGTAGTGTACATCCTTAGATGTATCATAAATGCAAGTTTGGTCAACATAGGACTTCTAGTTACTCAGAAATGAGACCTGCACCAAAAACATTAACCTGTTCACCCAACCGGAAAATGTAGGTCATATTCAGCATCCGAAGCAAGTCTGGTAGTGTACATCCTTAGATGTATCATCATTGCAAGTTTGGTCAACATAGGACTTCTAGTTAATCGGAAATGAGACCTGCACCAAAAACATTAACCTGTTCACTCAACCGGAAAATGTTGGTCAGATTCAGCATCCGAAGCAAGTCTGGTAGTGTACATCCTTAGATGTACCATCCATGCAAGTTTGGTCAACATAGGGCTTATATTTCCTTGGAAATGAGACCTACACCCAAAACTGCACCAAAAATGTTAACCTGCTCCAAAAACATTAACCTGGTCATTCCTTTGCTGAAATTGCAGCATCTGAAACTTGACTTGTACAATGAAACACACTAGATGCATCTTCCATGCATGTCTAATCAATATAGGACACAGAAGTACTTAAAAAGAAAACTGCTCCAAAAAACTTAACCTGGGACGCCGACACCGACGCCGAGGGTATTACATAAGCTCCCCCAACTTCGTTGAGGTGAGCTAAAAATAAAATCTCCTTTTGTTTCTCGTAACGATGCTAAGGCCTCTTGAAAATGGCTTAAGTACACATTTCCATTGCTCTAGCTGGAAAATCTCAAAGTAAAGGTGATGGAGAGTTGATGATGCAAAATTACACTACATTAGGCCTCAATGGGGTCTTACATATCATATGCATAAATGATAGTCCTTGGACCGGAAGTCCAAGGGTTACTACAATGCACTAAGTTAGAGAAAATTCGACCTAATCATCTGAAAAACAGGCATTTAAAAATGGCAAAGAATACTGTAAAAGCACAAAAATTCGTGGGGGATTAAATTTCGTTTATTTCGTTGTTAACAATTATCAACGAAATTAAATCCCAAACGAAAATTTAAATGACTATATATTGAATAGGATTACATTCAAAACAACGAAATTAAATGCCAACGAAACTATTTTTGATGACAAATCAACGAAATTTTATACCCACGAAAATATGTGCTTTTACAGTAATTCCTTCGCTCAGATCTCGATATTAATTAACCTACTGTATCGTAGAAATTAAGCTGCAATTGTTGTTTAGGACAGTCTTGCACATTGTAATTGAATGGCTGGGAGGGGGGTGTTTTAACAGTCAAATGTTACTTACAGTTAAAACATGTAAACATTTAAAATTTTTATCAAATCTCTGATGTTCCGAAAAGTGAGTTTAGCCTTACTGTATTCTTTTTTGAAAATCGTTAGATAAAAAATTCAAACATTTGTAGATTACTGCTTGTTGCGTTTCTTTTGCGTTTCAGTATATTATATACACAGATGCTAGGTCTTACTTGACTTGGTGTATCCCTTCGAGTTGAGCATGATCTCGGGAGCTCTGTACCATCGTGTGGCTACATACTCAGTCAAAAACCCTGTGTGGTCATGATTAGGATCAGCAACTCGAGCCAACCCAAAATCACAAATCTACAACACAAGGTCTCAAATAAATTTTCTAACACTGACAAAACATCAAACAATTATTTTTTTTATTTTTTATTTTTTTTAAAATATTTTGCAGATTCTCTTTTACAACTGGAACTTTCTAAATATTATGCTTACTGTATACAGGGAAATTTTCACCCCCATTTTATTTTCGCCCCTTTCACCCTTACCTCGTCTGGGCGAATTAAAAACGGGACGAATTCAAAGAATACAATAAAATCTTAAACAAAAGTGTGACTGGGCAAATTTAAAATGGGGCAAAATTGCTTGCTGGATTGAAAGGGCGAAAATAACCCTGTATACAGTATTTTCTGATTGACCAGTGCTCAGTTCAAGTGTTGTGGAGGAAACTGGACTAATCTTTATGTCAGTGTCACCTTGAGAACAAGATTGACAACCAAGGTCACATGTCATAGCCCTGAAGTTAAATTGCTTCACCTTTATCTTATCTGTTCTTGATATTTAGTTGAGAAGGACTAGGTATTTATTTTGAATTTACATGTTGTGATTAAGACTTAGTACACACAGTACCATTGGGTCACATGATTTAGGAATTTAAGTCATGTTGTTTTGATGTCTCAGTACTTTAGGTCACATGTCATGTTGAGGACCTGGTACCTACCTAAGTTCACTTGTGTTGAGCACCTGGTACCTACCTAAGGTCACTTGTGTTGAGGACCTTAAAGATCACATGTTGAGGACCCGTTTCTTACCTTTAGGTCACACGTCGTGTTGAGGAGGAGATTGCTGGGTTTGAGGTCACGGTGAAGGACATTAGCAGAGTGTATGTATTTGAGACCTCGTAATATCTGGTACAGGAAGTAGCAGACGTGATCGTTACTCAGCTGTTGAGTCTTTAGAAGTTTGTACATGTCTGTCTCCATCAAACATTGTACTATATATCTAAACTCTCATAAGGAAACTTGTGAAGATAACAAACAGAATTCAAGATCAAAAGTCCATAACACAAAAAAAGTAGGAGCAGAGCAAATACGGACACCCGAAACATCAAAGGTGTCGACCAATCACACCCACCATGTGCTCCTTGTCATGATCGGGAAAAATGGAATGATACGGAGGAAAAGCTTGAGTTAGGTGATCATGAATTAGAAAGACAGTATTTATTGGATTTTCATTTCTCATTATACACTTACACCTCGATTATTTACTTTACAGACATTTTGAAATTTAGGCAAATGCTCTCAACAATCAAAGAAAATCAAGGAAAAATACCAAATAAAAAGAATCTAATCAAATATTATTCTATTGAAAGGATACACATCTTTCATTTCCTCAATAGTTGGTGCTCTTAAAATGTCTTGTATATTAATTATCTGTAAAAGAAGAAAACAATCAATAGTTTAATCAATGTGTCAACAAAATCAATAATGGGTGCCCTTACAATGTCTTGTATATTAATTATCTGTAAACAGAGCAAACAATCAATGGTTAAATCAATATCATCAAGAAAATCAAATCTTTCAACTTAAAGATTCTCCAGCATCAATCAATATAATTAATACCTCAAAACTTGGAAGCAGAGAAAGAATTATACTATATAATAGTAGTGACTACCTGAACCGTACTCTTACATTTAATTGAACTCTCTTTATACTACACAATTGTTCTACATCATTATTACACATCAATCTTTTTCTATTTCAGTAAAGCCAGGTTATTGATCAGTTTATTGTAAGTAATATATACGTGCTGCTATTGTGACATGAACAAGGAAATGTTTCCAAGGCCACCTTTCTCTCTGTGTCCAGGTGTAGCCTCTCTATTGGTCAACATGGTCAATAAAGTCACAATTAATGATCCTAACAAAGACGGAGCCATTGTGAGACTTGATTCTGATATCATGGATGTTCTCAGGAATTTAAATCTACTGACATCACAGACAGGCCTTAGGTTCTGATAGTCTTTGACAATTTCATCATATGGAAGTTGATAACAAATAAGCTAAAAACTGTTGTGTAAATGATATACATGTACCTCTTAGGGAAAAAAAACGAAGAAAAACTTATGATAAACCTTCAACAATTTTTTTTTTGAAGTATTAAAATTTTTGTAGGTTCTGTTTACAACACTATATCACAAAATAAAAAAACTATATGATAAGGCTGAAAATTTTTTTCTTTGTTTCCTGTAACATTAAAAAAAATCAAGGGTTGGTAGATTTTTTGGGGGAGGAAAAAAAAAAGAAAGTTGAAACATGTATCAACATGAACAACCGTGTCTAGAAACATGAACTGAAACAAGTATTATTTTCTCGAAATATTTCATATCCAACATTTTTTTTAAAGGAGTACTGTTTAAGCAGAAATATTTGTTGGAGATGAAATTTTGTTCATTTCGTTGTTAATAATTATTAAAGAAATTAAAATAAATCCCCCACAAATTTTTTAGATGACTATATATTGAATAGGATTAACATTGAAAGAATGAAAGTTACTGCCCATGAATCTATTTTTAGATGACTAATCAACGAAATTAAATCTCCACAAAATGTGTGCTTCAAGAGAATTTTTTAACAATATTAATTTACTCTCCATTTTCATTTTCTGAATACTTTGATAAAATTAATACTAGGAATAATTTTTGTAGACTTAGTAAACATGGTAAACCTACTTTTTCTTAGCTTTATCGTGTTTATTATCATTTGTTTGTTGTTATTTACATTTTCATGTTATTGTGATTTCTCCGAGTTTTTAGAATTAGAATAGTGCAGTCTTCACGAAAACTTTTCAAACTAACTGGCCAGTCGGACCAGTGAACTTTCAAAATTTACTAGCCCACCGAAATTTTTACTGGCCCCTTAATTAAATTTTAAATAAATACATTTTCATAACTGTAAACTAATACATGTTTACTTACTTCAACTTTTGAAATGCGCCATTTTTCGTCCTTTGTTGCATTTACGTAATATTGTTCGTTGGAAATTAGCACATTTTACGTACTAGTTAATAGTTACTAGCTAGTTCCAGTTGTTACGTAATACATCCATGTTATAATAGGGTTATAATAATTCGATTCAACAACACATGCTTGTTCTTTTTATTTTATATATTAATGAAATTTACGCAAGTAAGTCAGTTAAAATATATATTGACTGTGTATGATTTTTATAATCAACAAGCCCATCGGACTTCTTGAATTTTGATTTTTACTGACCCGACGTCAAAATTCACTGGCCTCGGTCTTCGGACCAGTGAGTTTTCGTGAAGACTGATAGTATTTTGTACTTACATTTTCGTGTTTGAACCTCGTTAATATCTTGATTTCTCTTAGTGTTCTTTGGCAGTATGTCTGGTGTTCAAAAGGTGAGATCTTTTTAATGGCAACCTTCTGTTTAGTTACAGTATCCAGAGCTGATCTAAAAGTTGGAGAGAATGATGCTGTAGATAATAATATAACAGAGAATGATGCTGTAGATAATAATATAACAGAGAATGATGCTGTAAATTTAATTTTATGACATGTCTATAAGAAAAATAAGAAAGTTAGAATTCAATACACAAATCATACACATAATTATAGGTAAGAAAACTTCTGTGTCCGTGTCTGCAGATTATAAAACGTGCAAGTCCTAGTTGGCTCATTTGTACATTGGAAGTGTACAGGGTGTACGAGGAGTTTGAATAATGTGACGAACGGTCACCAGACGGAAATTTGTACCCAGGCCCCCTGAATATCCAGTCAGGTTCTTTACCAATTGAGTGGGTCAAATTTTAAGAAGACAAATAAGTTGTGACAAACCCATGTGAGGAAATGAGAAAGATGTGATATTGACCAGAACAGGATTTCAACCCTGGTCCTCTGATTCTCGTCATATGCTCCAAGCTGGACACCAGCGATTAAACCCAACCCTTTATAGAAGTTTCAAATTATGTGGAAACTTGTTGTTTGATAATGCCACACCATCTAACTAGGCTATATTTGTTAATTCACACTGTTCCTCATGTCCATTTAATAGTTTAATTACCAATGTTTACCATTACTACGGCCCAATTATATCAAATATTATTTATGCATTTTACATAAATACAGAGCAAACAATATAGCGTATGCATAACAAATTTAGTTGGTCTTCACAAAACGCTCTATATATTATGATATAAATGTTTTAATATCTTGTTTTAAGTTCAACCCAGAAAAATAATGTGAATCAAGACAACAGAGTAACGTCCCTTGACTGCAGTTCCGTGCAGTTGCATGCTTATAACTTACACAACCATTCCATATGCGCCCTCCCCTATGTATTTCAAGTCAACATAGCGCGGACCGACGAGGAATTCCTGTGCCTTCACGGCCACGGGTTTATTTGCAGGTTTCTCCCCGCTCGCCATGTTGATAGAGCCAGGAGTCACGTGACAATTGACGTCACAGGGAATTTTGTATAATTTGCATATTTCTGGTGCAAATGCACTTGACTTTCAATAAGAGCTGGTTTGGTTGTAGTTTCTTCTAGACCTATTTATTTTCACACATCAGGGACGTAGCAACAGGGGGGGCCAGGGGGGGGGGGACCTGCCCCCCCCACTTTTTTCCCAACATTACCTTTACTATTGAAAATGTCTATTGAAAGGTTGGTTGCCCCCCCCCCCGGCCCCCCTCCCCACTGCTTACCATAGTATAAGGATATGTAGTATTGTATTGAAAAAATTGTAAGTGAAAGGAAGTTGGCCTTGAAAAAAAAGGTAGCAACTACACCCCCCCCCCTCCCACGAAATAGGATTTTCGAGTCCCCCCCCCTTTTTTTTTTTTTGCTTGTCAACTTTTTCAGGTAAGTAAAAAAAATTTTTTCTCTGGTTGGCCCCCCCATTTTCAAAAACGATGCTACGTGCCTGCACATAAAGTGAAATATGCGTGGTTTGACAAAGAAGATTTAAAAAAAATAAGTCGGGTATAACAGTGTATAATACTTTCGTTTTCAGGGACAAGGGGAGATTAAATTATTTAATTCAAACAGATGTTTTTAATTATTTTCAAGCATAACCTTTAATTTACATCATTGAAAATATTCATTGAAAGGCTGCAGGCGCGGATCCAGGAATTTTTTTCCATGGGCGGGGGGTTCCACTCCTGTAAAAGAAAAAAATCTCACCCAACCCAGAAATTTGTTAACAAGCAAAAAAAAAAAAAAAAAAAAAAAAAAAAAAAAAAACCCTTATCAATTCTCGCCAAAACGTGAAAATCCTATTTCGGGGGTGGGGGCATAAAATAAAAACAAAAATTCGCTGAAATTAGCACGTTTTAAAAAATGTCATATTTACTGTATATGATAAGGTATCTATAATATACAGTAAATATGACATTTTTAAAACGTGCTAATTTCAGCGAATTTTTGTTTTTATTTTGATGAGGGTATTCAGACACACCTAGCAAAACACATAATACACAAAATACACCATCCTGAAACTAAGCGCCTATGGGTGGGTAGTCGTTGACTTCCATATCTTCTTCATACATGTACCTACTCATACCTATGACTTTTCATACAAACTTAACCATATCCAAGTTTTTGAGGGGGGGGGGTCTGCGTTTTCCGGGGGGGGGGGGGGGGGTCCAAGGTCACTTTTTACTTGGTTTAGTATACAAATCTGCAAATTCCAGGGGGTCCCTCTAGACCCTCAAGATATCTTTGTAAGCTATTTTTCTTCCCCACCTCCATCATACTGCATCAGTACCTATGCCATCTTCGCTAGCCAACTTAAGGTTTTCGGTCGATCCGCACCGCTCCCGCATAAACGTGGTGCAGATCTAAAACCCTTGGCTGGTGAAGATGCAGCTATGCAAAAGAAAAAAAAAACTCCTTACAGTGTCGGGACTACCTTGCTTTTCCCTACGAATATCGGATAGAATGTTTTTAAAACGTAATATAAAAATTTTTTAATATTGTCTTTTACTGATTTTCAAATTATAGTCGTGTACTTATTTTAATTTTCCAATAAAAATCAGTAAACGACAATATTTGCAAACTAAACATACCACTGGAATCATTTTTTAAAACGTTTCAAAAACATTTTAGAAAAATGTTCCTTAAAGATTTTACCATATTTAAGCTTCTTGAAAAATTTGAAAAATGATTTTAAAATTTTATATAATGTATGCTGGCATATTAATGCCATCCACATAATTTTTTTTATCAACATAGCATATTATGTCAAGTCAAGATAACTATCTGGTTTGTCGACAAACACCGACTTGATATCTTGTTTAGTCAAGATATAGCTATCATATTTTGTTGCAATAGCTATCTTGACATGACGATATATCTAATTTATTCGCGATGCAAAATAAATTATCTCTTTTTTTGTCGAGATAGCTATCGCAACAATACGATAGCTTATCTTGACTGTACAAGATAAAAGTCGGTGTTTGACGACAAACCTGAAAGTTTTCATCACTTGACGAGATAGTTATCTTGACTTGACATGATATGCTATGTTGACAAAAAATTATGTGGATGGCATAAATATGCCACCATAATAATGAGAAGAGAAAATAAAACTAAAATGTTTTTAAAATTTTTATTCTGAAATGTTTTGAAAAAAAAACCTTTTTACATAACAACACCATTAAAATGTTTTGAAAATGTTTTGTGCTACCTGGAACCCTATAATTAAATCTCCTCAAGTATCAGGTTGGTAGGATACTCAAGGTACCATCTGAAATTAAAGTTCATGATCAGTCTTCCATAGTTCAACCGACGATTAAATCCCCCTGAAAGTCATATCTTGTATTTAAGGCAAAATATTGTTTTAACATTCTATTTATTTTATATTATTATTTTTTATTATTTCATACTAAACATTGACGTTAAGATGTTACATGTAAAATATTATGGTAAGTTTTTCAATCCTCACGACAAAACTCCTAAGCCTCGTGTATCTTCATTCAGTTATTTAATTTCTTCATTATGATATCTCTAATGTAAAAGTTTTCTCAAATTTTCACAATTTATCCATGCATGTTAATAAAATTAAGACACAATTACTTTGTAATTTTCAACATCAGACACTGAATATTGCATTTTTTGTTTGTTTGTTTGTACTGTATATTTTGTTATATGTTTTATTTAGGATTAAATTAAGTTTATTACATTTTAACTTTGCTTTTTTATTTCAATTAAAAGCATACACTGATACAATTTCAATTTGAAAAAATCTTTTGTTCTAGGTTTTTGCTAGTATATCCTCCCAGTTTCTATGAAGTCTGTGTTTTATACGTAACCGATTCTATCATTATGTGAAAAAATATTTTGTAAAATTCCAGTGTATAATTTGAGCATTTAAACGAAAAGAAAAGGTACGATTTATCAATATTTAAGTGACGTCACTATTCTGTTACATAAATAGAATTATGGTTAGAACGGCACCTAGTGAAAATGGCACCTGGTGAAAACGGCACCTGGAATATGCAAAACGGCACTTGGTTAAAACGGCACTTAGTGAAAACGGCACTTGGTTAAAACGGCACTTAGAGAAAAAAGTATATAATAGTGTTATGATATATATTTCACATAAGTTCTTTTTAAGTCAAAATTTACTTTATTGACTTTAGAATTTTTTGTGGCTTCAATTTTGCTTTATTTTCAACCTATTTTTAAAGGAAGTATTTTTAAGCAATAACACAACAATATGTGGGATTTAGAATAATTATATTTGTAGTGTAGTATTGATAATATGAAAAAAGAAATGGTGTAAATGATTTAAAAAAAAAAATATTTACAGTAAGAGTCACTTTATCTCACATTTCTATCTAATTCTGTAGAAATTATTTTAACAATATCAACATTGTATATCTTCATTATAAAAAAACAAATGTTTTGTTCTTGTATGTACATGTTTATTATATTATTAAATGTTGTATGGCTACTCATATTTTATGTACAGTTGCGAGAGGATTATCTAAGTTTTTCTAACTTGTGTACAATCCATTTGACATTTTGTCGAGAAATACACAATAGTAGCTGTATATGATTGCAAATTGACGATCAACAGATTATTGAAGGGGAGGTGTGAAATGGTCTTTTGTTTCCTAAACCTACAAGTGTATTCTTAGTAAACATACTCTAACTGGCTTCTAATTAGTCAACTGTGACTGGCAACCCCCAAAACAGAGTAGTATACATATTTGCAACACTATAAATTTTTTAATTTCAAAGGATCATAATAATATAATTGGGATTTGATCTCTTTTGTAGTAAATAAATATATATGATTTAAAATATAAATACATTTTAAAAATCTAACCCCTGTACAAAAGTATACTAGTAATAATTTTCAAATGAATCAGTTTAATTTTTTTCCTAAAATATTTTTTAAACTTTTTATCAATAATAATATACACATTTATTACTATAAATGTAACATAAAGATCCATTTTCTGTATAAACAATATCAAATTCTCAAAATAAAAAAAAGTACCGTTCTGACTTTTCTAAAGTGCCGTTTTGACTACTCTCAAGTGCCGTTTTGCATATTTCCTAAGTGCCGTTTTCACCAGGTGCCGTTTTGACTTGTACCCCATAAATATAGGACGCGAATCCGTCGCACTCTCTGTTTCCGGTGAAACTTTCGGCGAAAAAGAAGCACAAGAAAACGTCGCAAACTGCAGTCAGAAGTTTTTTTTCACAATGAGTCAAAATCCCCCAGCACACACCAAAGCAGGTAAGATTTTAACAACAGGCTACAGTTTATGAAAGTTAAACATGGATCAGATCGAAAATACTTAAATCGATTCTTTAGATTGTTGTGTAACCCGTTTGTAAGCACATTTGAGATAACGTGTATAGTATTGGAGACTGTTTTATACCCTCACCGGATTTTAGCATAATTTTTCAGGAAAAAAATGGTACAAACTTTTTTGTTACAGCCTGACTACCTTGACATGTAACTTAACCCCCCTCCCCCACTATTTTTTGCAAAAATAGACACAATATAGACATTGAAATTTGGGGCTTACCGTTTTTTATTGGTTAACCCTCCCCCTCCCCCTTAGCAAAAATTTCTTTGCATTGTGGGGGAGAATTTCTCCACTTCCTAGCATTGGTCAGTCATCTACCTTTCACTCCCAAATTCTAGACACAAGCTTTAACCAACAATTAACCAGTCCTTTATAGCTGTCACTACAGACCAGTTAACTCGTTCATTATGATTTTTTAGTTGGATGGTACAAAATTAAAAACAAGCGAGTGTAACAGTCTTTAGAGATGACTGCAGTGATTGGGATAAGCACGCGCCCCGCGCCATAGTCGCATTAAATTTCAAAATGTCACATTAAAATTAAAATCGCTGCGCCATCGTGACGCATTTATAATCATGCACTACATACTTTTAAACTTTGAGCTTTCCCCCAAGCGCTTGTAGTATTTCCCAAAACAATCACTGTCAATTTACGCTTGATAAAATAGTATTTAATGTCGTTTAATTAAAGTGTTCTTATGACTTTCTTTTCTCCAGTATCTAATCAAACAGTTACGTGTTATCTGATTGGCTAATGCGCCCGGAATAAACTGGTGTCAGGCGTGCAGCATGCTGCCTAAGAAAATACCTCGTACCGATAAAGGGCAGACTTTTTTTAATTTTAACAATCCCAAAGAACAGAATTCAAGTAAATCGGTAGAAAATGACCCGGAAGAAGTATAACATGCTGACAGAACGAATGGGGATGAATCTGGTAGTTAGATGTAGTCTCGGAGGAAAAACCAAACCACAAATTTAACATGAATCGGAGGGAAGCAGTATAGATCTAAACCAGGCTTTAAATCATTTTAACATCGGAGACAAAAAATAAGGAATTGAAATTAATTTGCAGTGTTTATATATTTTCTCTGACACTTGTGAATTTAAATGTACTAATTTTGTATCTTTTAATGTTGTCATTCAATAATTTGACAATTTCAATTAAGTCAAGTCAACTGAAATTCTAACAGCAAGTAATCAATTGCAAGTTTGTAACTAGGAAATGTCCCAATAAAAAGTCTGTTTGGCGCATTGAATTTTGAAATGTCACATTGACACTGACTTGGAGTGCGCCATTGTCACATTTACTCCCTAGCTTATCCCAATCACTGGACTGTAAAGAGTTGGGAGGTGGATAAAAATGTTGATCAGAATATAAAATGGGTGTATTGAAGTAGGACGTGAAAGCTAGGTAGTTGATTGTCAAATGCTGGAAAGAGAAGAAATTCACCTTAACAGTGTAGCCAGTGGTAGAACATCAGAAATAACAATCTGGTTCAGGTTCAATTATATTTATTAACGATGAAATAAGATGTCAAAAACCTGAAATATTACAATTACATACAACATATAGACGACACATAGTCAGACATTTAGAAAGATAATTAAAACATAATAGACTTTACTTTAGAATAGATTTCTTACCGGGACACACACAGGAATTACAAATATTACTATCTGTATATGATGAATAACATCTAACCAGTTCAACGGCTAGGCACAGAGTGCCCGATGTTAGTTCGTGAAAGCGGGAATTTTGTGAATAGGAAAAAGTCATGTGACTGTCCGTCTAGTGTCTAAAAATAACAACTACCTCATTCACACAAAGTCTTACACACCACATTCTCACATATACGCAGCGCAAGTATAGTATGGCATTAAATAATACATAACTCTGGTTACAACAGTGTGCAGAAAATCTTGCGCCGTAAATTGCACCTTTTTGCATTACTGGATCTGTAGCATTATGATCAAAGAGTAATATATAAAACAATGACACTACAGGTCTGCAGCTACCCCAACCACCACCACTTTAAATTTCCTGCTGATGCCTATGTTATAAGAGGACATTATATATAGTTTTTTCTTCACTTTTTAAAAGTTTGATAAGGATGAAGTAGAAATGGGAAGGTAGTTTCAAATTAAGAAAAAAAAATCTCATTTATGTTTCCACAGTGACCCATGCCCTATTATTGTCTTGACGCTCAACTAAGGTTTTGACTCCAACAGATAAAAATGACTTTAATTTCATCATGTTCATATTTCCAATCTTAATGTTCTGTAATTTTATCTAAACGCTTTATTAATCATAATCATACTTCGTCAGTTGGTTGTCAAACATTTTAGAGGTATTCGTCAGTTGAATTGAACATATTTTATTGTAATATACATATACAATGGGATTGGGCACACTGTGACACACAAGTTTTCAAAACTTATTTCGACCTCTCCATCAGTTGCCCAACTTAATAAAATAAATTCTGATTGCAGTCCAGTTAGTGGAGAGCAATAGTCGACCATGTGGTGTTCAGCTTGTCAGCACCGCCCGGACAAACAAATCAGCTGATCCGATGGACTTAGTGGAGCTAGCTACCACCATACAAAAGGTACCAGAGTCATTCTATTGATTGTGTTGACACTGTGTGTCATTCAAATACATGTGGCCTTTTACGTGTTTATAATCCATCTGAAAAAGTCTAAAACTCAATTTGAAAAAGGGCTATAATATACTGTAGATTGGCAAATAATCATTATGGTTTTAATCATGTTAATATCACTATGTTCATGATTCACCATTTTTCCGTAAAATTAAATCCATAGCAAATGACATCATTTAAAAAAAATGTTTTAAATGCTTAAAAGAAAATTGATTTAATTTCTAGCACCGTGAATTCAGAAATTAAAACCATTGCGATTGGTACTTTTTGAGAAATCGTGAAATTTTAACACCTTGGAATTAAAACGACTTACAGTATATCTCTAGCATATCTATTATAAATATAATTTTAAATATATATTATGAACATTTGTAGGCTGATGAATTTGTGAAAGCCACAGCTGGAAGTAAACTGACGGAAATCGCAAACCAGATCCGCTACCTTCAGGAGCGGGCCAGAAAGGTAAAAATAGATTTCTCAAAGCTAGAACAGTGTGGGTTTGACTACTTCATATGTACACATACAAGGTTATAAAACTGAATTTGTTCCAAGTGCAACTCAACATACAAAGTATCAGATTGAATATCAAACTAATTTACTTTCTCTGAAAATGATTTTCGATTATAAATTCTTGTCAATCTGCACAAATTAAATTTAGTAAACTTTCATCTAAATGGATAAATTTAAAATAAAATTTTAATAGTTGTATTTTAATTTTTTGAAAAATATCCTTTGCAAGCTATTAATTATTCACTGTGATTCACACTCTTACATGAATTGTGGTGCTATTGTTGAATGTTTTGACGTGGTTGTTACATTATGATATTGGATTTACTTGTTATACATTTAATGATGAGCTACTGTTGAATGTTTTGGCATTGTTGTTACAAATTGGATTTACTTGTTATACATTTAATGATGTGCTACTGTTGAATATTTTGATTGATTGTTACATATTTGATTTACTTGTTATACATTTAATGATGTGCTACTGTTGAATATTTTGGTGTGGTTGTTACATATTGGATTTACTTGTTATACATGTACTATTGAGATATAGTTTATTTTTTTGATGTGGTTACAATTTCGATTTACTTGCAGGCTCTAGAAGAGGCCAACAGAGACAATAAACTCCACCATTACGCCTGTAACCTGGTGAAGAAACCAGGTACCACTTACTACCTGTATGAACGGGAGTCGGGACAGAAGTATATGTCAATTCTATCCCCAGAAGTAAGTTGTTAATAAAAAAAATATGAGTTAGATCATGTAGATGGAAGTAATTTTAATTACATACTATCTAGTAATGTTTTAGAGACCTTATATGGGAAGATACCTAGTTTGTTAATTTTAAACCTGAGGTTTTACATTTCCTAACCAGGTATCATCCCATGCCCGGTCACTACAAATCTATTTTTAATGAATTTACACCACTTATTAAGGCCAAGCTTAAAAAATTCTTTGTTTGCAGTTGCCGACCTACATTTTTAAGAGAGGGTCGGTAGGTACAGGGACCAACCGAGGGGGCGACTGAGGCGAAATAGTCGCTTTTGGGCTCCAAACTTCGCCGTAATTTATCATGAAAGCGAAGTTAAAGTCGCCCTAACATTTGCAACCCCATTATTGAAAATCATGAAGCAAATCTATTAAGAAACAAGGTAGAATCGTCATTAGTTTATAAATCCTGTTTTATTACTGCTGAAATAAACAAAACAGCAGGACACTTGCACCTGTTTCGCTACTAATGTCCAATGCATCGAATACTCTGACGGAACTCCTCTAGATTTTACACTTCCGGGTATGATAAAGTCCATCGTTACAAGTTATGCACAACCAGCCGCAAAACAGCTGGTCAGCTATATCGATGTCATGCCAAAGATGTTGAAGATGATTTTAGATCTTTTTATTGCCAAATAATTAATTCATGCTGTGAATACAGACTTATTTTACTGTTAAATTGTGTAGTTATTGACTGTCTAAGAAATTACACGTCTGATATACAGAGTTCAATCAGCATGCAGTACGTAGTACATCAAAACTTTTTCAGAAAAAAAAAAATTAAGATTGAAAAATTTTAAAGAGATAATAACAAAATTATGACTATGCAATGAGGCTTCAAATTTAAAATGAAAAGATAGAATTTAAAATTTAATTGTGCATATTAATTATTATGCAAGAAATGAAAAAAAACGTTTACATTGTCATTATTTATTTTTTTTTATTTGTTTTGTTTGTTGTTGTTCTTTTTTTTTTGCTAGATATACCTTGTAATTGGAAAAAAAATTCAGATTCTTTTTCTCCTTAAATTATTTTTACTAGGATTTCAATACAGAAAAAAATTATTGAAAAGTATTTCAAGTTATAAACAATGAAATAGTTTCATTTTTAAAAAGTTTTATAATGATCAGTGAGCATCACGTGCGCTAAGAAGTCTCCCTAAATTTCAAAACTTCTCCCTAAATTTCTCTGAGGGAGAAGTGAAGTCTCCCTAATTTTTGGGTCTGGTTGGTCCCTGTAGGTAGGTATTAATTTTTTTAAAGTAGATCTTATTCATTAAGTTTTTGTTGGATTTGATCTATACAAATCAGAGATTTTCATAGGGTTCCTGTATGTATTATAAACAAAACTCTACTTCTTTTATGCCACTTATTGACAGAAACAAAAATCAAAAATAGACGATTATACATGTTTAACAAGTTTCAATATCCTAAAAATTTGAAACTTAAAAAAAAAAAATTCTTTTCAAATAATGGCTAAAAAAAGTTTGAATCGGGTGCATTTCTAGTGGGTCGGTCGGCAACTGCAAACAAACCATTTTTTATTTTAGGCCTAAATAATATTCAGGTTTATATGGTTTGGAAAGTTTTTTCTATTGAAAAATCAACACACCTAAAATTTCATCTGGTTTAAAAAATTTAGTCCTACTCTCCTGTAAAAATACCCAAATCGGGAGGGGGATTCCAGGATTTTTTTTTGTGAGCCATGTTTTGATGTGAACCTCAATTGAAATATTGTTCTGACACCTGTTATCATAATTTTTAATACGAAGAAACTGTTGACAAACCTTTAAAATTAAAAGAAAAATAGGAAGATATCATTGGAACTTACAGGAGTTATCTCCTTTCATTATGGTTCATGATGTATAAATACATAAATAATTTTAAATCTATGGAAATTTCAGTAGATTCATCATTCATTATTTGGCCTTACACTGTAAAATTGATGTTTCAGGAGTGGGGTGCATCTTGTCCACACATATTTAGTGGAGCGTACAAGTTAGAACACGATATGTCATGGACTCCATTAGAAGAGGTGGAGGAACGTAGTCAACAGTTCGCTCTCATTGATAAAATCTTAGACACTCAGAAAGCATTGCCAGAAACATCATCCATTACCGGTATACTTGGAGATAAATCATAAATTGACCAGTTAATGTGTAATTAGACTGTGTGGACACTCTATGCAAGTTTGGTATACTTGAGTGAAAGGTTTTGTGAATGCTTGTGTCTGAAATGGGAAATGTGTTGAAAACTTTGCAATCCAGAACTACTGTGATGAAAAGATGAGAAGTTCCAAAGTTAATGTGACTTTTACCTTCATGCCATTGATTTTTTTTATGTAAGGATTACTTTTATGACGACTTTTTTTAAATTGAACTTTTTTAATCACACGAAGAAAGTAGTGGAATGCTAAATCATGCACCATTTTCAGTATTTAGATAATTACACTATACACATATTATTTATTCATTATGTACATTTACATGATTATTTAAAAAATGTTCTTGAGGGCTATAGATCAAATAAAGAGGGTTTTTTGTATTACTTTATATGTGGATACACTATGATATGATTCTTTTAAAACATGGATATCTCTTTTTATTGGATTAATTGTTACAATTTTTTTATTGTTGATATATGTATTCATTGACAAGATAATATAAAATTGTGAAATAAAAAAATTCAAAAGCAAATATTTTTCAAAAGTATTTTCTAGGAAAAAGTGATCTTGGATATGGAGATGAACACTGATGGATTGTATCTTACAGAACCGAGACAAGACATATATAGCACAACACCTGGTTTTGCTTCAGTGTGCTCCTTGTCATGATCAGAAAATTGCAGAAAAATCCGTTGTCAATTCAGTGAATCAATAATGGACAAGGGATTAGTATGAAAAGTGTCAGTCAGCATTTGACTCGATGGTAAATTGTATTTACTGACAAGGTCATTGTATCGACCATAAACTTAAGAAATGATGACTTTAAACGAGACTGCTGATATTCTTGTTTCATCAACATGTTTGTCAATAATTTACCTCATTTTAGAAATTGTTCATACGTTCTTCTTTTTCTCGCATCAGATTTTGCACAAATTCTGCTTCTTGAATACAAATATAGGTCTGCTAATAACGGGGACAATTATTCAGAGTACTTTTGTGTCCAAAAGTTCCTTAGAATTTTTAAGTATCCACATCTGATTTACTCCTCTTTTTGAATATATTGTCACACAGAACTCTTAAAGTTTCTCCTTGACTACTGTTAATATCTAGTAAGTAGTAAAGAAAGAGGCTTGGTTGAATATTTACTGGAACCTGCAATGTATCTTTGTCTATGGAATAGAATGTAATATGTGTGGACTTGTTTATGTTGGTGATACCAAGGGATCACTAACTAAAAGAATATGAGGTCATCGATTTCAAATAAATCATGGTGGTCAGCAGCTTTTTTACAAACATTTTAATTTACCTGATCATTCTATTTTGTCAATGAAAGTTAGAATTCTCCAAAAGATTTATCACCACACAACACAAATAGTCCGTCGCTGAGTACACCTCTCCGTAGACAATGAGAAGAATTTTGGGTTAGAAAACTAGGAACAGTCTTTCCCTAGGGATGTAATGACAATGTCGATAGTGTTGGAAATCTTTCTAGTCCACAGTGTAACAATGTAAATGTGATGGGACTTTTTAACCATACACAGAGACGTAAGCGCACTCATGGGCATCGGTCTTACAATAAACCTGCAATACACGATGTCTCTTTTGATTCATTACTACCTTATAGAAATCAACAGTTAGGTCTACATCATATTTGCACCAAACTTAATTTACTCTGTCCCTTTGAAACTTTTAAATAGTCTTTTTGAAAAGGCCTAGGAAAGTCCAATTTTTGATTCCTCGTTACCAGAATATAGGCTCAGATCTGTGATTATGGATATTGCAAATAATAGGTTTTTTAAACCCGCATGTTTTACTGAAGAAAATGCAGCGAAAACAAACCGCGTTTTCCTTAAACTTCAATATGCCAATAAAGGAATCGACGCAGTTAATATCAGTAATATTCTAAATTAAAAAAGAGTCCAGTCTTGTATTCCACCATATTTCAAGTTAAAGACTACACCTTGTATTTCCTACAAATATACATCGACCATTGCTTCCAAACTTTTCAAGTACAAAAAAACTTTACATTAACCGGATACCGAGTATCTGAAATATAATCCTCCATCGTGCTCATGTTCTTCTTCGCCCTATAACTATAGCCCTGCTGGACACGTTATTACAGATGACGTAAATATAGTTCATAATGAGGACCTTAGATAACTTATTTTAAAAGGTCCTAAATATAGGGAACCCCAATCCTTGAACTGGCGTTGGAATTTCATAAATATTATGGATTCTGTTGAAGATTACGCCAGACGATGGGCCAGATATCAAAAAAAGACGTTGACACCTTGTCAGAATGGATTAAATGTACCAGATCCATGTAAAAGTCGCGTATTAAAAGATTGAGGGGCAATATGAAAACCATCTATCCTTCTGTGTTCAATAATCCAAAAGTGAAAAAAAAATTAGATAGATTACATGATCAGTACGTACTGGTCCCTGCCGACAAAGCAGGTAACAACATTGTCTTCGTTTGTAAGGCTCATTATATAATTGTATTTTATAAGAACTTGGATATAATTCTACAAGTGGTAATCGTACTATACTCATACTTCCCTTTCTAAGGTAGAAATTCTTCAAAATCATGTCAGTTTTAATATATTTAATATTCCACAGAGCCAAAATGAATTTGAACTACCCTATATATATTGGATTCCGAAACTTCATAAGAATCCTTTAAAAAAAAGATACATTGCGGGTTCCAGTAAATGTTCAACAAAGCCTCTTTCGTTACTCCTCACTAAGCTATTGGCAGTAGTGAAGGAAAAACGTCAAGAGTGCTGTGCAACAAGATATTCAAGAAGTGGTGTGAATCAGCTGTGGATACTCAAAAAAGGAACTTTTGGACTATTTGAAATCACAAGACTTTACCAAAATCAACAGCTTAAAAACGTAAGACTTTTCAACTTTATACACAACCATTCCCCACAAAAATTAAAGACCTGGCTTTTTGATATTATTGACAGCTGCTTTTTCAATAAAAATGGAACTGGTAAATTTACTTACCTGGTCATTGGTCATTTGAAAATCATTTTGTTAGAACACATTCTGATTGCACACACAAGCACTCTGAAGATGACATCAAAAAGATGCTTGAGTTTCTCAATGACAATATCTATGTATTCATATGAAGCAGAATTCGTGCAAAATCTTATGAGTAAAAAGAAAAGAAAAACACTTGCTGTGGTCTTCAACTCGACATTTAGATATATCGACGACGTATTGTCAATTAACAATGGTAATTTCCATTCCTACGTCGATACGATATATCCTGGAGAGCTTGAGATTAAAGATACCACAGAGTCTGACAAATTTGTTTTTTGCTTGGATATTTTACTTAATGGTAATCTAACAACCAAGCTATATGATAAACATGCTGACTTTAACTTTTCTATTGTCAACTTCCCTTACTTATGTAGCAATATACATTCATCACATGCATACGGAGTGTATACATCTGAGGTGATTCGATACGCAAGAGCATGCTCTACGTATGAACAATTTCTAAAACGAGGTAAGTTATTGACAAACAAGTTGATGAACCAAGAATATCAGCAGTCTCGTTTAAAGTCATTTCGTAAGTTCTATGGTCTATACAATGTCCTTATCAGCAAATACAATTTATCATTAAGTCAAATGCTGACTGATGTTTTTCATACTAATTGTTAGTCCACTATCAATATATTGAATTGTCGACGGATTTTTCCGTTATTTCCCGATCATGACAAGGAGCACACAGCGGGTGTGACCGGTCAGTAGGGAATGCTCACTCCTCCATGGCACCTGATCCAAGCTCTGATGATTTGGAGGTCCAGGTTTGCTCTGCTCCTGTTTTGTATTGTTTTATGGAATTTTGATCTTAAATACTGTTCGTTATCTCCATATGTTTCACTTCAATCGGCAAACTAAATAACTGAAACAAGCATTCAATCTACTAACGCTGACTTGAATGAAGTTTTCTCAATATATTAGATTTGATAGTCATTTTACCTTTATAGTATACATTTAGCTTTTCAATTTTTAAAATCATAGATGAATGAGCATCACCTACCGACCTGTCACACCCGCCGCGTGCTACTTGTCAGATCGGAAAATAACGCAAAAATGAGAAACTGATGTGTCAATGCTAATGTCTCTTTTTTTATTTCGTCGATAAATTAAAATTAACTTTTAAACTAATTTCTAAGCTAGCAAGAATACGCTTCCTTTTTGTATGATGTGACTATTTTCCATGATTGCTATGTATATATTGGGCCACGCTGATTCGCTTATATGGGTAAATGGTATGATAAACGAAATACTGGTAAATTTATTGTGAATGTTGAAGAAGCTAGACTTTAAAGCGTTATTCTTAAGATAGCAAGAAGAGTAAGGTTTTCTGGCGTAATTGCTCAAAATTGACAAGAAACGGAAAACTGTTCCCTGACCTAATTATCTGTAAAGAATATTCTGTTCTGTAAGTTGACAATTTAGGCATAATTAAACAAATTCTGCAAATAATAACCTTCATGTTTAAACAACTGCGGCTGAAGCTCGGCTGCATAATTGGTGACCTTTATCTTGTCATACCATATTAGTTGCTTACATTTATGCAAAACATTTAAATATGTTGGTAATTTAACTAGACTAATGACACATTCTCTGTAAAGTTTTCCCTGCAAATTAAAGCATTTTCAAGTAAATTTTCAGAGAGGAAGGCATAAAATATAAAGGTTGAGATTTGCCATTTCTGATACAGGAAAAGCAAAAAGATATTCTACTGTATAATTATGTATAATATAAACTTTAATGATTGTTTTTCTTACACTGAATAAGTTGATAAACAGTCTAAACTGTCTTGATCGATTATAGTTTCACCATCCAGATTTTTTATATCGATGTGATGAACAGTATCAAAAGGTCAAGCTCAGTAAGACTGGAGAAAACACGACCTTCCAAAAACAGCAAACGTGGGATTAGGGGCCATCTAGGGATGAAATTCCCTGCCGATTGATCACATCCGCCGTGTGCTCCTTGGAATGATTGGGAAAAAAGAAAAAAATATTCAAAGAGAATTCAAATAGTGGATAATGCCCCAACAATCAGAATGAAAAACGTCATTCAACATTTGACTTAATGATAGATTGTATTTACTGACAAAGTCCTATATCAAACATAAAACTAGCGAAATAATGATTTTAAGCAATAATGATTTTAAACAATTATAATGATTTTAAACAAGACTGTTATTATATCCTTAATTGTTTCATCAATCTGATTTTCCAAAGCTGGTCTCGTTTAAAATTTATTCAGACAAACAGCATGATTTTGCCAATCGAATCAACTGAGAGAAATAAAGTCAACATGCAGGATTAATGATACATTAGTAAAGGAAGCTGATGGTAGAAAAGTTGATCACGTGTATTATAAAGATTTGTTGTTAGTTACCACTAAAAACTTTTCTAGAAAAATATCCAATTACGAGAAAAATTACGATTAAAAAGTTTTTCAATGCGTAGAATTAATCTTTTCTTAAAGGTCCTAAACATAGGGAACCCCGATCCTTCAAATTGCGTTTGAATTTCATAAATATTATGGATTCTGTTGAAGATTACGCCAGACGATGGCCCAGATATGAAAAAAAAAACGTTGCCACATTGTCAGGATGGATGAAATGTATCAATTCCATAATAAATCTCGTATCAAAAGATTGATGGGCAATGTGAAAACCATATATCCTTCTGGATTCAATAGTACAGAAGTGAAAAAAAGAACAAAATATAATACATGATCAGTACGTACTGGTCCCCGCTGAAAAAGCAGATAACAGCATTGTCTTCATTTGTAAGGCTCATTATATAAATTGTATTTTAGAAGATCATGGATTTAATTCTACAAGACATAAGTGATAATCCAACTTATACTCATAGTTCCCTATCTAAGGAGGATATTCTTCAAAATCATATGTCAGTTTTTAATATCCCAAAGAACCAAAATGAATTTGAATCACTATATACGAATTGGATTCCAATTAAATTTCACAAGAATCCGTACAAACAAAGATATAGAGCGGGTTCCAGTAAATGTTCAACCAAGCCTCTTTCTTTACTCCTCACTAAGAAATTAACAGTAGTATTTGAGGAACTTTAAGAGTACTGTGTGACAATATAATTATTCAAGAGGAGGTGTAAATCAGATGTGGATACTTAAAAATTCCAAGGAACTTTTGGACAATTTGAAATTAAAAGATTTCACCAACATCAACAGCTTAAAAACTTACGAATTATCATCCATTCCCCGCGATAAATTAAAGTTCAGGCTTTTTGATATCATTGACACTGCTTTTTCAATAAAAATGGAACTCGTAAATTTGCTAAAACATTCTGATTGTAACACGTACTCCGAAGTTTATAGCAAAAAGATACTTGAGTTTCTGACTGACGGTATCAATGTTGTTTTTGGAGACCCGGTTTTCTAACAGTCTATTTGAATTCCCATGGGTACCAATTCCGCCCCGTTATTAGCAGACCTATTTTTGTATTCATATGAAGCAGAATTTGTGCAAAATAGTATGCGTGAAAAGAAGAAAACACTTGCTGTGGCCTTCTACTCGATATTTAGATATATCGACGACGTATTTTTTGATATCATTGACACTGCTTTTTCAATAAAAATGGAACTCGTAAATTTGCTAAAAACATTCTGATTGTAACACGTACTCCGAAGTTTATAGCAAAAAGATACTTGAGTTTCTGACTGACGGTATCAATGTTGTTTTTGGAGACCCGGTTTTCTAACAGTCTATTTGAATTCCCATGGGTACCAATTCCGCCCCGTTATTAGCAGACCTATTTTTGTATTCATATGAAGCAGAATTTGTGCAAAATAGTATGCGTGAAAAGAAGAAAACACTTGCTGTGGCCTTCTACTCGATATTTAGATATATCGACGACGTATTGTCAATTAACAATGTTAATTTCCATTCTTATGTCGATACGATATATCGTGAAGAGCTTGAGATAAAAGATACCATATAATCTATTATATCTGATTCTCATTTGTTTATTTTACTTGATAAAGACGTTAATGGTAATATAACAACCAAGGTCTATGATAAACGTGATGACTTTAACTTTTCTATTGTCTACTTCCTTTACTTGTGCAGCAGTATACCCTCATCACCTGCAAACAGAGTTTACATTATCTATGTTTAAAAAATTTCTAAAACGAGATAAATTATTGTCAAACAAGTTGATGAAACAAGAATTTCACTTGTCTCGTTTAAAGTAACCATTTTGTACCTTTTATGGTCGATACAATGTTCTTGTCAGCAAGTACATTTATCATTGAGTCATATTCTGAATGAAGTTTTTCATACTAATAGTTAGACCATTATTTATACACGGAATTAACGACGGATTTTTCTGTTTTTTTCCCGATCATGACAAGGAGCATACGGCGGATGTGACCTGTCGACAGGGGATCTTCACCCCTCTGGCTTCTGGTCCGTGTTTACTCTGCTCCTATTTTGTATTGTTTGATGGGTTTTTGATCTTGAATACTGTTCGTTATCTCCATATGTTTCATTTCTTAAACTGATCAAGGATAACAGAATAATATATTCTGCTGAACTGGCATCCAGCGAATGACATACATGTTTAAATACCAACCTATTAATTTTCTCCGAGAAAGTAAGAAAAATATACCTGTACTTTGATTTACCTTTCAGGTATACGTAAATATGTTCCCTTTTTATGAGATTGTAAAATTATGAAAAAGAAAGTATGTGAAATAAGAAGTGTCCTTTTTGACTAAAAATTAATATTTAATTCAAGTGTTTAAATATCAGTTGAATCCATATTTTCAATCATAAAATATACAACGACAGAAAAACAGTTTTTTGCAAACAACAATATACTAGTATATTGCTCTTTTACGAAATATAAATAAAATGAAAATCACAGAAAACGAATAAACAAAAGTTGAACAAACATTCCAATTTTTGTTCATTTACAGATATGTGGACACAACAAAGCTTTTTCTGTTTGAATGGCTGCTGCTGATGAGTCGTTTACAGATGTGTGGACACAACATAGCTTGTCTCTGTCTGAATGTCCGATGAAAATGAGCTCCCCGTGTTCCAGACCTCGCTGCTCGGGGTCCTACAGATGGGCTTCTTTGTCTGTAAATCTCCTTTTATTGAATACCACTTAGAAAAATTGTTAAACTGACTCTTCCTCACGCTGTTCTTTCCTTTAAACCATCTTCTGAATATCTGCTTCAGTGATTTTCTAAATTTACCGCCAGTCACCAGGTAAACAAAAAATGTAACACATTTATTGGTGTAAAGCATGTAAAACGTCACAGAGAATAATAGACTCATATCTGGAGAACTGTAAAATTCCGGATTGTACCCTGATATTGATAATTGTACAGAGAAAGGGAAAGTTAACAATAACAGCACTAAGGACTCTCCAATCAACATAGGTGCTATGGTATGCAATTGTTTTCTCATCCGAGTACTGTAATTGAATTTGTTTTGATCAAGCAATTTGGAATTTTTGCTAGTTTTCTTGAATATTTTCTGAAAATTTGACGATTTCAGTATCTGAAGTAATAGAACGGAGTTACTCCCAATGATGATGATGAAACACACAGACAGATATACAAGATGCAGCCAAGGCCAAACCTGCTTCCAGAAAAATTTGTATGACTCTGTTTCTGGAAAAACATCACAAAGCCTTTCTTTCCGAGATTCTGGAACCATGTTAGATCCAATCAGGAAATGGAATTCTTTGGCGACAACAATCATGACCGTCACCAACACTACAATTCTTGCTCGCGTGATTGATTTTGTTTTAAACCTTAAGGGAAACTTCATTGCTAAGGCCCTATCTACGGTCATCATACTGGTGATTAGAATACCAAAGTCACAATTCCCCCAGCCGTAAAAATCCAGGAACTTACAGATGCCTTTTACATCATTTCGATAGTAAATCCCATCAAAACTAACATAAAGCCAGTGGGTTGTCATGGATATCACCAAACTTAGAGCGTCATTAACAGCACTGGTTGTCATGAAGACGGAAGTTGATTGTCTACAAAACTGTTTTGTGCGCATGACCAGTATGATGAGTACATTACACGTGACTCCAACAAAGATGAGAATTGGTGGATAGACTGCATTTATGACGTCACCTGACCTTTGAGTTTTTGTTTCTGTGGCGCTCACCTCTGATGTTGCTGCTGCAGAAAAGGGGACAGTTGTTGCATTCATCATCTTCCAAATAGAATTTGATCAGATTAACATCTGTAGCAAAATTATAAGACATAGTAAAATTTATGTTTATCTTTACCCTTTAAATTTCAATTTTATTTCATAGCATGGTTTTTGAAAATGATTCGTCATGTGTTCATTATATTGTTGAATTTTCTAATTATCCCTTTGTGTAAATAGCTTTAATATTTAATTATAAGATCAACAGATTGAAATCAATATTTATTTTGCTATGATCAAGATTTATCTATGATGGTTTAAGAAAAATGAAAATAATTACTTTAGATAGTTAATGACGATTCCAAGAAATATAAAGTGAAGACATTATCACGTTTTATCCACCTACTGCAAAACACGTCCACCGGTTACACTGTGCAAAGGTCTTTGAATCGCTTAAAGGAGACTTACAAAATAATTTGGATTGTATGAAATAAATTTTTCTAATACCATAATTTAATGTTATTCAGATTAAAGCGATGTTTACACAGTTCCAACTAATTGAAAGAAAGCCTCCCCAAACGTTCATCAAAATATATATTCATAATTTCTTGATCATTATTTTCAATATTGTGCGTACATTTAAATAATATTATGAGAAAGGGTTTTTTGAAGCCATCAAAAGTTATTGTTTTGTTTTGTTTGTTGTTTCTTTTTTGTCTTGATTTGGATTGCAATTGCGTTATTTAAATACTTACATGTATTTATTTATACGTTACTATTGTTGCTCGAGAGAGAAATCCAAGATAAGTATTAACTGATTTCCAAAATTTAAGCAAGAATTAATCTAATGTAAAAATATCAAATTCTAAAAAGCATATTTTTTTAAAATGACAAGCATAAAATCTTTGAAAGAATAAAACAAATACAAGGCTTAATTTAAGGAGAGTTCAGTCTCTACACGGTGCTCAATTAAAGCTTTGGCTAATTAACAAGAATTTCTCACCTTCTATTTACTGTTGCCTGATCAAGCATAACGAAACATCATAGATCAAACAGGCATTCATATATCCATTGATTTCCTGGACTCCATACTCCTGAAAAGGATTGTTTGAGTCAGGACCTTCGATCTCACAAGTGAAAAAACATCTGAATGTAAGCAAGAAGCTCTTAGTAGTAGGAAAAGGTTAACCTTATCTAGAAGATTTCCTCGGAATCAAATGTAACAAAACACAATCTGGCCCCAGGCTGGCGACCTTACAAAATTATGCATTTTCCACATATTCTATAAAATGTCATGTAAGCAACAGGTTAACGTATTGTCATATGTCTGTTACTGTGAACTTGCTGGTGTGTACTAGAGTTGCATTTTTCTTTCTTTTATTATAAGATTATAATTTTTTATTTTGCTCGTTTGTTAGAAAGATTTCATAATTTGCACGTATCTTGTACGTAAGAATTGCTTGCAGCTATAGTAATCAATGCAACTTATTGAATACCAGGCCCCATGAACATAAACTGAGAATAGACTTAAGTCAAAATTTTGATCCTGAATAATTAAGTTTTACCTAACATCTGCTCTTAAAATTTTGCAGTTATGTTTAATATTCAAATTCCATCAAATGATGCAATTTAGTTTCCGTATCATTATTTTTTATTTAAAGTTCTATTGATTTTAATTTTTGACATAAGTCTGTTCTCTGTTTATGATCATTGGGCCTGAAATAATATACCAAACGTTCTCGATTTTGTCGAAGTCATAACATGTATACGGATGTAAGACACCTTTTGATAGATAGAAATATGCACCCCGAAAAGGAAACCTGTGCTGAGATTTTATACAATGTAATGGTGTTTATTTGAAATTAAACTTACTCTTCAATCTCTACAATTATGTGTTCACCGTGTGTCATGACCTTCTTTGGATATCAAAGATACTAATATCTATAATTACAAATATTAATTATTTTTAGAACTAAAACTATTCAAAATGCATGCAAAGAAACTCTCTTTCTAATTACACATAACATATACATATTTCCTCGAAAAATTATGGGATGGGGGCTAAACTGCTTTCCTCAAAAAGAAGAAAGTTAAACTCATGTGAATTTAATTTTATTAATAGATTTACAATTTCTTAAACCAGGACGGGACTGCTGTGACATGCTGTAGTGGGATCAGGTGCCATGGGGAAGTGAGCACCCCCGACTAAACGGACTAAACGGTCTCACAGTTTCTTGTCTTGTTTCGAAAAGAATATATAAAAAAATTCAGCTTTTAAATGATTGATTAACATTTAGTATGAAAATCATCAATCAGCATTATTATACACCGACTTAACTCAAAGAACTTTAAATAATATGAAAAACGAAACATGCTGACGAAAAAAAAGAAGAAAATGAAAATTAATAAACTGATAAAACACAACGCATTTAAAACGTTTTTGTTGAATTTTAGAAGGGCGACTTTTCTATTCTGCTATGTCATGAATGATTTAGTGTCTGCCTTAATGTCAAGGACGCTAACCCAGATTTTTTCCATATTTCGGTCATCAAATGTCGGAAGTTCTGTATAAACTAATTTTTATTTTCAATTTTCTCACCTTTAATTCCATAAAGTGATGATGATATTCATATCATCCAATTTATTCCTATGCATTGGGATGATTTATGAAAATTAAGTGGATAAATACTCTTTTCATGCAAAATGTAGAAAGAGTATGATTTATTATGTGCAAGTTTAAGATAAAAAAATCTTTCATCTAGAGGATTAAATGAATTTTTAAAAGAAAATTATCATACTCTTTTAACATAATAAAAATGTAAATATAGAGTTACTTTATATTGCTGTCGGAAAAAACCCCAATGAAATATGTTCTCTAACAATTAAAAAATCAAAATACTTTTTTCTTTCGGTTCCTTATATCGAGTATCTCATTTCTTGACGACAGCTATTAGTTTTGTCGAGAAAAAGCATTCAACTTAGAACACATAGAATCAAAACATTTAAGAGTCTTAAAAAATATACGAGGTACAGTGCCATCATAATTAATTTGTTTTCCAAGATATGGTTAAGCTCTCATAAATTTCTCTCTAATAAATAACACCATTGGAAAATAATGATTTAAATGCGTAAATTGATTATGTTGATTTCCATGAGGAACATTTATATGATATTAAAAGAAATTCTAAATTGTGTAAATTCAAGTTACATAAAATATTTTTCATAACTTTTTTCTTCTATCTTTTTTACTGTATAACTGACATACCTGTTTCTCTCCATAGGATTCCCTTTGACAAACAAAATTAAAAATTCAGATAGATTTGATTTCTCGACAAGTATCCAGCAACACAGATCTGGTAAAATACCCAGAGTTTAAAACAAGGCATACTTATAGATCTTGGACTAAAATTACACAATAATGTCGTCACTGACTTAACAGCTGCACCTATAACTAGCTGGATCTGATATTCTGAATTGCAGCTTTTTGTTCTAATTTAGAAGATTTCTCACAAGACCTTTGTTCTTCGTAGAATGTCAATATTGTCAAACAGTTACCCATCGCCGCTCATTATCTAAACAATTTCCCCGGTATTAACTGAACTATTTACTCAGGCTCAAGTTACCGGGGCTATTGACTACACCATTTGTTTACTTTTATTGTAGAGTTAAAATATTAACTCATTGTTAAATACTTAAACGCGGAAAATCGACTGCAGTGTTGTAAACACATATCATTTTCTAAGAAAAATATTTCTCTTTATTTTACCTCAGGAATCTCTCAAAGGTGAATCTTTTGACTAACCCAGTAATACCACTGACGTTTCTATTTACAGTACGATGATATAAAATGACTTGGTTTCCAAATGAACTTGAAAGCAAACATAACATATCATTGGGTCATATTTTGGCTGACTTGTTTTGTATCAATATCAGGGCTGTGTTGTTTTTTTTTTTTAATTTGAAATGGAATGAATGAAACATATTGAGAAAATGAACAGCATTCAAGCCAAAACGTCAACTGAAATAATACAAATAGGAGCAAACACGGACCTTTTAAACATCAGAGGTGGGATCAGGTGCCATGGAGGAGTAAACATCTCCCGCCGACCGGTCACACCCACCGTGTGCTCCTTGTCATGATCGGGAAATAATGAAAAAAATTGTTCGTCAATTCAACATATAAAAAAAATGCCTTACAAAAAGTATAAAAAAAAAACAGACATCATTTAACTCAATGATAAATTGTATTTGTTGACAAGGTCATAAGATCGATCATAGAACTTACGAAATGATGACTTTAAACGAAACTGCTGAAATTCTTGTTTCAACTTGTTTGTCTATAATTTACCGCGTTTTGGAATTGCATATATGCAGAGCATGCTCTTGTGTATCAAATCTACGGAGAGATATAAACCCTGTATGCAGGTGATGCTGCTTAAGTAGGGGAAGTTCACGATTGAAAAAGTTAAAGTCATCTCATTCATCATAAAGCTCGGTTTCTAGATAACCATTAACGTCTTTTCAAGTAAAATATTCAGATATGAAGCAAATTTGTCAGATTCTGTGGTATCATTTATCTCAAGCTCACCGGGATATATTGCATCGACATAGGAATCGAAATAACCATTGTTAATGGACAATGCGACGTCGATATATCTAAATGTTGAGTTGAAGGTCGCAGAAATGCAGCACTGTTAAGGCATACTATGAAAAAATCAACGAAAAATATACAAAATATACAAATAGATACTTACCTTTGAAATGCTGATTTATTTTTGCTACGCTATTTTATTTTATGTACCAGATGACTTTAATATCGCAATAACATTGTATATCCACTATATATTGAATCTAGTTTGGTCAACACAAAGTCACGTGATAAATATACATAATGTGTAGTACATGTAGGTCATACAAAAAATTCAATATTGCAAAGGCATATACCCTATTAAAATTTCAAATTTTAAGATGTAAATTTCCATACACATTGTACTTCCTACATGTAAAAAGTGCGACTGTTTTAAATAGAATTTCCATTTGTTTATGATAAATGCTTTCATGTTATGTAGTTCTAGTTGAAATATGTGTGACCTTCATAAAGTATATATTGTATTCATTTATTAAATAATAACCTCGATTTTGGGAGAGCAACAGCACTTTTTAAGTTTATTAAATTATAAGTACAGTTCAGCGCTCTCTTAAATATAACATGGTTTCAAGCACAAATTAAGCTCACATTGTAACAATGTGAAATTAATTGTTTAACAAGGTAACGAAAGATATTTATAAAATGATACCTATGTGATAAATTAATTTTTTCACCATAATACAAACAATATTAAACATGACGACTTTAATACTATAGCATTCTCTTGGCTAATAGATTATAACAATTTTGTCTTTGTATCCGTTCTTTTGAAAATAGTCCTTTGACCGCTTAAAACATTTTTTTCTACACGTTTGATTTTAAGTATGACCTTTTTTGAATTGTTTAGCTCTATTATCCAAAGAAAAACAAAATTACAATGTTAATTTAAGGTAGTCCGATCCTCAGGTTTATAAAATTAGCAGTTAAGTAATCAAAAATACTCATAAAAGTATTTCTAAATCCACAAAGTTATGTAAATTTATCCACAGCATTTCTTTAAAGTTTCAAATTAAAGTATATAATATTATATAGGGAAAATTGTCAAATTTCCAATATTTTTTCCAAAGAGGGGAATTGAAATAACAGCAATGCATTTTCTAATTGCAAATTGATCAACAAATATGTTTTAGGTAAAAAAAAAATTGTAGGCATCCAGGCATTCAGAGAAATTGTCATGAGTTTCATACTTATTTGGTATTTTCTGTTTTCTATTTCCATCATGTATTCTATAATACATAGTGTGAAAGACTTTTGCTATCATTAAAAGACACCACAAATCACTTCTTATTTCATATCATGCTAATAAGCATTGATATCTAAGGCTGAATTCAAGAACATCTTATTTCTCTAAAACTGTATTATTTTTTTTTCCTTTTTTAGGGTACAAATGTTAACTTTTCTAAGACTTCCAAAAACCAATCTTATAAAGATCGATAAAATGAAAATTGTTGCATGAAAAACTGTCATTTTCAAGCTTCATTTTGATGCATTTCAAATTATATATTAATTTTTGGAGTTATCCTTCCTGGCTGAGGATCGGATATCCTTAAGATTGAAGAGAATATACAAATTACATCAACCACATGCTAAATGCTAAAATTGTCAATCATTAAACATTTTTTAAGTAATATTTTATATAATTATATTATTGTAATTTCTTGTACAGAAAATATAGTAAAATAGATGGTCATCACGTCGAATAAACTTGTATTAAGCATACTGTAAAAAAGCTAATTTTGCTCGATTAATTTACTGATTTTATTCTATTTTATTTTTTTTTTTTTGCATTGGCAAAATGCTTTGTATTTTTCAGGAAACATCCAAAGGTCTGTCCTTTATTATAAACAGAGATAAGCCGTTCTGAAAATCAAAAGTTAAAATACCACGAAAACATGTATAGAACGAAATCATACAATGAAGTTGAATCAAATACAATTGACAAGTTCTATTATTCTGACATAATTAAGGAATTTTTTTCTGAATTTTGCTTCAGGAGTTATCTTTCATTGTTTGTGAAAAAAGTCTATAAATTTTTAGATCAACGAAATAATGCTTGATGAGTACACTTCTTAAAACTTATAAAAAGGATGAATTGAAACGGTCCTATTAAACAACAGATGTTGAATCGGATTTCTCGAGGAGTGAGTATCACAAGAGACCGATCCCACCAGCCTGTGATCCGTGTCATGATCAGGAAACATTCGGGAAAAACTGTAGACAGACAATTCAGTGTGTAAATAATGGCTTAATAGTTAGTAGGAAAATCGTCATTTAGTATTTTACATTGTGATACACTGTATTTGTTGACAAGGTCGTTGTTTTGACCTTAGAACCATACGAAATGACGACGTTTAACGAGACTGTTGATATTCGTGTTTCATCAACTTGTTTGGCAATTGCTGACCTCGTATCAAACTTTTTTACCATACATCGAGCATGCTCTTTCTTATAGATTAAGCTAAGAAATATAAATCCTCATCTGCAGGTGATGAAGGTATATTGCTGCATAGGTAAGAGAAGTTGATGATTGAATAGTTAAAGTCATCACGTTTTTCACAATTAGCTTTGTTTTTACGTTATCACTAACGTCTCTTTCTGGTAACATACTGTAAACCAAACTAGTAAATCGCGAAGTAAAGTCGTCGCAATTAAAAGTTGGTTTACAGTATTCAAGTAAAAAAGAGACACGTCAGACTCTGTGGTATCTATATTTTCACAGTCACTGGGAATGTCAGGTATGATTACAATGGATCTTTTAAGTTCTGGAGTTCTAGAGAGAGAGAGAGAGAGAGAGTTTGTCGATTTTAACGTACCACAACGAAATGAATTTCAAATTCTAATGAAATCTGAGTTCTTTAATAAAAATCTACACTTAAAATTTTAAATCTAATTTTTTATTTAAACAAACGTCATTGAATACACACAATATTTTTCTCTCCTCAACTCGATTGTTTTTTGATAATTTTCCGTGTGAAAGGCCGGAGGTTTTTTTTACTTGGTGAAATTATACTATGTGAAGTCTTGCTACTGTTATAATTTATAATATTTATTTTATTTTCATAATGAATCCTAGAGTATTTTAGGAATGAAAAAAATAGCACATACTATTTGATATTTTAGCTTATCTTTATTATTACACTAGAATTGTATTAAAAGGCGAAAACATAATATAAAATCAAAAGAAAGATCATATTATATATTATATAATATGATCTTTCTTTTGATTTTAATTTTTATTTAATATGCATTATATCCTCAATGAAAGAAGCTTTCAGGGATTTTTTCATCTGCTTTTGTATTAACTTTCTAATATGAAAAATAGTATCGAAGCTGTCGGGACCTTACTTGCATTAAATTGAAAATACAATTATACATGTACATATAAGCATGGGCATAGGCAGCAAATTTGAATATCGTCTTTTTTATGGCTAATATATTTCTTCTGGACATAAAACTTCACAAAGTTGACATTAACAATTGAGGGTTGTTTTTTACTTCTATATTGTGCTTCAAGTGTTATTCTATATATTTAAAGATATCCTAGAATACCAGGGTAATAAAACTCATTTATCATACGGTATGTAAAATAAAAACAATTCACAAAGTACAAAAATAAAACAACAAATCTCTTTCATAACTCACAATTTTTTTTATATGAAAAAGCTACAAATAATAAGTGAATTATGACAAAATTATCAAATCATTCTTTATCATGTTTATAAATTATCAAATCTTTGTCGTTAAATTTATCTAGCCATGGAAATGAAACGTATTAACAATAATAATTGTAATTTTTAAAATCCTAATATATACAACAAAAGGTTAAAGGTGATTTATATACAATATCATTTGATCATTTAAACAGCATATTGCAGTAAAGGTACATCTATTTATATAATATGATAAAACCATCATTCAAATCTAATAAAAAAATTATCATTTTTCCTTTCAACAAAAATTAGAATTATGTGTATATTTTCCTAAATATAAGTATACAAACTAAAGATTTTGTTCATATTTTATGTCTTTTAAACATTAAAAAACTATACATATTTATTCAAAAACATTATCAAAATCGAATGCATCTGTATCATAGATTTAAAAAAAGCGAACAAAATTTATCAATTACAATACAGAAGTAAAAAGAAATCTAATACAAAATTACAGACATAATACCAAAAAGCAACACAAATGGCGGGAAACACCTGAGGGACTCCGCTGCCCCGCCCCCTCCTTGTGATTTCGGATCTCGTTGTAAACCTGTGGGAGTGCTTTGATTGGAGACTTGGGTATCGGAATGAACCGATACTGTTGTAGAGGGAGGGTAAATTGGTCCCTGTAGGCAGGGGGTTTTCTCGTCAGATTTTAAAACAAGTTTGTGATCACAGTTGCCGACTTTAACTAGTGTACAGGTCGAGGGATATAATATTTTACCAGCCTTAACTCCATACCTATCAGGAAACAAGAATATTAATAATTATTATATGACAAAAACATAAAGCATCATTGCATTGGGAATTTCAAAATAAAGACAACATTATTCAAAGATAGAGTTGTAATTGTTAGAACGCGTCAACAAGAGATACGTTATTAATTTTTACGTTTAGTTTTTATCGTGCACTATGAATCTTTGTTATAATACTCTTTAACGTTAAATATCATAATACGAGAGTAATCTGATTAAAATCATATCCTCGATCCGTTCCTTTTTTTTTAATTGTCGCTACCTCGTGTAGCGACGACACCAACAACGACAAAACAAACCAAAAACAAAAAAAAAAAAAAAAAGGAGCGGATCGAGCATATGATTTTAATCAGATTGAATACGAGATTGAATTTCATGTATTTTGTTAAGAAGTAAAATGATGAGTTGGCTTCTTATATTAATTTAAAATGATGGCGATAACACTCAACTTTGATTTTGTATCGAGAGTTACAGCATCAGTAACCTTCATTCTTCTCTCCACTGTTTACCTACATACAGCAGTGTAGACCCCCGGAGGACTGACAGGTGCCCCCTCTGTATACTTACATACAGCAGTGTAGGTCCCCCGAGGGCTGACAGGTGCAGTCCTCGCAGTCTGTGGGGTGGCGGTGAGTACTATTAACTTTTATCTCCACACTTCTCCCAGCCTCGTCCACGTAAATACATAACTTCACTGGAAAAACAGAATAATGGTTAACTTTTTTATCCCAATGAGATACATGTGTAATCTTATGATTTTTCTACCAGGACAAATCTCGCTATTTAAAAGGTCCCTGTTGGTTGGAGAATAAAATCTATTAACTTTTTGTCTTTTGTTCAGAACTTTAATGACCATTATGAAAAGCTTGTGTCAAAAGATTATTTAGAGCACACCCACAAACAATTAAGACTTCTGCCAGATAAAGAGGATGTTTAGTGGAGAACTACAGGTAGTTTCTATTTTATAGCCTTTGATATAATGCTCTAGGGCCAATGGCAAATCAGTTATGATGAAGCTTATAAACTACATTTACATGCATAACATACGTTCGCTTTTATTAAATAAAAGCATCAAAAAAGTAGCATTACACATATTTATACAGAATGTTGTTGGTTGTGAGCTGCTTCAATGTATAGATAAGTATTAAGTTAATGGATATTGCCTTTTTGTTGTTTGCACCTTCACAGACGCTATTTCTCACTTTACATTGCCCAAATAGCCCATCTCTGAAGTTTTAACAACACTATTAATTATCATTCGTCTTCATCAGAGTTTCACTTGGCGCGCTGTCCGTTTTCTTATCAGAGGAGTTTACCTCACGGGGACTAGAATTATTAATTGTCACCGACTTTGATAAAACCTAATGTCAAGATATACAAAAGGAATAAGTCTGAAAAAAGGGAGTTTTTGTCTTATTCAAATTTATTATGCTTGTAAAAAAATCATTTGCTCTGTATGTCAGTGTTAAATGATGTTATTTGTATAAAATCAGCATTCCTTTAATATTGAAAGATTTTTCAAGGATACGTTTGACCCCAAATTGGCCTTAATGAAACTTCATAAAATAAATTTCAAGCAAAAATAAGGGACACTGGTTAAGAAATATGATATTCGAGGAAATGGTCATTCTTATTTTGATATTTTTCTGCAAAGTCTATGTAATATATGTTGAATTGAGAGACGTTTAGCAGACTCTAAGTTATTTCTAATCTATTATTTCTTTACCAAAGCAAAGTTTTAAAATGATTAAAAGATTTATTGAATGTTTACCCTTATAAAAATCAATTGTTATATACAGGCAGTTAAGATCTCAGATTTAGTTTTCCCACGAGATTCAAAATGCACATATGCAAATATTATTCTCTTTTTTTCAGTGAAAAATCACTGATTGCGTCTCATTTGACCTCTGCATTATCTATCAAAACCCAGCAAATTAATGCACTATTCATTGTGTTTTTGTTGAATTCGATTGTTAAACTGAATACTTTATGGGATAATAATTAACACTACTTTAAATAACAGATTTTTTATGTATCAGCCTCTGTCTTAGGATTTTCATGTATACCATACTTCTTTTTACATCTTCACTCACATATTATATATCCGTAAACTTCAGAAAAATCAGTCTCGTTGCAACTTTATGATCTTGCAATGAAGTATAAAAATTAAAACCATTTCACATAAATAAAAAACAGATGAAGATTTTACCATTGTGCTTGTAAATCGTCATAAGTAATGTATTGATATAAACCAACAATGTTTAAAACATTGCATTATAAAATAAAAAGTAATGTAAAAAATACATGTTTGTTTTCGTAATATAGTGACAATTAAATACTTTCGATGAACAAAATTTTTTTTGAATCTCATCTCATTTTGATAAAATAAACCTATTTCATGTAACAGAAATAAAAGAGATTTTTTCCCAGAGAAGCCCTATCCTATGTGAGTTTTACGAGATGTACTTTATAGACTTACCTCCTTTGTCATCTCTCACCACGTTATACCCTTCTGCTCCTTCCGTGTACATTTTACAAGAACATTCTATGGACCCCAGGAAGTACACAGACATAACCAAGACCAGACAGATCAGAGAGTTCGCCATGCTTCTGTGCAGAAGCCTAGCTCAGTGATGTGTCAATCCCTGGACTGGCCCCTGCCGCCGATCATTTCTCTTGCACGTTAGGATACGCTTGGTTTGAATATGAAAATAGGTGAGATGTACACTATGTGTTTATCAAACCTTTGAAATTGAACATAAATCTAAATATATTAAGTCGTAAAAAATCGCAAAAATGCAGAACTCAGTGCATCTTTCTTACGTTTAAATTGAATTATTAATAATGACTTTTAAAGATGTTAATTTATTTCTTTTCAATTCCTTGCAGACGTAAAGACTATCTGAAATGTTTAATTCAAAACAGATACCTCTGGACATTGTGCATATCTTAACATTTTAGATTAAAAGTACTTAATTGACTTTAAAAACATTGAATTGCTGAGAATACGATTACACTGAGGTAGGAAGTAAAACTGACTTTCAGATGAGCGATATAATCGTACAGTCTTGTATAGGACTTAAAGACAGCAATGGACACTAAAGATAATGACTATAGTATTATACTGGAGATCAGATCGTGTAATTGTATACCTTTAGGTCCAGTGTTTGTAATGTTACATGTAAGCTTAAGATATATTTGTTTCACAAATAAAATAAATGCACAAACATTCCTTTCAAAGAAGATATATATATATATTTTACAAAAAATGTAACTGATTTTATCTTCAACATTTATATAGAGTTTACATATAATCTTCAGACAAAATATTTTTTATACTAGTATTCAAAAAAGAAAATTCAAATATGCTGACTAGTTAGAGCTGTAACATAAAATAACCACGAAACAAAATTTCCAGAACACCTCATCTGGTTTCATCGTACTCCTTTGGTTCGATTTCCAGGATCCCAGATTTATGGGTCTCCTGCTGCATGTGCTGTATATAATTAAAATCATTCAAATTTAAGCACCAGACTAAAGTGAAGAACACGCAAAAATCGTATATGTACCAACTAGCATTTAATCGCGAGCTGCTGATAACAGCAGTAACTGTTAAATTTGATATAAATTGCATGATTGGAACAGCATGTTTATATTTGCATCTGATGATTTGAAATGCCAGATGTATATTTAGTATATTTAGTTAACGCCATCCAAACTACAGTGTATAAAAAATATTAAAATATCTTCATATAAAAACATTATTATATTGTAGCATTTAGGATTACCACAGAAAATTGTTACTTTTTTCCCATTTATTCCTAGTGACACACACATTTATGTCTTCAGAAATTCAATTCCTTCTTCTTTTCCTCAAATTTAAAATTGAAGAATCATTTGAAAGTAAATTTGTTATTTTCTTCAATGTATTAGGCTTTAAGGTAAAATGCATGCACTTAATTGGCGCATTGTACCCAATGACCCTAATATCATTGTATTTTTACTGTGAACAAATATGTCCTGTTGTCAATTTGAGGATTTTTTAAGCATTAAGACATGTTATTTTATTTCTCAGCATGGCAGCTTTTACCGGAATGTTTAAAGAATTTCTGTGTAATTATCAAGTACATGTAATTAAGTAAGTGAATCATAAAGAGATTACGAACAGTATTCAAGTTCAAAAGTCCATTAAACGTCACAAAATGGAAGCAGATCGAACATAGAACTCCAAAACATCAGAGTTGGGATCAGGTGCCACGGAAGAGTAAGAATCCTCTGCCCACCTGTCACACTCGCCCTGCACTCCTTGTCATGATCGCGAAATAACGGAAAATACGTTGTCAATTCAGCGTATAAATATTGAATTGACAAATCAGTACGAAAAACGTCATTCGGCATTTGACTCAATGAGAAATTGTATTTGCTGACAAGTCAATGTATCGACCTTAGAACTTACGAAATGATGATTTAAAACTAACTACTGATATTCTTGTTTCATCAATCTGATTGTCAAAAATTTACCTCGTTTTAAAAATTAAACACACACGTAGAGCATGCTCTTGTGTATCGAATCCATAAAGAGATATAAACTCCGTTTGAAGGTGATGAAGGTATATTGCTGAATAAGTAAGGGAAGTTGACGATTGACATATTAAAGTAATCACATTTTCCTATAGCTGGATTGTGATTTTCTTTATTCAACATTCAATATTATTAGTTTTATGATTTAAAAAGGGTAAAAGAAGGATATGGAGATAACGAACAGTATTCAATCTCAACGTCCATTAAACAATATACAAAATAAGAGCAGAGCAAACACAGACCTCCGAAACATCAGAGGTGGGATCAGGTGCCATGGAGGAGTGAGCATCCCCTGCCGACCGGTCACACCCGCCGTGTGCTCGTTGTCATGATCAGGAAATAACGGGAAAAATCCGTAGTCAATTCAGTGTATAAATAATGGACTAACAATCGGTATGAAAAACGTCAGTCAGCATTTGACTCAATGATAAATTGTATTTGCTGACAAGGTCATTGTATCGACCATAGAATTTACGAAATGATGACTTTAAACGAGACTGTTGATATTCTTGTTTCATCAACTTGCTTGTCAATAATTTACCTCGTTTAAGAAATTGTTCATACGTAGAGCATGCTCTTCATAATTAAACTGCAAAGTTTTTTTTAATATGATATATTGATAATGTTGCCAATAGAGAAGTAGTTTGGTACTGCATTTCTATGTTGGTACATAAAAGTGCAGCGATTATCCTTCTTGTTTAATCATTGTAAGTTCTTTTTCGTTCCCCTGAATATGTTCTATGGTTGTATTTCTAAATATCTATTACATTTTAGGTTTATTATGATTTTATCATTATCCAATAATAATATTATTATTATTTAATAAACATGTCCTTTTTTCATTGCCTCAAGAACATAATGACAAAGTAATGTAAATAATGCGTTTCTCTTTAATATTGATTCAAGATCTGCTGAAATACGAAATATTCGTCGTCCACCATCAGTTTGTATGGCCTGAGTTAACAAATACAAAATGGACCTGATAAGTGATTATAAAATGTGTGCAAGAAGATAACAGATTCGTCTTGTAACTACCACACAATCTTGAACAAAATTAATCTCCTTGTTTACGTCCTGAAGAAAATTATATGAATCAGTTTCATTTGTCACATCTCCATATTTTATCTATCATAAGGACAATATCAAAACTGGCCTGCAGTAACATCAACAATAACAAAACAAAAACAAAAAACCCACCAAAACCAGCATAATCTTAGGATTTTTTTCTCAATAGTATTATATTTTCTCACCTAAAAGCCACCTACTTATCAACTTCATTCAGCTGAATATGATCTTTACACGTAAATTTTGATGATTATAGTGCAGATTTCAATTATAAGGAATCTTTACAAAATATTATATACATGTAGGCCTACCTTTTTACTTTACAAAGAGACTTCAGTCAGAATATCACATATATATGCTACATGTAGTTTACGAGTATTCAATGTAAATAATTAATTTTTAAATGATATAAAAGTTACATGAAATACTTAATTGCTATTTGCTTCAAACTGATTATCACATTTTTTCTCTCTTAATTTTGTTATTGCTTGCTTTTTATGATATGTACATTAAATAGATTTCATAATAACTTTATGCTTTACATTCTAAAGAATACTTCCTGTTTTCTAATTGCTTTGAATACTCAATCTTGCTAAAGAATGGCTAGATTGTAAATTAAAATTTAAATGCATTCTCTAGTAATTAAAAATGATAATTAATTTTTTTTGTAAAAGACAACAATCTTCTAATTGGAACAGTTCATCATTGTACAAACTTAATGTTAAGTTTATGACAAATGAAAGCAAACTATATCATCATTGGTCTACTGTACAGGTGCTTCTAAAACGGATCTTAATGAGATAGGTCACACTGCTATTTGACAAGGTCTTTCTAAAAATATTTTCATTGAAGGAATTCAGACAGCATGTTTAAAAAAAATGAACTGAAACGTAAATCGTATATGCGTTTCCATTCAATTTGAAAAGATTATAATGATAAATGTTTTTATCTAATTTTAATTTGAAGAGGTTAAACCAATAATTTCATCTTTGGAAATGGAGGAAAATGAGAGAGGGAGACAAAAATATAGAAATATGACATTTGTTTATTTGGCAGAATGGTTTCTTTAACATTCAAAATAAAGAGATATTCATGTTTTTTTTTCTGTTGACATGAATTCTCAATGAAGGTAGGAGAAAATGATATATATGAAGAAAAATACATAGGTTTGAAAGTTTTTAGACTTAATTGAATGAATATGAAACATAATTTGTTTCACAATCTTATACGTGAAAAGAAGAATATACTTGCTGTGACGCTCAACTATAAAGTAAAAAAAAATTAATGTCGAAATGTCAATAATCAATGCTTTATTCCATTCTCACGTCGATGCAATATAACTCGGTTAGCTATAGAGTGTGACCCACATCTGTTTAACATTTGGATACCTTACTGAAAAAAGCGCTTATGGTTATAAACATTCAAGTGTAATGATAAATGCAAAGACTTTTTCATTTTTAAATCGTCAATTTCCCTCACTTATGCAGTAATGTACCTCCATCAACTGCATGTGGGCTTTCTTAGCTTGTTCAGGATGGAAGAGAATGTTCTACAGATTTTTTAATTTATATTATGAGATACCCTATGTGCCTCCGGGTGCAACAAGGACTAGGTAGGTAGGTAGCTATTATGAGATAATTTATTGACAAACAAGTTCCTGAAAAACAAGAAAATCGTCATTTCGTTCTATTTAATGATACAAAGACGTTATCAACAAATAAACTCATAAAATCATTAAGTCAGATGTTCCTACTAATTTCTGGACTATTATCTACATAATAGATAATCAACACGACAAGGATCAAACAGCGAGGGATGATCACTCCTCATTGGTCCCTCATCCCACCTCTGATGTTTTAGAGGTCAGCGTTTGCTCTGCTTCAAAAAATGAATTGATTTTAGGAATTCTGAGTTCTGATAGTGTTCGTTTTCTACATTTATTGCATTAAAATGTATTGGTCATTTCTATGGATATTGTGATTGAAGCGAATGTTTTATGTTTTATCTATTATACAAATCAAAGACATTTTCTTAAAAAATAATAAGCGTGTGAAAACATCGTAATGTCACAGCAAATGTTTTTTTAAAATGCTAATTAAATCAACATCATTAAAAAGACATAAACTTCACTTTTGACTAACAACAAAAACACTCTTCCATTGGTTACAAAACAAAATGCAACTGGATCGACCAATCAGTATGTTACTGTAGAAATTCAAAATTGACGAATCCCTTTATTACTTTTCCTTGCGGTACATATTTTGTTTTTCATTGTTTTAAAAATTGCATTCATGAATTAACTTTTGATTCAAGATTTTTGAATTTTTTTTAATGTCATGCTCAAAAGTTTGCATTTATTTACATGAATGCATTTATATATTATGAGGAAGTACATGTGAAAATGCATAAAAAATGACAGACATACAAATATAACAAAATTTGAGTATGAAGTTTTTAAATTTAGGAGTATCTTGCATATACTTCAAAATTAAAAGAAGTATCTTGCATATACTTCTTTGGAAATTTTAGTTCTTTTTCATTAAATGACCTCAACCCCATTGCACTAGGAAGATCATTGATCTTTCTTACAAATAAAACCATGAAAAAAAGCACTTTTGATAACATTGATGTGGCTACATTGTCTTGAAAATTTCAATATTTCTATCCTTGAGTTAATTTACTTGCGGTTTTTGATTTCATTAAAAGGATATATCCCACTTTATCATACACAAGTCAAGCAGAGGTATTATTGAGCTATTATAACTCCTTTTTGGGGGCTTATGGAATATCTATTCAATATATGTTTTATTTGCCTTTTCATGGGTGCTTCTTGTTTTACCATATCAATCACAATTCAATGACATAAATAATGTTCATAAGTAATGACAAAAATAAGATATATACGGATACATGTGTAAAATTTCCTGTTGATGGCGGTGCTTCTGTTGCTACCCTGTTTTGAGATGATCCCCGTCGCTTCGTGGTTACGTCACCAGTATAAGGAGTACTGATATCTACTTTTACTGTCACTTTGAAAGGAGTACTTATAATGTCTTTGTATGTATCTTCCTGAGGAGGAACTGTTGTTTTTGATAATGTGTCTGTTGCTTGTTTCTCTGTCATACTTGGACATATCGTCTCTAATTCACATTGCAGATTCTGTGAAAAGGTGCATCCTACTGGTGGTAAAAATGTTCCCACTGGATACCTCTCCCATTCAGGCACATGGCTATAAAGAGAAAATAATAGTATAGTGCGATTTATACATAGAAATAAGTAAAACCAGACAGTACTTCGAGCAGTATTATCTTATCTTGAAAACATTGATTTTAATTAAATGTTGCAGTCTGGTGATACTGATTGATGGCTTTTGATATATTTTTGTTATCATCATATCGTAAATGATAATAAAAAAAACTTATGAATAAGAAAATCATAATGTGACAATTAATTGACCTTAGGTATTACTTTTAAGTGATACCTATGTGGACAATGTCTGAAACGTAACTACATTCTGTAAAATATTTCAAGAATATAATAACAGTGCATTTACAAAATCTACTTGAAATTTTATTCCAAAATAATGACATAAAACGTGTATTGCTTCACAAAAGAGTGAAGATCTATACATATTACATGTATAATGCAAGATATATTTATTTTATCGCCCTACACGAATATTCGAATATCTTATTGACAATTTTGACATCCCTACTATGTGGACAATGTCTGAGTAACTACGTGACATAGCGTCTGGTTTACTGGTGTTGACACTGTTTCTCTTAGAAAAACTCCTGAAGGATCATACTTCAGTATTTGATACCGGCAGGCCAAGACTGTAAATATATGTAGTCCATAGTCATTTCTTTAAAAAAAGCGTTTTAGGCATTTATAAGTTGTGTTTCCTGGATGGAATGAGGAGTCCCTAATTACAAGGTATATTTAGTTTAATAAACTAAGAAAAAAGATAATTTTCATTTAAAGTCAAGTTCTACAAAGATGATAACTATTACACAAATTCTTTAGAAGCGAGAATTATGCGCTAAGTATCCAAAGACAAGCGGTGAAAATAATTGCGAGGCTTTTATTCATTTTGGTAGAAGTGGTGTGTATAGAATAAAAAGACTCAATGTAAAAGTAAGGATCAATCAATCAAATATATAGATGTAACGAACAGTATTCAAGCTCAAAAGTCTTTTCAACAGTACAAATCAGAAGAAGAAGAAAGAGACTGGAAAAACATCAAAGGTGGGATCAGGTGCCGTGAAGGAGTGAGCATCCCCTGCTGACACACGCATCACATCCGCCAGGAGTTCTATGTCATGATCGGAAATAAGAAAGTAATCTGTAGACAATCAGGCGTGTTATAATGACTTTACAATTAGTACAATTGATAATACAACATCCATATATCTAAATGCCGATTTGAAGGCCAAATCAAGTGTTTTCTTCTCATGTATAAGATTTCGAATTAGCCTTATTCTGTTTCAAATGAATATGAAAATAAGTCTGCTAATAATGGTACGTAATTGGTACCTATGGATATTCCTACAGACTGTTGGAAAACTGTATTTCCAAAAACTGCCTATCTATTGTTAAACAGAAAGTCAAGCTTCTTACGATTGTATTTCAGATTTGTGTTTACAATACGAATATTTTCACAAAATATTTTTAAAGTGTCCATTGACAAGATTAAGTAAATATACGAGTTCTTCTAGCCTACCTTGATTGTTTTCATCTCGATCGTGTTCCACCTGAATCAGTGTATTACAGACATCAAACGCCACACAGAAATCAGACAAGAAACCCAGCAGAGGGACAGCAAAGACAAACCAGCGATAGAACATGGCTGTTCTCTGGCTCTCTGCCGCGGTGTTTTGTTATCCGCCCCACCGTGTTGTTGGGATGTGTATGCCCCGCAGTGTCCCGTTAGTCAAGTGTTCGACACACCCACGCTAAAACCCTCAGCTTACGATGAGTAAATGAATATTATGTAACAAACTGCAAGTAATTTTTATCGAGTACAATTAACGTTTAGAAAGTATTTTTTATGTCTTGTAGTTCTTTGCTTTGCATAAACAATGTAAGTGAACATTTTCTTGTTATCTCCACCTATCGCACATAACCTGCCTGCAGATCCTGTTAATTTTCAGGATTCTGTCACATATAATAATGGGATACTTTTCTTACAAATGCAAATACGATATGTCAGAGCTGCTGCATGAATTAATTTCTTATAGAACAAGTGTGGAATAATGATTGTCTAAATGCTTTATGTACTTGTTGGTGTTTCTCGTTTTACAGGATAACAGTAAACAAGTTGCAGTTCAATACACCATGCAACACTCTGCTACTAACTCAAAAAATGTAATAAATATAACACAATCATTGCCTTTCTCTTTCATTTATTTTTCTATATAAAGCAAAAAATAAAACACACAAAAATGAAGTGTTGTAAAAACATTTATGTTTCAGGTAGAGATGATTAGAAATAAATAAGATTATGATTTACAAATAAATACAATGTACAAAAATTATTTTAATAAATAAAGAAAATCACAATAAATTAATGGAAAATGGATTTCATATATCTCTATTACGCAATAATAAATTAATTGTTATTCATGAAATAATTAATGAGGGACCACAGAAACAAATAGTATTGTCGTTGCCTCTGGGACTTCGTGTCCAGATCATCATTGGTCCAGTTATCAGGACCAGAGAGTGAGCTAGGGCTCCCGAAGCTATTAAATGGTGAGTTATCCTTGTTCAAGAATGGATTTCTGTATATTTGGTTGTCCAGCTCGTGTTTTACCGGAGCTTGAGTTGTTGTCATGGTAGCACGGCAAGGCTTGGTGGGGTCGCTGGCATCTACGAATTTTGAATAACAACCATCTCTTTGTTCGATGCAACCTTCTATTTGAACTGTCCCTGCGTTACTTCCAAACCTGCAAAATTATTTCAGTTTTTTTTATTCAAACATACTATGTAGTGTCGACTAAGTTTTCTGCATTTACGTAGTGCATAATTTTGTGAAATATTTCTTTCTGTTATTTACTAATGTATTCTATTGCTCGAAGATTACAGAATTATTTTCAAACCGAGAAAAAAATAATACCAATTGTTTTTTTTCTTTTTGTGTGTGTGTGTTTCTTTTTATCAAATTTCAATCTCGAGTTGAAAATAACTACATTTAGTTGTAAATATGATTATTATCATGTTTTCAGTATAAATTTTATATTGAAAGAGTAAATGTAAAATAGGCGATTCTCGTCCAAGTTTTATATATAGACCTTAAAAATGACAACCAAAGAATTATTAGCGACACCTACCCACAACACTCCAGCCCGGTCTCTGTACAATAACAGTCCTCACAGGTCACGTGATCTCTGTACGTCTCCTGATAGGCCACCCGGATAGAGTTCTTATATAAACAGTCCAATGATACTGCCAAGGAGAAAGTGAAAGTACATTTAAAAAAGGGATAATCCACATAAAAATTTTCATTATCCTAGAATTCGACAATATTGCAATTTATTCTCCAATACCAATATACTGCAAATGCAGAAAATAGAGGTGCGTTTAAATTATATATTTACGTATGATTACAAGATGTTTGATTATGACGAAAAAAAAACAACAATGCTTTTAAATGAAACAAAAAACGTACAACTTTTCGGAACGCTGTAAATATATTTACCAGGTTTTCCAGGAACCGCCTGTAAGTTCTGTGGATATATCCGACATGCTCCAAACACAACTTCAGGTACAAAGACGGAAAATAAAATCAAAGAAACTTTGGCGTACATTATTTCGTTTGAAAAATAAAATCAGTTAAACTTCGGTGGACTGCAAAAATAGTTTGCTTTCGTTGATGAGAAAGTGCCGCAAGTTGCTAGATGTAATCTGTTGCTCTGTTAAGACACAGTTTGTTTAACGAGTCCTCGGTGTTTATTATATACTTGTAGTTCTGTATTGTTTTTCCGGATGACGAATCACCATAATCGCTAATTAATTCATAAGAGTTTAACTTCGTTATAAATAACATCAGCCCGACGTTATAAAATTTTGACATGCCATCATCTGTCAAAACGGCTTTTGATTTTAAGAATTGTTGCGGTCGCGTGCGTAAAGTACTGCTTCCGTTTTGTCCCGGGGGGTTATTGAAGAAAAGTCTGTCTTGTGTCTGTTTCAGATTGCAGAAGACGGGGGTGACAAACGATAATCACTTCATCATAACTCGACAGATTAACCGTGGCACGTGTAAGTCTTTGAATGATGGAAATGATTTTCAATATAAAGACCTACACAAATCTATATGCGTCGGAGTGTGACAACATTTTGTTTTCTAAAAATAAAATTAAATCAAACTAATGTGTTCTAATAGATATTATTCATGCATTCGCTCTTTGAATTTTTTAAAGTTTGATTTTGAAAATGTATGTGTTTTTGTTTTAGTTACAATGTTTCTCATCATAAATGGTTTCTTTTCACGTAAACCATTATTTTTTTCCGTAAAAAATGGGAGTAAGCCGACGTCGATACAATCTATTGGTCGTTGTTCCAGCTGTTCATTGCGGGTTGGTGGCTGTACACAAACTTGCATCAACAAGGTGTGAAATATACGTACGAGCAGAGATGACGAAATCAGACCGTCAGGTAAATCAGAATAGGTAAATACAGGTGAACGGGGGAGCGGGGATACTTTATGCAGAAAAGTGTTTGTAAACAACTGCAAAACTTAAAACTCTTCATTAAATAAAAAAAGTAAGATTTCAGAGTGTTTTGAATTTGTTAAATTCTTGATAAAATATTAAGCATATGTACATGATGTATGTATGGCTATGATAATGAAATGCCCTTGAAACAAACAATGTGGTTTGAATGTGTTAATATTTGATCTAAAATAGCATATCATATCTAAAAATAAATTTCTAATGTCCGCTTTCCTTTTTTTTTTTTTTTTTTTTTTTTTTTTTGAACAGAAAGAATTTGTATATATATTGAATATAGATTTCAGTACAAAAACTTCCGCGTACATTTCTGAATTTTATATATGCTTTAAAGTACATTTATATTTTATTTTTAGAATGGTCTTCAAATTTAAGGAACGTCCCCGTAGAAGTAGAATTTTTTTAGAGAGGATTTAATTAAATATAGATTACATTTTATTTCAGCTATTATAAAACAACTAAAACTAGTTCTCGCTAAAATAATATACCAATTTTTTGTATAAAACATGAAATCTGTCTCGCTGAAATTTAATTCCATTTACTTTCTTCATTACTGGTTTAAGATTCAATTCCTTTCGGTCAAAATTGTATGATGATTTAGGGAGGGATCTTTTACAAACAAGGAGGAATATTCCTATATATATTGCTACTTTCTTACAAAATCACTAATGGCTATTCATATCAATATTTATATGACTTTATTGAACCTTTTTGTCCATCAAAGGAACGACTTTACTTTACCGGTCCCCAGGAAAACGCGCTAAAATGTAGTGTCGCCGAAGGCGACTTCACTATATATGAGATCGCGTGAGCGATCGAAAAAAAAATTTAAATACGAGGTTTTTTGGCCTTTTGACCCCAAAATCGAATTCTACGGTAAAAAGTTTAGTTTAAAACTTCGTTTTTAAACGTAGTTTTTAACCTCGTTCTCTGAAAAAATAAATAAATATTGTTTATTCATGGAAAAAATCGTCAAGGAATAATTCTAACGAAGCGCGTGCGGCGCATGCTTAGTGTCATTTCTTTCGGACTTAGCCATTCTTCCATGTAAACAAACGAACGAAATGTCTTTAATGCTGAATTATATGATCTTGGAAAAATCCAGAAACACCTGAATTTCCTAACTTATGTAAAAGAACGAGTTACTAACCCTAATCCATCGGATAGTGTGCAGGGACTAAGACGTTTAGATGAAATATCCCGGGCAGATGCTAAACTAACCCTAATCAGTCGAATAATATGCAAGGACTAACCCTAATCTCTCGGATGGATGCAAGACTAACCCTAATCAGTCGAATACTAGTGCAAGGACTAACCCTAATCTCTCAGGTGGGTGGAAAACTAACCCTAATCAGTCGAATATAGTGTGCAAATTTAACCCATTTCAGTTGAGTGACGTAAATGTTACGTCATAGTCCAATGAGCGCGAGGATCTTGCGGATTTGGGGACCGGTAAAGTAAAGTCTACCCCCATCAAATCACTCCTATATAACTTTAGAACCAATGAATGAAGAATTCAAAATTCCTCATATAAGGACTACATCATTTATGGAAAGTTTCCTTCCATCAACTGCTAAAGTGTGGCATAACTTACCAATTTGAAATGCTCCTGGAATATCTTCATTCAAGAGTTTTTCAAATTCTTATTTAAAAAAAAAAAGATAAAGAAATTTTTCATTTTGGAATAAGAAAGTACAATATAATACATTGTCAGTTACGGAATAATGCAAGTAATAATGGCAGATTTTACAACCAATTTTTATCAGAAACACCAGTGTGTGAAGACTGTATTGACTCTGTTGAAGATGCATGCTCATCATTATTTCTTTGTTCAAAACATGTTTCTCCCAGAAATGTACTTTTTCAAACAACCCAAAATATTATTGATTGTGATCAAATTCACGAAATTGATTTATTTTTGTATGATATTCCTAATCATAGACTTGGTATCAATATTCAAATATTTTAAACAGTATATGTTTACATCGTAGCAAGCAAACCCTTTATTTAACACTGCCATGTATGTTACTTCTGCCAACATTTTCAAACTGATACTATACATTTTATTTTTTTTCTTCTGTCTTTTCCACTATGTTTGTCTATCTAGTTTTATACCTATACTGTGTGTATGTTCACCTTGACCATGTAGGGAGAAGGCTAAAATAGGCTTTGTCTGCGCAGTCCTATTCACCTTTATTGGAGAATAAAATTTTGTATTAAAAAAAGTCCACTTGCACGGTTTCCATTTCCATTTTTAATTTCAATAATAAGAAACACTCGATTCATGATTTTTATCTAAATATTATAGGATAGAAAAGTTAAAACAGACATTTATTTCTGTATTTTTTCACTTATAGTATAATTATGTTCATACTTTGGATGAAAAAATATAACAGAATCATGTGCCTTTGAGATTACCACAATGTCATGATCTGTCGTACGACGAGATTTATTTTAAAACAGTTTAAATACAAATTCCAGGAAATGAGCCTCGTAAGATTAAAATCTGCTGCATAAAAGGATTATTGATAATGAAATTAGATTTCAAGTGAAATATGAACAATAAATTTTATTATATATTTCCTTACCAATTTATAGCAATAATCTATATTCGGGGACAGAATATTTACTTCTTAAACTTGGCAAATCGCTCTTATCTCCAAATTACATGGTCGCCTATATATATTTAATGTATATACATGTAGTTGATATAAAAGGTAATTTGCAAGTTTAAACAAACAATATAGTGAATTTGACATTAGTATTCAATTAATCTAAGATACTTAAAGAAAAAAAATCCAGCTTAATGTGTGAACAAGAATTGTCTTTTTGATATCCTTATACCAAAAATAAATACTTTATTCTTATTATGTGTAGGAAATAAATATGTTCACGGAAGCATTTGTTATAAATAAATTTTCGTCGTAAAAGAAATCGTATAATATGATTAATATTCGAACGTATTTTTGAATCACAAATGACGTGTTATTCAATTTCAGTTTGATCAAGCATCAAAAATCGGCCCAGGATTCCCCTACAATAGTGTGATACAGTGATTTATGTTTCTTTATTGTCAATTACAAATAATCGATTGAACATCACGTGTAAATATTTTATCGGAAGTAGAAAACAGTTGCTTGTATTGTATCAGTGCTTGGAACTAGGTGTCTGTGGTTAAATTCCGTATAGTTATTGTCTATCTCTGTACCATTTCCTCAAAACGGCATAAGACGAGGGAATTTTCATTGGAATGATATAAGTGCAGATTCAATACGTCAGTTACTATTACATAACCGTATTCATTATCGTAATTAACTTGAGACGGTGATATTGCAGAATTATTCCGCATATATCAATTAAATAATTAACCTTCCAGAAAATGTGGAGGGTATTAAGATGCACATTTGGGTACGCGTGTATATCTCTACTGGATGATAAATTATGTAGCCCTTCAATATTGGATATTTTAAGATAATCATTTGCATAGAATGATATCAATGTTAAACTTGACCATTTTATTAGAAATATAATTCAATCAAATGAATGCATATTTATGTGATGCTTTTTAAAACATAAATCATATAGGATTGGAAAATGATTTATTATTTCTAATATGTACTTTTTAAGGACAGATGAAACAAAACAATAAATGCCTAATTTACACATGTATATTTATAGACTTAGAGTTATTTCGGTTGCAAATAATGTAAATATAAATCATTCTAAAAACGTTTAGATTGGTAACCTTTTTACATCGTTCGAAATATATAAGCAACCTTTCTGCAATCATCTCAAAACTTTCCAACTTTTATCACTTTAAAGAAAAGTACACTTTGAATGAAAAAATGTAAAAATATATATATATATATATATATATATATATATATATATATATATATATATATATATATATATATATATATATATATATATATATATATATATATATATATATATATATCCAGTTTGACTTATCATTATTAAATTTTTTTTTTAATAAAATACTTTAATATGTTTTTATGATGCAAAAAATATCTTCTGTCCCTAAGATTATAAATAAAATAACAATGCATTTCTATCAATATAAAAAGAATCTTTTTCCTTTATACATACAGAGTAAGAGACCTAACACGTGTTGTGTTGGGGCGGAAATGATGGGTCGTATATCTTGTAAATTGGCCCCTTAAGGGTGGGCGGGAAGTCGCGTGTTCTCCGTGCGTGTTCTCCGTCACAGTGTATACTTCAACAATTAATATCGTGAAAGAGTTTAAATTACAGACAAATACAAAGAAAGAGGCTCCATTAATAGTGTTTACTTAATAGTTTTACAACAGTAAAATTTTCTTAAAATATTTCTTAAAAATGAAACGAGAGAGACAGAATACACCATGCTAACATTATGTTGTTAAGCAGTACACAATATTTTGAGGTAATGCAAAAACACTTGACCCAATTTACTGGGACGATCAAGTAGAGAGAGGTAATATCTGCTCCTTATAACGACAATTGAACAGCTGAAATGATGGTCATTTTATACAAATATTGATGAACTTAATTTACCGTCGACTGATAAAGGTAACACGCGGTTCTACTGTCAATACGACATAGCGATGGCTTATACAACTTAACTCTGATAAACCCAGGTAGGAGGTTTTAATTAACCTAATGAACTTTAAATAATTCTCTTTAAAATAACTTCAAAGTATAGTGTTTCCTAGAATGTTTTTCAGTAAAATAATTTATTGAGTCATATTGAATGAAATGAATAATTTTTGTATTACATTCATTTATAATACTATGCTTGTTACGCATACACAACAGAAGATATATGTCATAAATATAAGAAGATAAACAGATATTCAAGTCATTGGTCTGTCGTTATCTAAATACAAGCAATAACATTATAATGCAGATAAAGTTAGAAAAGAAACGAGAAAAAAAAAAATCAGACACATGTATAAGTATCGTTGTTTATTCTTATAAAACTTATTACATATATGCTTCTACATCTCTTTTCCAGTAATTAGGCTATGTAATTGTGTAAAAATTTCCTCGAGGTCTTTCAATAAGGTTAAAGGTCAAATGCCATTATCCATCACATTCAGTTTTCGACATTGTCAATACAACTCGACACGTGTAGGAATAATTAATGTTCAATTCCGTGTGTTACAACCTTTAATCACAGGATCACTCCGTCACAGGTTTCCGCTACATAGACTTAGTAACAAATAACACCAACGTACAAATTTAAGACGTTATTCCTGGGACGTTTTCCTGACTGTCTTACTAAAAGTACACTTGGTGGTGTAAATTGAGATGAATTAATTGCTTTAATTGAAATTTCTTTTAAGATGACAACAAAAATGAGATATTTGCAAATATTTATAATTCAGCAAAATAAACCCAAATAAGCATTTGATAAAAAATACGAGTACATGACTGTATTTCTATAAAAATGACAAAATACAATGTAGAAATGAGTATAACAATGTCTGTTGACGTGAGATCCGGAACTTTAGAGAATTGTAAGTGACTCAGTGAAAAAGAATTTTACAACGAGTTCATTTTAAGTGTGAGTTACTGTACGATCATTTCGTCATTGGTTTAACTCTGAAGTAATGTTTTAATTCTACAGATATTATGTTTTAGTGTCAATCCAAACGTTGCCACAATTCAAAGAGTGAAGTTTTCATTTCCTTCCTCCCAGCTACGTCCAGGTCTTAGAATCAATGCACACAAAACCTAAGGGAACATTTCCTTGTTAATCAAAACGAACGAAGTAAGTAACAATGTGATCTTGTTTCCAATATGGATATAAGGCTAGTGTTTTTCGTCATCTGTGCCTGTTTTATGATACACTCTCCTGCTCAATCACCTGTTAAAGAGGTACACATTCTTGGAGACTTCGTTTTGGGAGCGTTGTTTCCAATACACGACTCCAAAGACGGAACCTGTACGTCAGAGGTCAACGAACAAGATGGGATCCAGATTCTGGAGGCCACCATTTATGCTCTCAGTGAAGTGAACACTTCTCTGGCAAGAAAAGGATTTAGTTTGGGATTAGTAGCCAGGGACTCCTGCTATGATACAAGTATAGCACTACAGAACGCACTGGAGTTTGCACAGAAGCGATATAACTCTCAACCAAATAGGTTTGAGAACTGTACCTGTTCTTCGACAGATGCCAACAACATCATTGGTGTAATTGGTCCCCCAAGAAGCAAGGAAACCGTAGATGTAGCAAATCTACTTACTTTGTTCAAAGTTCCACAGGTAAAAACGTTGAAATGATTCTACAGAAAAATAATTTCTTGAACTTTGAATATTTTAAAATCAGTGCACAAATGTATTGACATTAAACTCTTTGTGTATTGATGATATATCCTACTAAGATACGTCTATAATTTTTTTTAACTGTCCAAGCCTTGCACAGATTCTATCTTATGATTTGTCTCATACTCAAGCATAATGTTCATTAACAATTATCTCTTATAGCTACATATACATTTTCTACCCTTCAAAAAACAGATCAGTTACTTTGCCACAACCCCAGAACTAAGCGACAATGTTAGATACAAATACTTCAAGAGGACTGTTCCATCTGATACCTTCCAGGCCAAAGCATTAGTCAGTATACTGCGGTATGTAGTGTCATGTACTATATTATGACTGAAACTATAGATTGTATCAAGTTGTCTTATACTTCACAACTTACGTTGGAGATGCAACGGAAACCTTAGCTCATTGACTTAGATTGCCATTTACAATTGTTTGTCTGAGTAATACCGCCAACATCTTGAGTATATTAGTCGGAAGAACCCCAATGAATAGGCTGGTTACTCAACAAGAATTGCTATATCGCTGAAGTATTACTTTGTTGTAATGGATATCATTTTCAATTTGGTGTATCTATGAAAAATATATAAAATGGAAATGAATTGAAATTATCTCATAGATGTTCTTTTTGACATTCTTTAACACGAAATAACTTACAGAATTTCTACATTACATTTGACTCCTACAAAATGGCTCTTCTATAAACCATTTTGTTTTTTTGCACAAATATTAGGGGAAGTTTTTCAATTAATTAAAAATAATATTTGAGTGCCTTCTTGACAGCATCAATTTTCTCTTCCGAGACAGGGAATTAGATTCAATAAAATACTTATAATTTATACTAAGATTCACACTTTTAAGTAAAAAAAAACTTAAGTTAGGTAACAAGATATACTTAAATAGCATTAATAAAAATTGTAAGTGCAACTCTAAAGTAAGTTTAATTATGAAAAAAATGGAGCACTAAAGTTATCCTGGCAACACACACACTTTCTATGCTGGCTGGAACAGCTAGCTAAACCTGAGTCCTCACAGTCACACATAATCAATAAACACAAGGTGCTGGTTCCATATTTATTACAGTACATAAGGGAATGAGTAAGTGAGTCATTGAGGATGAGAGCGGTAAATAACTGAAATAAACAAAACAAATACTAATTTAACGATTTCTAGATAAAATGAATAACAATAATCAATTCTGAAAACTTTTCTGACTTAAAACTTCGTGAAAAATACCTGACTGAAAAGTGTTTACACTACAAAAAACTTCTCAAAAATAATTACCGAAATAACTTACAAAAAATATGCTTTACATAACAAAAGTTTCCTATAATAAAACTTACATGGTAATAGGCCACAAATCAAAAGAAGGTACTAGGAAAAACAAAAACAAGAATGTACATCTTCACGGATGGAACTCGAATGGATGAACAAAATTTGCACGAGAAAATGAGGGAAGTAACTCTACACAAAAGAGTACTACTCAAGGAAGATAATTTAAAAAAATTGACAAAGAACGATAACTATACATGATTCACATATTTCACTGCATATTACAAAACGATATAAATGAAAAAATAAGAACTGTGACAGCATACTTTCTTTTTAAAAAGCGTATGTATTTGTAATATGTAAACTTACAATTCCCATGGGTAACAGTTTTAACTCAAATGCAATACAAACAATACAAATCAAGTGCAGAGCAAACATGGACCTCTAAAACATCAGAGGTGGGATCAGGTGCCATGAAGAAGTGAACATCGCCTTCCAACCGGCCATACTCGACCTGACATGATCGGGAAATAACAGAAAAATCCGTTGTCAATTCAGTGTAGAAATAATGGACTCAATGAACAAAAATTTCAGTGTGTGAATAGTGGTCAAACTATAAGTGAACGTCAGTCTGCATTTAACTCACTTATAAATTGTATTTGATGACAAGGTCATCATATCAACCATAGAACTTAAGAAATAATGACTTTAATCGAGACTATTGATATTCTTGTTTCATCAACTTGTTTGTCAATAACTTAGTAAACTTACCTCGAATTAAAAATTAGACATATGCAGAGCATGCCTTTGCATATTAAATCAACTGAGAGATATAAACCTGATATGTATGAAATAAGGGTATTTTGTTTCATAAGGGAAGTTGTCAGTTGAAAAATTAAAAAAAATTACGTTTATCATAAAGCTTTGTTTTTAAATAACCATCATTGCTTTTTTCTATAAAAATATCAAAATATGAAACATGTGTGTATGTAGTATGTTTTAGTTTAAGTTCGTGTCGACATAGAATTGGAAATAAATATATTAATGCTAATTTAACAACTAACTTTTGATATGTATGATATATTTATCTCGAATTTCTCTATTAAGAGTAACTTAAAAAGTACGTTTCTTACTGTAGTTCTTTGGATTGGCAATATGCAAGCATTCTTTACGAAGATAGTAACTATGGAACCGAGGGGTACACAGAAATCAAAGCTGCCGCAGAGGATGCTGGGATATGTTTTGGGTTCGATAAAAAAGTAAAGGAATCAAGCAAAGAAGAGGAGCTGGAAAATATCGTGAAAGATTTGATGAAAAAGAAAAACACAAACGGTAAGTCAAGAATCAGTTGGTTGAGCCGAGGCTTCTAAATTTCGTCTTGATACAACAAACCAATCATATATGTTTGAAATGTACAGGGGGCAAGTTTACCCCATTCTCCCCCAACCCAACCAAAAACAGGAAGAAATCTTCCTAAAATCAAAGATGAAGATTGTAATAAATATTTCTAAGATAATTTTACAGTATCTTATCCCAACTGAATAACGTAAAATATTATTATAGGAAAAGTTTAAATTTGTGGAACTTCTGTTACCTTCCTTATCTATATATCAGTGTTACATATGTATCTTCCTCTTAATCAAATTTAATTATAGTGGAATTTTGAACTGCTTGTAATCTTTATATTTTATTTTGCTCTTTTTCCCTCTGTTTTGATATTCCTTGTATTATGAAAAGAGGGCAAATATTTGATGAGTAATATAATAAAGTGCAGGTTCATTTCATAGTAATCATTTAAATGCAATTCCCCTAATGATTTGTTGGGGTAAGTTACATTTGTTTGATTGCTAAATGTAGTCAATATTTTGAATTCAAGAGGGTATTGAATTTTTAATGCTGTGAACTAAACGTTGATTAAAATCATGTACATAATGGAACGGTTTATTCTTGAAAAGTTCTTGCATCCTTTTGATGCTTCACGTACAATGTACCTCGATATGTTAACAGTTTTAAAGTTTCACGAGGCTTAGCTGACACATCTTTAACACATCTTTAACAAATACAACCTCAATATATACGACAATGTTCCTTTAAAATAAAATTTATAATACGTTATGCCAACTTATGCTTTGATGATAATTTTGCTTCCTTGTCTACTTTGATTAACGTAATAGGTGTCATATATTTTTATATTATAAATATTGAGTGTATCATATAAATTATATTTTTTATAGGAAAAGTCGTCGCTATCTTATTCATGCAATATGCCTTGGCATACAGAATAATGGTGATGGTAGATAAATCGTATAATAGTTCTGACGTCATTTGGGTCGGAGGTGACGCGTGGATAGGAAGGGAGCCACCTAGCGGTCACAAGAAAATTATTGAAGGAGCCATAGGGATCAGTCCTGAAACTAGAAAGTATCCAGGATTTGCCGAGTACTTTAAAAGGTAAGAACAATCCATATTTGTATTCTGAAAATTAATAGCTTTAAAAAGTAAATTAGATTTATGAACAATAAAAAGTAAGAACAACCCGTGTTTGTATTCTGCAATTGAATAGCCTTAAAAAGTTATTTAGAGATGACCAATATGAAGTTTTGCTTCTCATATATATTCATATGAAGTTTTGCTTCTCATATATATTCATTCAATTTGACATTTACAGTGATTGTTTTCCTTCTGTAATATAATATAACAAAGGCAATTATACGGATAAAATGTCTTGACAAAGCTTTGAGTTTTGGATTTTTATACATTGCCTTTCTACGAAACAGTGAATGGATAAAGTATAGCTTTATTATCTGTAAATATCTATAAAAGTAAAAATTTAAACAGGTGCATTAAAATAAAATATCCTTTCTCTGTATTTAGAATAAATATAAGTAACAGTCCTAACCCCTGGTTTGGTGAATACTTGAAACAAAGGTACGGCTGTTCTTTAACTGACAAGAAGAATAGCTGCTCTGCAATCCAAATCAAAGGTATAGAAAGTAAAACAAACTCAGAAAAAGCTCAAACAAAACAATAATTATAATCAAAAGTCAACGCACAAATAGATATAAAAGACATCAATATTGTAACGATTTTATATGAAGATAACGAATCGTAATCAAACTCAGAAGTCTACTTAAATCTGAAGTGAAACCAGAGGTCAATACAAAAACTAATTGTATACCTGACAAATATTGAAAGTTATTTAACACTTAGTCGAGTGAATACGTTTTTATTTAAAGAAATGTTGCTCCAATCAAACATGTACCTCGAATCACTCGACAGTACTCTAGTATTTTTGGGGTGTGTGATCAAAAGTCAACTTACAAATAAATATAATAATAATTTGTTCTGAATCCAGGATTATATTTTGTTGTAAAGAAAAAAAGGTATCATCTATTTTTGTTTCACTTTTCACTGTAATATATATGTGTTCCTGTTGTAATTAACAATGAATGTTTGAAAACAATACATATATTTTGATTTAATATGAAGATAACAAAGCATAATCAAAGTCAGCATCCTTTTAAAAGCAAAATCATTGTTTGCAACGAGCACATTTGACAAATCTTGAAAGTTTTTTAACACTAGTTTTGTGAATGCGTTTTAATTTAAGAAAATATTGCACCAATCAACCATGTACCTCAAATCTCGCGACACCAATCTAGTGTTTTAGCAAGGTTTCTCAATATTATTAATTTGTTCTGAATCCAGGATTGTGCTAAGTTGCAAATACAAGGGGTATCCTATATTTTTTTGTATTTCTTTTCACTGTAATTTATGTGTTCCTGTTGTAATTCTCAATGACCGTTTGAAAACAATTTCATATTGACAGAAGGATAATTAATCTTTAAAATTTTCAAAATAGCAAAGTTCAAGAGAAGGAAACAAGGAGATAATACTTATTATGAATGATGAAAACACAGATCTCTACATACATATGCATGTGATGTAACTTTGTTAGATAAGCTGTGTCATAATCACTTTTGTTACGTTTTGTAGAAATCTCAAGATGAAGATTTCTTTATAGATTTTAGGGAACTGTTAACAGCCTACAATGTCCGAAATGCTGTATACTCTTTTGGGAGTGCCCTGGATAATATTCACACTTTACTCTGTGGAGAAAATTGGGGTGTATGTCAATCAATGGAAAATAACCTTACAGGAAATCTGATACTCCAATATTTGTCCAACGTTTCAAGTAAGTAGTTTTTATTGGGGGAAAAATATTGTATTCTTACACAATGCAGAGTACAGCTTTGATGAAATTTATGACTAATATTTTGAAAAGAAGGAGATTATTTATATTCAAACACATTCATCCCCTTTTGCTTGTCTTTAAATATAGATCCCTTCAACACAAGTTTCCATTTTGTAAATGGTGGTGACGGTCCCATCCGATACAGCGTGTTACAATACAAGAGGCAGCAAAATGATTATAGATGGATTGAAAAAGGAAATTGTATGATTTGTTCAACATGTCATATTTTGTTTTATTTTCAAATGAAACATATTGAGATATAATATATATTACATTATACATTGACCGACATGCACTCATATATGGTGAAAGTTGAAAGCATTTAATCAGTTCAGTTCAAATTAACTTTTTTATGGTCAAGGGGAAATAATGCAATTTAAATCATGTCACGTAAAGCAATTATTATTGAGCTATTATTAGTCTATTTAATGAAATCATATTTCATCATTACAGATTCTGGACAGGAATTGATATGGAAAACAATGAATCGACCTGAATACACCGCTTCTGTGTGTTCGCTGCCTTGTCAGAAAGGTCAGTTTCGGAGCAGAGGCGAGGTTTGCTGCTGGGAGTGTAAAGAATGTGACTACACAGAGATTGTAAATGCTTCTGATCCGTACAACTGTCAGACATGTGATATCAATTCCGGAAGGACATCCAATCCTTCTCAGAACGTTTGTGTGGAAATCCCTGTCGATCATCTTCATTATGATAACCCGTCTATTCTGGTGATTTTCGTATTATCTACTCTCGGAATCATCATTTGTTGTGTTGTGTCTGTTGTTTTTATCCTCAAACGGACTACACCTATAGTGAAGGCCACTGGTTTTGAGACAAGTATAGTCCTTCTTGTAGGAATCCTTTTCTCTTATATTTCTCCATTTATTCTTGTAAGTGAACCCACTATCGCTTCGTGTGCCTTTTTCAGAGTGTTTCTAGGTCTCAGTTATACGATGGCTTATTCGTCCATTTTTTCAAAACTGATGGTCTACAATCGAGCCTTTGATGTGCAGTCATCAATAAAAAACAAATCAATCCAGGGACAAACAGTATTAAACAGAAATATCTGCACTATGAAGACAGCCCTTATTATATCACTGTCGCTCTCAGGCTTGCATTTCCTTGCTCTGGTTTTCTGGAGTATTGGGGACACTCCGTCACCAGTAGTCAAATACTCCGTGACACGAGAAGAAGCCATTGGTATTTTGTCATGTGCGGATCTGGACAATTTTAGCTATTTTGTGAGCCTTGCCTTTTCATTCTTGTTAATGATTGCTTGTTTGGTGTTTGCAATTAAAACAAGAAAACTTCCTGATGGTATGAACGATTCTCATGAGATTATGTATTGTTCTTTCACTTCTTTTGTACTCTGGATTGCGTTCATTCCTTTGTATGCTTTCTCTGAAAATAAACTTGTCAAAGTTATGTCCCTTTCCATATCGCTGATCATCCACGGTTCAGCTTGTTTACTGTGTCTCTTTATAACTAAGATGTACATTGTGATATTTCGCCCCGAGAAGAACAACAAGGAAAGAGTCATGAGGACGACACCAAGTCGAAGTCGAGACTCGTACAGCGGAAGTTTCCAAGGCAGTCGTACGTTTGAAAAGAGGCAATCCTTTGGTGTGACTTTGGAGGAGAAAACCTCCACTAACTGCACCAGAAAACTTTCCTCAGCCTGTGGTACGTATATGCATGTAAGCATATATTGCAAAATTATTCTTGTTCTCTACAAAAGAGTTGCCAAGAAATTTTTTAATTGCTATTGAAGAAAATTTCTTTCTTTTTGTAAAAGATATATTGTCCTTGCTCTAACAGACTTTTTCTGTGTAATATTTAACATATGAAGGATATGGAGATAACGAACAATTCAGTATCAAAGTCCATAAAACAATGCGAAATAGAAGCAGAGCAAACACAGACCTCCAAAACATCAGAGGTGGGATCAGGTGCTAATTCAATTCATGCAACAGGTTGGAGAATTAAAACGTTGTTCATTTGAGAACCGTGAACTACTGATATATATTTTTTCGTCTTTTGTGTCTTACAGTTGCAGACGACACGGAGGAAGAAGGGGAAGACTACTCTGCCACAACCGGAACTCTACCCTTTAAAAACTCGATCGTAATCGACAGATCTGAGAAGTATTCTGAGGAGGCTGAGACTGTTGTCAATTCGCTAAACAGAAACAGTGGTGAAAAACTCCTAGGGAATAAAGAGGATTTAGAGAATATAACAACAGGGGATACCTTGCCAAATCACAAAATCAATGGGGATATTTTTAAAAATCAGGATGAGGATGAAAGAACTGCAGAACATACAAACCAAGGCAGCTTTCTTAAAAATATAGGAGTCAAGTCGAGTAGTTTCTTGAAACGAATGACGTCACGCAGATCAGAAAAATCGCATGTCAGTCAGGAAAATATAACCGAGGGAGGAAATCAGAACAGCAAATCAGAGAAGACGGTCAGAAGACTGTCTCAGTCATTGCCGGATGTTCATTTTAATAACACCTAAGATTTCATCAATTCATTTCATTTGTGTATATATACACTGTAGTGTCAATACTCATATTTTCAAAGTTATTTATTTGAATTCACTCGCAATATCATTTTAAAATACTCATTTCTATTATACCTCATTTGTTATTGATTAAAAATCAAAGCCAAATACAAGTCAATTTTTCGTGAAGATTTATAAAATTGAGTCAAATGTTGACTACGTTTTTCATACTAATTGAATATTGTTCTTTATCTCCATATCCTTCATCATATGAAGAAAGTGAAACAGGTTTTCCTAAGTGCATTCCTATTTACATTATTACATATTTGGGATAATGTTTTTGTCTATGGTTATCTCAGGACCATGTATTCATGTTATATTAATTGCAGAAAAATGACCGAAATACAAGATTCTCAAGATTCAAGAGATAACTATTCTCTTCCTCTTCTAAGTTTTAAGACATCTGATTTGAAAATTTCTTAGAATATATCTTTTGCATAAAATTATGGAAACAAGTAGTCGAGAGAAAAATTGTAGTTTGCCCGAAGCCGGAGATTTTTTTAACTTTGCTTTGTGACGTAAATGTTTTTCTATTAAAAATAGTATTTCAACAGCTTTTTCTTTCAAAATACCGTTTTGATGATGTTATATACAAATGAAATATATTTTCATTTTACCCAATTTTATAGGAGCGGGGCATAAAATCCAATTTCATCAGATATTGATTAATGTTAGTTAAGCAATATATTTTAAGTAAAATCCTATTGATATATGTAATCTTAAGTACAATCAGAAAAATGTTATGTAGTTCTGTTTTGATAGTTCAAGAGGAATATTTTAAGTTGACACAAATCTGATAATCTGGAAAGCTTCGTTCTGTATCCTCTGCTAAGTTGCCGTTTGTTTCCTTCCTTCCAACAAGATTTAGATCCTCCAATCAATGTGCACTTCTACAAAAGAAAAAAACCCAAGTCTACGAACATTGTTATCCAATTTCAATATGGACATAAAATTTTTATTTTTCTTCACCATTGCTTGTCTTTTGATGCGCTGCTTTGCTCAAACGTCTGTGAAAGAGGTACACATTCCTGGAGACTTTGTTTTAGGAGCGCTGTTTCCAATACACGGCTCCAAAGACGGAACCTGTACGTCACGGATCAATGAACAAGATCATTGGCGGATCCAGAGGGGGGGTTCCGGAGGTGTTTTTTATTTTTCGCCAAGTGGAAAGAGAGAAAGAAGGGGGTTAAAAGCATTGAGACTTTGTACATCTAACTTAGATTGTATTGAATTATAAATTTCACACATTTAGATTTCCAACTATTACTTTTTATGAGTGAATGGTAAAATATTCTTTAATTAATTTTATATATCTTATATATGATATGTAACATGCAGGTTAAATTTGATATTAATTCCCGCGATCAATTTGGCTGTGTTGGCTATATACATGTACAAGAAGGTGCCTTTTTTTTTTAAATTAAATCTTATGAAGGAACTAAAATTTAATTCATTGTTTTATACCCAACCCAAAAAGGATTTTCAAATTCTTTAAGAAGGTTCATTCTACTCTTCGGAAATGTAAATCCATTCAATATTAAGGCTTCAGTAGTTTTTTTAAATGTGTTAATCTTTTTATACGGACTGGGGGTACCTTTTAATTCAAAGAAAAAAAGACGTAGAACAAAGATATTATTTTCCAAAATCTTATATTTTTCCATACGTGTGTGTGTGAATCTTTGCTTGAGAGTGTGCAAGGGGAGGGGGGGGGGGGGTTAGAGGGACACAACCCTTGGATCCGCCCCTGAAGATGGCATCCAGATTCTGGAGGCCACCATTTTTGCTCTTCGTGAAGTTAATGCCAAGTTGGCGACGAAGAGTTTTTGTCTGGGTTTACTAGCTAGGGACTCGTGCTTTGATACAGGTATATCACTACAACATGCGCTTGAGTTTGCGCAAAGGCGATATAACTCAAAACGAAATAGGTTTGAGAACTGCACTTGCTCGTTGTCGGACAATAACAACGTGGTAGGTGTGATTGGGCCACTCAGAAGCATGGAAGCAGTGGACGTAGCCAATCTACTCACTTTATTTAAAGTACCACAGGTATAATTGTGTTTATATTGTAGCAATGACAGGCATGCGCGAGTTATGGCACTTTCCTATTCTGCTCCATGCTAAATAGGTCATGTTTATAAGTGAATTAACATCTTAAATTTCTGTGCATACTTTAATTTCTTGATTCAGATTAAAAGTTGAAAGACCATTTTGGATAATACATACATCGATTCCTGACAAAAGTGCGTAAAAAAATGCATAACACGAGATACTCGCACGGTTATACAGATAACAAAGACGTAATGGCGGCCATTATGTGAGAAAACCCTGATGTTATAAATAGGCATTATAATGCTTAAGCACGTGATATTAGACAGTCATATGAATGTTTTACGAAGGCTGAAAGATAGAGATTTCTAAAAACATCTTGGGTACGTAGATCAAGTCCCATAAATAGAAATTTAAAGCGAAAGTAGATGATATATCGTGTTCAACTTCGTTTCTTTCGTTAGTTTGACATTTTGACAATACTTTGACAGCAATAAACAGAAGGAGAAATCATTTTTCTTTCATTTGGTATATAGTTTCTTAAAATAAATCGTTGCGCATAGGTGCGCAATGAGCTTTAACCAGTTATGCTTGACAAAAACGTCGACATTTTTAACAGGGGCAGATAACTGAAATTCCCGCGCAACATCGGATATTCTGAGGAGGCATTATTTCTAAGTTGTATATTTGTTGATCATTGTCAATCTCAAGCTGTTATATTCTTACAATGCTAAAAAAAGATAATAAAGTAAATAAAATGCATGATTTTAATGAATCAGATCTATGAACTTTGATTAGTATCACTGCATTCTGCAACTTTAGGTGTAATGTATGGATAATTATAATAGATCTATATGTTTTCATTTTTTTAAATTCATATATTTCTTTTAAACAATTTTTATAACAGAATATCAAGTGATTGAACAGATTAAGGGGACCTCAAGTTCATACTTTGAATTTCTTTTTCAGGAAATTTTTTTAATCAGATTTATACACATGTACCAGTATATCGTACAGCTAGATAAGCATTATTTTAAAATTTGAATTGCTCAAAATAAAAACAATGAATGCTAATACTTCTGAAGTGTTGTTTAAATATTAGATTTATATTTTAATCAAATTGTTTCAACAAAAAAGAAATAAAAATATTCTAACAATATTATTTTGCAATATTTAATAAAACATTTTTATAACAACATATTTAAAGATATAATAATTTAAAATCCATGAGTATGTAAACAAAATCTAAATAATATTCTTTGCTGATGTGTACTTCATTAAAAGTACTCATGTTCTACCTTACTAAGTGCCTGGTTTCCCTATTTGGTATAACATTTAGTATAATTCCGAAGATCCTACAATTTATAAGTGGAATCAGGGGCTTGAAAACAAAAGTTTAATAGATTTTGCATTTGATTCTCAGAGTAAAATCAGCAGTAAATGCTGTCATTATTTAAAATTGTTTAAAATGAATATCAATTTACATTTCTTCAAGTGTTATTATTATTTTTTTTACAACCGAAAAATTGGCAGAAAACACGAAATGCTACTGAATTTCAAATACTTATATCTTTTTTGTACATTGACCAATCTGAATAACCTTTACACCATTGAAATCCTTGTAAACTGACCTTTCTTTTGATGTAAAACAAGTGTGGTTTCAAAATTATTTTAAAAATTGCCTGTTATTGCTAACATGTGTACATTTAGTTTTCTTTTGAACGTGAACTAATGCGTTTTAATCTTAAACTTTTCAGTCAATATACACGTATTCTCACCAAAGGCATGTCCGTATTATTTGATTCAATCATTGATGTGAGGATCTTCGTCGTGAACTAATCATGAAAACTGACGTTCAGATTTTGTTTACAGCTATCACAGCGGAAACACGTGTTTATTTCAATTCGTATCAACTCGTACAGTGATGAGTCGTATTTATTTATAAATACGAGTTTTTGTATTATTAAAATATAGATGTAATTAAATTGCAAATTAATAAGTATACAGAATAACAAGATACAACAATATTTTAAAATCTGATTGATTTTTTTTTTAGTAAAGATCGACGTTTCGGAAATCTACAATTTTTATCAATATCTATATCACTTCATGAAAAATACATCATTAGGGCCTACATGTAGATGAATAAATCAATATTCACTGAGCACAAAAGGCAGGACGAAAGTATATGATTTTTTGAAATCTATTTTTGGTTTTGTATTATGCATTTATTTCAGTAAAAATATATTTAAATGGTCAAAAAAGTCTTATAAAAGAATTTGTTGTTTCGAGTAAGACGCAACAATATCGACCTTGACGTTACATGTAAATATTGACCGATTTTTCCATAAAAACTATGCGAAGGTCACAAATTCAAATTATCGTAATTAAGAAAATACTGAGCGTAAGAAGACCTATAAGGGCTTGTTGGAAAGGAAATTTTCTCTACTTTTACCAGCATTATTTTGTTTTCCCTATTTAAACACAGAAATAAACGTAAAGCTGAGCTTTGTTTAAATATTAGGAATAAAATGGAGAAAAAACACATAAGTGCAAGAAAATTCTTGTTTTTAAAATATACCTTAAAGTAATAACAATAATTTTTACATATTTTAAAAGTAGAGAAAATATGCTTTAAGAATATACCATGCTTTCTTATAAAGTTAATCAGGAAAAAAATTGTCAATCGTCTGGAAAATCGGCAATCGCTTTGGAAAATTACGCCATTTTCAAAAAGTCTCGTTTGTCTTTACAACGTAAAATCGATTAAATACCGGCAATCAAGATATAATCTTTTTAGATATTTTAAAAGTAGAGAAAATTTCCAAAAAGATGATATATAGCTTATATACCTTCATGCTACCACAAAATAGATACGGAGATCTTATTTTCGCGAAGTCGTGTTTTAACGCGCCATCGGTCAATTTGACCGGTATGGAAGTGAAGGGGTTAAATAAATCAATCACTAATATCAATTTAAGTACATGTAACATCTTCGGTTTTAATGGGATGTGATCATATGACCAACCCCTATTTACATCCCATATTTTAAAATGGTTCCTTATTTCTAAATTGTTAATTGTTTTGACCTAAAATTCGGCATGTAAACACAATATGTACTAGACACAGGTGCTTGAGGACAGGAACCCCCCCCCCTCCCCCTTGATATAGACCCCCGGGCCTGTTAGACTTTTTTCACATAAATTATATATGGATGACACATTTGTGATATAATCTATCCTATCAATTCAGAAAATTTGCTTAAACTTACATTTATAAAAATATCTACCCCCTTTATATATAAATTAACAACCTTGTTGATTATTATATATAGAGAATGTAGGGTAGATTTAATAGAACGTTTGTTTTAGGTAATTTTTCGATTTGCTGGTATAGATCATATCACAAATATGGCAATGAAAGATTTTTTATGAGAAAAAAAATAGAAAAAGCCCAGGGGTCTATATCGAAGGGGGAGAGGGGGTCCTGTCCTCAAGCACCTGTGGTACTAGATCTATCTTTATGTTTCAGTGTGCGTGTTTCGTATCGTTCAGCCAATTTTGCATTGTTTTGAATTTTGATGCTTTTGACAATCACTCGTAAGTTCAAAGTAAAATCAAAGTTGTCATAATAATGGATAGTTGTTTTCAGCATCAATGTACCAGTGTGTAGGCCTACATGTACAACTTTCACATTGAAATTTTAGGGTGCTTTCACCATATGCAACAATACTTTCATCTGTGAATACCCACTTTCTAAGCCCACCACGAACTACGAAGGTCAATTAATATGTAAGGACACCAATGAACAGGTAAATTTTTGTTTTGGTTTTGAAAATTTCTGTATTTCTAAAATTTCAAAAAAAAAAAGCCTCATGATATCGCATTCATACAAGTTTATAAACATTTGATTTATATTTTGAAAAATAAAAGTTTTAAACACATAATACTTATGATGCTTGATTTTTCATACAGACATATTATTTAAACATGTAATATCTATCTGAATGAATGCCGAGATATGGAACAAGCTGTTTTTATAGACTGCTGTTGTATTTCCAATCTGCATAAAGTATGTGGTTAGCATTTCCATTTTC